TTGTTCAGAAGTCTAACCGGAAGGTGAGAAGGATCAGTGAACTAGTCGAACCTCGGGCCCTACAAACGTTTGCGACACTCGCAGTATAGCTGCACACTTGTGGGCTAGAATCGCACTGCCAAAACAGGTGCGAGCTACACAGATTACTGCAGCCCCTAAACGAGCTGCAGCGCTATGCTCCTAAAGGATTGCAAAAATGCTGCACGTAGCCAGGACTACCTCAAGCAGGGCCATCTCCTTCATGCAGTCCACTTTGGCCTTCTCGTCCGCCAGTTCCTTGATCTAGAAAATACAATGAGGACTTCATTCATATTTCATGCAAGGGGCGCCCAAACCCTTTGCAACTGAAACCAATTGCAACTCGTTCCAGTTCAACTGGTTTAGTGACATAATTCCCAGTTGAGCTGGGAATGTGGGCAATGAACCAGGTGAAATGGAACCATTTGAAATCTTTTCACCCGGGAGAGAGTCAGAACTGCTCCCAAGAAAAAGTCAAGGCATGTCACAAGTTTGCTCAAAGATATTGTTTGCATGTCACCGTTGCCAACAGCTTAGCATGATGACCTCTGAAATCTTGTCATCAGGTGCTTCCTTGTCCTCGCACTCCATTCAAGACTATGCATACCACCACTGGGAGGCAAACAACGACCAAAGCCCATATATTTATATGATGAGTGTTCTGGTCAGTTGCCATCCATCCATTGTTTAATTTTCACCAATTACTCTCGCTTATCAAGCGTACTGTCAATGATGACTAACTCCCTCACCTTCTATGCAGAAAAGGGCCACAACTAGTAGATCTCTTTCCCAAAGTGTACTATGACAAAATTGGTCACTAAAAAGTTTTCTGTGGGGCCATCATACTTCTCTCACAAAGACCACCATCATAAAGTAGATGTCTCATTGCTGCACTAACATGTTTCTTCATTCATTCATACCAAAGACCAGCAGCAAATGGAACCACCTCTGTCGCTATAATCACCAATGCATCAGTTGTTAAACTTGGCATAGAAGATTATTTTCTTAACTATAAACCTACATGTTTTTTTGTTTTTTTTTAACCAATTTTATATCTATTTTTTTTACTCCTTCCCATTCCCTTCTGCAATGTTCTCTGGTCCTTGAAGGTAATGAGTGAAAGGTCGGGAAGGTGACTCCACTTGATAAATCAGGTAACAAGCATTCCCCACTTAATTATCGGCCCATTTCTCTCACCAGCATCCCATGTAAAATCTTGGAGCATATTCTGTTTTTGAATTAAGCCAGTGTAAATGTGAGAGTTTCGAGACAGCGCTTGGTCCCGTTGTTCTCGTGACTACATTACAAAGTCACTTGACATATGTCATGTGAACATGACATTACTGCTTGTTGTAGCCATTTTTTGCTCGCGACGTCATACATCCAGAAGATTTATGCACCGTTGCATGCAACCCACAACTGCCTTTGCAACGTTGGTTGCATGATGTTGGTTTGGGGCAAGTCATGTCAAGTCGGGCAGGCCTAGACAGGAATGCGGGAGAGGAACGCCTTCATTTTCACAAACGGCCAGTCTTCTACGCATCTCAATGAGTGACAAGGCGAGTGGTTCTCGGTTTCCGGTAATGTTCTTTTGTTTGTGTCACATGTCATCCACACAAATTGAAATTTGGTTTAGTGGGAATATGGTGCTTTCACTGACAATTTTGTCTACTCTTGTTGTTAGAGCTCTCTGGCACATGCTCAATTAGGGCAAGAATCCCAAGTATTCATATGACACATTGTGCACAATAGCTTAAAGTTTCACAGCGTGATGATATCCGACAATAAAATCACGGACTAATGTTGGGTTTGTGTGCCTTCAGAAACTTAGCAAACTATTTGCAACTCCAACAAGGATATAATCACTAAGATGCAATTAATGCAAAAATGCGCGCGAGCTGGACAAGAATGGCAATAATAATCCCTGGAGAGGGGGAACAAAGGAGACAAAGGACAAACGCTGGTCCAGCTCGCTTGCACCTTTGCACTAATTGCATCTTAATCATAACATTAAAAAATGCAGGCCATTCACCTTGTTGGTGTTAGACTGGTGGCAGCTAGTAAAACCCATTTGCTCTACTGACATCTAACTCCTGGTTAGCTCAGTTGGTAGAGCACTTGACTGGAAATGGAGAGGTTCCAGGTTCAATAGCCGGACCAGGCGGATTTTTTTCGGTCTGGCACTAGTCACCTATAGGCCTTTTTCACAAGGGTGCCGCCATCTTGAAATATTGTCACTTCCAGTATGGGCGAAGCATAGCTTTGCCTTCGCCACGCCAACATAATGCATTTAGGATATAAACGTAACCGTCACCCATTCTAGTTTTGTCTCCCCTCTATTTTTTTACTATTTGCAGATTGAAATGTTTTAATATTTTTTTCGTCGCCCATACCCGATATGCCTACTTAGTAGTCAGGGGCGAGAGTATGCGAAAAAGGTTTGGAGATTTGTGTTATCCGCGAGCCACCAGTGCAGGCGGCTCGCGCTTATCCGCGAGCCGCCTGCACTGGGTGGCGTCACCTCCCCTCTGCACTAGAGTCACTGTTCCAAGAGTACTAGGGTTGGGAGAACCCAGAAAACAGCACCGAGCCGGCACCGAAACGTTGGGACCCTACGATTTTTTAGGGATTGGTTGGCGTTTGCTCTTTATTTATTTATAACATTTAACCCAACCAGGCAGACGACTGCCGAAATGTTCACCTTCAAGCAGCATCACGCACGCACGGAGTGCATGCGACACCCCGTTTGCATCCCACAAAGTTGTGCCAGTCTCTCTCCTATCTCGTCCTGCGTCTGCTACGCTCGCTAGCTTCCAAAGCAAAACGCTCAAGCCTGGAAGGTGCTGCAATTTTCACAGGGTGGTCCAAGTCACCAGGCTCTATATAAAATGGACCGTAAAAATCGACGCCTGCACGTAGCAATTTATATACTTTTCGTCAAAGGTGCATTTGACAGGTCGGTTTCTTCTTGTAAAATTTCAAAGCGTAGTTCTCTTTCTATAAAAAATAGGGCCAAGAAACTTGCCAGGGTCTACGGCGGGCGATGACCCAGATGACTAAGTCCAGTAGCGGAGTGTGTTTGGCGTTCATATCGATAGATGGCGTTGGGAGCAGTGTCCGAAGCTGCAGCTGACCAGCAAATGAAAGCAGACGACATGCAGACGAAAACCATTGGCAGCAAAAGCGCCGTCGTTATGCAGACACGTCTTTTTACTTCGAGTTTTGCTTTTATTGTCCGCATTTATTTTTTAAATAAGGTACATTGCAAAAAGATCATGTTCATTTTAGTAAACCATGGTGGTCGCGAGCCGTCGCAATAAGGAGGTACCACCATCAATCAATATGAATGCCAAACACTCCCCACTACTGGACCCCTGTCGTCTGCGTCGCTGCCAGTCGTAGACCCTGGCAAATTTCTTGGCCTTATTTTTTACAGAAAGAGAACTACGCTTTGTAATTTACAAGAAAAAACCGACCTGTGAAATACACCTTTGACGAAAAGTTTAGATTGCTTCGTGCAGGTGTCAATTTTTACGGTCCATTTGAGATCGAGCGCGGTGACTTGAACCCCTATATACATATATTTTTTCTACTTCGGCTCTGTTTTTATGACACCAGCATTCGCGTACGGGTCTTCGCTTCGCGAACCACTCGGGACATGCACCTAAAACAAAATATTTGCTAAACCCACCCCGGCCCTCCCGACGGTCACGTGCCACACGCACGACAGTCGATTGGCTTAGATGGCTCGTAACATCTACCACGGTCCATTTTAAGATGTCGAACGGTGTCTCGTCGGAGCAGTTGGAGCTCGAAGGGAAGGCTTGGAAAAGAATAGTGGCAGCCAGCGTTTTTGGTTCGCGACTCCCTAAAGAATTCGACACGGTCGCGACAGCCTCTTCAAGGTTTTCGGGAAGATTATTTTCAATTTGCGTTTTGCAGCGCACTGCATCGCGGCGGCAGCCACTTGAATATGGCGCGCATTTCTTCGCACTAACGGGACCTTACCAACAAACACGCGAAGTCATCATACTGGCCGTACGTGGTGTCATACGGTCATACCTTTATGGTCTTGAGGGCCACGTGACTGCCGTCCTCCTTACAGCGGGCCCTGTACACCGCACTGAAGCAGCCCTTGCCGATTTCGTGCGCGATTTCGAACTTGTCCAAGCTGCTGTATTTGGGATGCGTCGAAGTGAGCCGAAGTTCGGGCGGTGCTGCTTGGGCCATGTCTCGGCAGCTTAGCTGACACTCGCTAAAGTCGACTCGTTTTGAAATTGCGGTCGTACTGGCCGTACTACACCAACACGCCCAACGCGGGAATTACACCGGCGACATGTGACGAGCACTTGACGGAAGCGAACGGGACTCGGGAGCAACTGTGAGCAAGTGAAGAAAGGAATAAACGGAGTTTGTTCAACGGCACTTGTGATTGGTTGATAGTTTGGTGTTTTGGTCACGTGATGCTCTTTTGCGCATTGGCACAGCGCGCACCTCGTTATCACGCAAAATGATACGTGGAAAAAGAAAAGGTCCTGTGTGAAACCAAACGATAAGGATAACATCATGACCATGCGTTTTTTAACCATGTTGATTAAATGACTTTGGCTTATGTAAACGTCACAGCGTAAAGGTCAGACATATTTGTAGAACGTTACAAATCGCAGAAAGAAAAATGCGCAAGAATGTTTTAATCCTGTTACCACCCCGGTTCCTGTTGGTTCCTCATTCCTCAAGCCGTCTGCTGATGACATCGGCCTGTGACCATCCCATCACGTGCCTGTGCCTGTGTTGGACGCTTTTCTGACGAGCGTTTCCATGGGAATATCGAATATGAGCCGCTAGCTATCGTAAACAAAACTGAACAAAATTTTATTATTTTTATATTATATACTTTGTATTTTTAACATGTATTTACCAAATAGTTTGTGTTTTTTACTCGTGAGCTATAAAAAATACGATACTATGCGGCGAAGCGAAACCTTTAATCAGTCGCTCCGGTTACGTCAAGCGGCGTGCGTGAACTGTGGAAAGAGTGGAAAGGAGAGCGTGCGTGTGTGAAGCTGTGTGGGTTGTCAGCAGTCACTGGCTCTTTTCGGGCTCATTACCTGTCATTACTTCCTACGTAACTCATTAATCGTCCGTGCGACGGCACCGATCGCTGTCACGACGCCGTGAAGCCAGCGAGGATGCCTCAGGCGACCGACGAGAACGGCAGCTCGGCTGCCCAGGGCGACGAGCCTGTGCAGAAGAGCGCCGTCCAGCTCAAGAAAGAGGCCAAGAAGAAAGAAAAGCTCGAGAAGTTCAAGCAGAAGCAGGAGAAACTCCAGACGCAGCAGCCCAAGGCGGAGGTCAGAGCACCATATTGACGCGATGTGGTCGAGACCTTGAGAGGAACGCTCCATTCATTCCCCATCCACGTGGAATCGGGGGCACAAATTGGAAGCTCGCACTCTTTCCGGTACCTCGCGCAAGAGGGAAAAAAGCAGCACGCAGCGAATTACGATTGCTTCCGTAGACGTGTGTGTTGATCGGTCGCGGAATTGTGCTGAATTTGCACTCCTCGACTCGACACTAAATTCGATAGGATCAGTGTCGAAAAGCTAACCGTGTTCGACGTTTCCGCGGTTATTTTTCGGTGACTAGTCGTCTGCTTGCGCAGGAGTTGCGGTGACGTCAGAACGACGCCGAACTCTGATTGATTTGATTAAAAGGATAGTGGGTAGACCTCAATGCTAAATGCCTTAAAGTCCACCACTGTTTTTTTTTTTTGTTTTTTTTTTATCGGCCAATAAGATGCTTGGCGTTTTGGCATCATCGCAACCCCAATGCAAGAAGAAGCAGACGAACTTATTGGCAGCATATTTCTACGTTTAAAGAAAAACCCATGTAATGAGAGTTATTATTATTTACAAAATGTTTACAAGAATTCTTTACAAAAGGTTTACAAGAATTCTTTACAAAAGGTTTACAAGACGGGTACTTCCGCTTATATTCATACCATAACAAACAAAAGCTTCGCCATTCTTTCCATGGCCGCTGCTGTCTCTTCTCTCGCCTATATCGCCTACCTCGACTAGTCGTTTTGCCTAAGGGATCAGTGTTTCCTGTTGATCCAGGTGCTTGAGTGAGACTTCTTGAAGTGAAGTAGCGCATGTTTAGCAGCTGTCGCAGGTGTTAGTGATAGGAAGCGACGTGGGGTTTTGGCTCTCGTAGCGCTGTTTGTTGCTTTTGTTTTCCTGGGGTATTATCTTAGCTTTCGTAGTACGTTTTCAATGCTTTCTTAGCGTGCTTTTCTTTTTCTTTGGAGCACAGCTCTTAGTCGCCTGTTTCCGGCTTGAGCGGCATCAGTGTAACCGCACGGTGCATTATGGGACGCGTAACATCATCAGTGACGTCACTGATGACGTCACTAGTGATGATGACGTCATCATCACTGATATCGTCATCGTCCCTGAGGACGTCAACGGCATCGTCATCGTCACTGATGACGTCATCAGTGACATCACCAGTGACGTCATGCGTCCCATAATGCACTGCACAGTTATGCCGGCGCTGACGGCGATGCCGCTTAAGCCGGAAATGGGTACCTAAGAGCCTAAGATCATCACCAGTGATGATGACGTCATCGTCACGTGACCCCCGTGAGGTCACGTGACCCCCGTGAGGTCACGTGACCCTTGTGAGGCAACGGCGACGCCGCTCGGAGGGAGGGGTAGCAGACAGGATAAGAATGTGAGGAGGAGGGAGAAGGGGTATACCTTCCCCTCAGTACCCTTTCCTCCTCCTCCTCAAGAGCTGTGCTCTAATTCGGCGTTACAGGGAGTTGTAAACGGCTTTCATTTTTGCTTGCACATACAAATGACGTCTTTTTTTTTTGAGATGTCAGCTCCTGTAAAGCGGCGCCGTTGCTCTGTAAAGTGCTGTCAGATTAGTAATTGTGACATTGAGTCTTCCAGCAGCCATGTCGCACCGAAAGATGACAGGTTGAATGCTTTAAAGGGGCCCTGCAACAACTTCTTTACTGGTTTTTAATTTGCACCGAACATGAGCGCACTGAACGTAGTAACTTAAAGGAACTTTTCTTTTCTCAAATTTTGCTTTATTTTAAAGGTTATAGGCAAATTAGAATTACAAAAACAAGCAAAAAATAACCTCCTCCATGATATCGTAGGCCCTGGCTGGAGTGGCCGTGAACCGGAGGAGGAGTAGTGAGCTCATCAAGCACTCACAGCTGCCGCACTCCGTGTCGACGGCTCGAGAGGGCGCCACTTAAGCACGTGTTCGATAGGCTGTATGAAGCGGGCGGCCAGGGCGGCTCGCATTGCTTTTGCTGCGTGATTAAAGACTAATTCGGCATAACACTTCATTGGCCACAAACGACAGCAAACACCGTGTAAAGATCAATTCAAAACGGGAGCCACTTTGCGCTGCCATACCGCCAAATGGCCAAATGGCCAGCCGAGCCCACGCCGAAAGCCTTCGGAACGTTTGGAATTGGTCGGATCCTCGAGCCGGTATACGACCGCAGCGCGGTCACGTACATCCGGGACCTTTCTACGCTCGCCATTCGTTGGCGCCTCATCCCACTAGCCCTTTCTAGTATGCGCCGTTTTTTCTGCCGCTTGGTGGCAGGCATGTCGACGGGTCATCCCTTGTTTCCGTACTTTATAAACTGCATTTGTTTCTTTTCTGATCTAAAATACTGAACAAAAACTACTTTCATACATAATTGAAACGGTTCGCGACACTTATATTTTGTATCTCGACTAAAAAGAAATGCTTTTAGCGGCTCTGACCAGGTAGTAAGCCCAGGACCAAAGACGTCACATATTGCTTGCTTTCGGCAACGCAGGTCACCCTCGTAGGTGAAAAAGGTTTCCGCGTCGTCCGGTTAAAATATAACTCACTGATATTTAGTTACTCTCTCCGTGCCCGCTGGCTTGCCTCAACCCCAAGAGACGTGGAAACCGCAAAAAATGTAGACACCTAAATATGATTGCAGGGCCCCTTTAAGCCCGCTTCAGACGAGGCGATTTCTCCCAGCAACTTTATTTCGCAACACCAGCAACTCAGGCCGCCCGCGTTCACATGCAGCAACCAATTGCTGCAATTTTCCATCATCATCATTAAATTTTATTTTTCGTGTACTATCTAGACACACACTTATGTGCTATAAACATGTTTTTTATTTGTTTAAATGGTGTTGAGAATACTAACTCATCTTTCTGAAACAGTTATTCCCCCAAAAAAATAAATTTCAAACCAGAACCATGTCTTTAGTTGTCATCATCACTGGCACAGGGTGTAACATGAAAATATTGTGGCCCTGAATAGCTGCTGCCGCCAGGCCAACGCAGCCGTAGCCTTGGCTATTGTAATGCGCTTCGGGCGTTTGAGCGAGCGAAGAAGCAAGAAAAAGAGCGACCGATGAGCAAAAAAAAGAAGAGAAAAGTAGGGTGACGTCATGACGATGTCAAATATGGTAATAACCCACTCTGGCCACTAGGAGGAATACAGCTTTTAACATCCATGTTTTCTCGGGGTGCACTTTCTGCACTAAAGCATAGGGTTCTTGTTTCTGCCACCTCAAAACATGGCGTTACAATCGCTGCCTCTACTCCTGCCGGGCCGCCCCGATTTGCCCCTAGATAGCGCAAGTTGTACTGTTGCATCCTAGGTGGCCGGTTTGCCGTCGCCCAGTTCGCGCCTTTCTTCCCCCCTTCCCCTCCCCCCCAGTTTGCTTGCTTGATTTTATTTCTCTTCGATTTCCTTCTCGTCTTCTGGCACTTTTATTTTATATATTTTTTTATAAATCACTGTAGAGCAAATTCAGAGAAGCTGCTCCTCAAGTGGGTAGGAAGCAAGGAGCACACATTTACTTTTCATACATACTTTAGTATTTACACAGATCTCATACATAAAATAGAAGATATATACAGATAATAAACTTTATTGAACAAGAGAACAGATAGCACGAGAAACACGTAAGAGCACAATTAAGGAAATATAAGTTTATAAAAGATATTGCACCACCACAGTTTTGATCGACAGAAACTTGAGTGTTTTCTGCAGACAAAAATATGATTTTCTTACAGCGGAGCTGTTAAGGGCTATACTCTGTTTCACCTTATGTTGTATCGCAGGAAAGGCTATAAGCACGAGCTCCTTGCTCTGGAACAGATCTCGGCGGCACAAGCTCTCGTGCAGTAAGGGCAGCTGTCAACGCTATGAGCTCGCGCTTTCAGCCTTCGCTGCAGTACAACATAAGGTGAAACGGAGTATAGGTTCCCCAGGATCGTGTCCGGTACCAAAGAAATGTCGACACAAACCTACACGAACCTCTGGACAGCTACCGTTATCTATAGGCGACGGTGGCAACCAGACAAACAGTCTGGCTGTCACCGTTGCTCATAGGTGGCGGCAACCTTTCCAGCTATCATAGAAGAATGGATAGTTGGACGAGTTGGTGGGAATTTATCGTAGGAGACAGGCACAAAAAAACAGACGAGGATGAAGAAGAAACACACGTGACGAGCGCAGCGCACGTCACGTATGTTCCTTCGTCCTCGTCTGTTTTGAGCGCTGTTTCCTACGCTCTTCACAGTTTCAGTTTGAACTCACAATGTCGGCCGCGTGCCCATTCTTTGGGGAAAGAAGACCGGGTGCGGAAGGAGCGGCGACGTACGCAGTAGCGCGAATGGGTCCGCAACCGCTGCGTGCGTTGAGCGCTACAGATGCCCTTGCGAAAGAAGAGCAAATCGCTTGCCTGGAGAGCCACCGCCGAGAACAGAAGCTACAGCTCTGCTGCACTTCCTTCTTCATCAGAGTGGAAATTCTAAAAGTTTTTTTGTACTCAGCTGATAGATAACTTGCTTCACGGTTTCTGTGCTTTCCTATCAGCTGTAGACCTTTTAAAATGAAATTTTTGCAGATTTCTTCTTTTTAAAGGTGTAAATGCCCCAGGGTTCATAGAACATCTGGAGGAACTTCTAGCAGATTGCTGGACGGAGAAGGTTCTCCGACTTCTACCATGAAAGCACAAATATTCTTCATCTCATCATCCTTGTATACCAGATTAAGAATGCACGCTCGAAAGCACTCTTCAAGCTTGCCCATTGTGGGCCGGGAATCGCCTGCAGGTACTCCGCGAAGGGCTCAGCGGGAGCCTGCGTTTTTTCCTCCAGTTCCCTGCGCATTCTTGGCAGGTAGTCTGCCCGCAAGAACTTCTGTCGGAAGAGGGCTGTGAACTCGCTGAGTGTTCCGGCTGACTTGCCCACAAGGTAATGCCACCTGGCCGCCAGACCCACGAGAGCCACCGGCAGAAATCCGCCTAGCGTGTCCTGCTCGGTCAGGCTGGTAGCTTTTCGACATCGCTGGATTGCTAGCAAGAAGTCGGTCGCGCTCATAGCTCTATCGCTGTGTCCGCTGTACTTTGGCACCGGAATACGGATGAGGGTTTTTGGCATTGGCGGTTCCCTCTGCATGCTTTGTAAGGCGTGGGCGAACGCCGCAACCAATGCCGTGGATTCACGGGACATCTCCGTGCTTTGCGGCATAGACACGACCGGCGATACCGTCGGCGTGTCCGGACTCAGCACTGCGATCATCTCCGCAGCGTTCCCCTCCGCTAACCCCGAGAGCAGTCACTCTTTTTCCGCTTGTGTAGTCATCACGTCAGCCAAAAACATTAAATCTGTGAGCGTGAAATTACCCGTGGCCATCCCGAACACTTGTTTGGACGTGCTCTTCCCACCTTCAAAGTGCCGTGGTATAGACCCGCCAGCCAGGGGGGACCGCCCCGCTTGAACTTTCATGCAGTGTTATCGACGGACGTTGCAACCGTAATTACGGCTCGCCTGCCCCAACGTTGATGCACCATTTGTAGGAATTCGCGTGCCGCCGCCCATTCGCCATTTCCCATGTGGTCCGTCAACAACCCGAGTCCAGCCTGGTTCTTTCACGGGAGCGGGATTCCGTTCCCTGTTTATCGGTACATAAAACACAATGCTCAAAACACTCAATCTGAACTACAAATACACGTGACATTACACAAATATTCACAAATGCACGTAAAGCCAAAGCTAAACACAAAGAGGGCCCCCAGGCCTCGTGTCCCGCGATTACCTTAGGTCTGGTCGCACACACTTGCCTTCACGAGGGCGCCCATCAAACCACTCTGGCATAGTTGCTGCGAGGTGGCTATGCGGTTGCCTCGCCTCAGACATGATCGCATGGTCATGTCGCCGCGAGGTCGATCGGGATCTCGAATTCGGCTCCCGACGTGCCGCTTTCTCTCCTAGCCACTGGATGGCGCTGCAGGCGCCCCAGGGCGGGTGAGGAGAAACCTTCTCGCCCATCGATCGAGATATAGTCGGTCGACCAGGGGGTGAACAGCCTCTTAGGACTCCGGGCGGTATCAAGACCAGGCAAGTGTGTGCGACCGGATCAAGGGTAATCACAGGACACAAGGTCTAGGGGCCCTCTTTGTGTTTAGCTTTGGCTTTACGTTTGTTTGTGAACATTAGTAGGAATTTGCGTGCCGCTGCCGATTCGCCATTTCCCACATGGTCCGTCAGCAACCCGAGTCCAGCCTGGTTCTTTCACGGGAGCGGGATTCCGCTCCCACAAAAGCAAGGCAAGGGCCTGTGAGCACAGAGAGAGCACCAAAAATGCCTGTATCGTCCTGTGCGCTTGCTTGAAAACAGGCTTGAAACGAAACCGACGAAAAACGAAACTTTACCTCTCGCTTCGGAACTCCTTTGGATATAGAAAGAATGACAAGACTTTCGGCTTGCTGGAGTTCCCACACCATCTCGCAGCGCAGTAGTGCCAAGGCATTCTCTTGCGAGACAATCATAACTTTTGAAGTCAAATTAACGCTGACCGAGCGAACACCACGTTTTCCGCAGAACACTCGGAGCAGACGATCACGCTCATTTGAACGTTGGTGACCATTGCGCTGGTTGCACCATTGCCACGGTTGCCACAGACGGTGGCACCCGGCTGCCCGGCGGCAGTGTTGATCGTAACGCCATGTTTTGAGGCGGTGGAAAGAAGATCCCTAAGCTTCAGTGCAGAAAGAGCTCCCCAAAGGAACTCGGATGTTAACGGCTGTACCCGTCCTAATAGTCGGAGTGTGTTATTCACATATTTGACGTCATCGTGACGTAACCCTGACTCTTGGCGGCCTCTACCGAGGTTTCCTTGTACACTGCTAGCTGTGTTAGCCTGCTTCTGCTTCAAATGTCTCCAAGTTGTCAGAGTTGTTTGTTTGTTTCGAGATGAATGCAATCTGGGCAATTCGTGTTGTACTAGGGAAAGCTAGGAAACAACCCACCAGCAACACCGAAATTGCTGGGAAAGTTGCCCCGTCTTAGGCGGGCCTTGGAAACCAGGGAGCATCTTTTCCTCTACAACACATACAACATATTCAGAAACAAATATTTTTTTCCACTGGTTAGGCTTTTCTTGGTGACAATTCACAAAGAGAGTTTGGCTTCCCAAGTGCAGAAGGTTTGCAATATTACTGGAGTACTCAAGAAACTAACAGTCTTGCAGATGAAAAATTCATGTATGGATTACACCAGATAATATACATCAAATGCCGTCAAAGTCTAGCAAAGCAAAACCTCTCAGTTTGCTGCGTGCTGAAAAATATTTATCACTGATGTGCTACTATAGAGCTTCGAACAGCCAGCTTTGCTAATTGGGTAGGCTGTCTTTGTAACAATGGATCACAAATTGTAATGTTAACAAACCAATAAATTAATTCTTATCATTTTGAAGATATGAGTGGGGTATTTTTTGCACCTGTAGCTGTGTGTCCTTTTACTAACTCATTTGGCACGTTACCATTGAACAGAAATTCCCTACTATGAGCATATTCCAAATTTGTGATGTCATTAAAGAATACATTTTGTTTGTCTATTTGGAACCCAGAGATTCACCTTTGATTTGCTTAATTCTTTTTTATTTAGAAAAAGCCAAAAGAGAAGAAAGAAAAGGAGGTTATTGTTTATGACAAGCCCACTGCACCTGGAGAGAAGAAAGGTGAGATTTGGCTCTTGAACACTTTGATCAAATGTTTCCACAAAGTTGCTGAAAAAATGCAACCAACATCCAATGCCAGCATCTGGGGAACAATCATTAGCTTTGTTTCTTTCTTGCAGCACAACTGTAATAAAATCATAAGTAAGATATTGCCAAAATGAAACCCTTAATATTTATATCTAATTTGTGCAGCGTTTGAAAAGGACAGAATTTGAGAATATCTATTAAGAGCATACAAAAATACTCGCAATGATATATGCGAGCCACACATGTTTGCCGTAGCTTGCAGTCTCTAGATACTCTGAAGATTTTAGCGACTATAGGGTGCCGTAAAATAGTGAAGATGATTTTACGGCATTTCTGCCAATCCAAACTTGAGCTATTCTTGAATTTTCTGTGTTTCTTTTGGGGAGTCGGTCAGAAGCAAATGCTCCCAAAAGTGACTACAGTCACTGTTAGATCTTTTAGCTGTCCCGTTTCCAGCACGACCCACTTACCTTTTATAACACTTCGGTGTCTTGTGAGCATCTTGCACTGCCAAAGCACGGCAGGTGGCAACGAGCATGGGCTGGAGGCCAGGCTTTCGAAGGAGATGTTTTACCGTTTTGATCCCTTCGATGAACATAATGATTGGCACATTCTCACGTTGATATCTGTCAGCATCGCGTTTTCACAAATTGGCCTCTCCCGGAGCTTTGTTTTCTATGAGGAAATGTGTGTGCGAGGAGATACTTTGAGCGTACCTGATTGTCTCTCATTAATTCGCAGACACTTCAGGGCCCATGCCAGATGCGTACAGTCCCCAGTACGTCGAGGCCGCCTGGCACGCTTGGTGGGAGAAGAGCCAGTTCTTCAAGCCAGAGTATGGGGTAAGCTGTCTGTTGTGCGGGCCGTTAAGTGGGTACATCCCTATGAAGAGAATGATGTTTTTTTTCCGCTAAAGGTCTCGAGATTGTGTGTTTACTGACAGCTCAGCCTAAAGAGTCACTCCTTACACAAAGAGCCAAAAAAAGAATAAAAAATAAGAAAAAGCAGCAGTAGCTCGAGATTAGATAAATTGTGTAGGTAGTTGATTCGTTTAACATAGAACACCTTGTAGGCATAGGTATGTAGAAAAACACTAACGTAAGAAGTAGCGCGGAAGTGACGTCACCCTCCGAGCTTAACGGGACGTAACGTGATGCGACCACATAATGTGACGTGACCCCGTTGCACGACGGCTCTATGACATGTTTTAAGTACAAGAATCTTGCGAGAGGTAACCAAAAGGGCTGCAAGAGAATGCACCATAAATTGGGCAGGTAGTGCATATCCCTAAATTTGCCAAGGGTCTACAGCATCAAGAGGCACTCTGAGACAGCAAAGATGTGGTGCACACAGCCATTGCACACCAACACTGTGTGCGAGTCTATCCTTCAACAAATCATTCCATACTCGGTCATCGCCTAGTGCTATCTCATCTTCAATGCTGCTGTCTGCATCACTGCTAATTATGTTCGAGACAGCATCAGTGCTGCTTCTGTAGTGTTAATTCGGTACTCAGATAACGCTGCATTGTACGTGTTAACCGGCCTTTACAACATTGCCAAATATAGCACCGCCGAAACTGTTCGCTTATTTTCGAATTGTACAGAAAAGCGGATAATTTTTAATGCTTCGGTTGGGCGTTGTTCCGGCGTCGACACCGACTGTGGCACGTTTCCTTCTCTCCTCAGGGTAGGGATCCGATGGCGCCCAACCCCAAGGGACGCTTTGTCATGGTCATCCCACCTCCCAACGTCACGGGCAGCTTGCACCTGGGGCACGCCCTCACCGTTGCCGTGGAAGACTGCGTCACACGATGGCGAGCACTTCTTTCTCTCGCTTCTGCATAGTGTGTGCGCCGTAGCAATACGATCATACTAGTTCCACAATCATGGATGACCGTTGTTTGATTGGCACAAGCAGAAACTTATGGTTGACCAAAGCAGTGCTGCAAAACTTAAAAACTGCCGGTAACTCAATTGACGGGTCGGGTTTGAGGACTTTCTAGGGTTGCCACAAAACACGATGCAGCTTTTTCTCGTGCATTTAGAATTTGTTGAAAGTGAATCTCCGGAATTATGATGGGTGTTTTTTTCTTTTGTAGGGCTTTGCAGATTTGTTTATAAAAAAATATTTAAAAAAAGCCGTGAAAGCAATACTAATGCAGTCTATGCAGACGAGTTATGCGGCCAGGGAAACATATTACAGGGGTCTGGTTGTCACGATAAGAATAATAATTAACTAAAGTGTGTTCTTTAACCTTCTACAGCAGAGCTGTTTTACGCTAGGGTCTGTGAAAAAATGCGTCCTCACATGTCGACAGAAAACTCCCCATTGGTCGTGGCAAGTATGAATAAATAAAAACAAAAAGGGGGCAACCAACTTGAGTCAGCCTTCCTTGGCATTATTAGATAGTGAGGTCCTGATCCCTTTTTATCATCTCTAGGCATTGTCCTTGAGGTTGTCCTCGAACTCGTCCACGAGGTCATCCTAGAAGTCGTCCTCGAGGTCGTCTAAGAGGTCGTCCTTGAGGTTGTCCGAGATGTCCTAGAAGTTATCCTCGAGGTCAACCTAGAATTCGTCCTTGAAATTGTCTGAGAGGTCATCCTAGGTGTCGTTCTCGAGGTTGTCCTAGACGTCGTCCTTGAGGTCGTCCTAGACATCGTCCTCGAGGTCGTCCTAGGCGTCGTCCTCGAGGTCGTCCTAGAAGTTGTCCGAGACGTTGTCCTCTAGCCATCGTCCTAGATGTCTTAAAGATAACAGCTTCGCTGGTCCTCCACCTTCACGTGAAGTGAAAGGGCTCTACAATTTTTTAATTGGTGAAAATGAACCAATGGGCTGTATTAGAAACTTGCTTAGCATCATCGACGACGACTAAATAAGCTTTAGAAAAATTTCGGCCATGTGAGAAGCAGAGCGGTGCTCCAAAGTTGCCACTCGTGCAACGGGTGCCATGTTGGTGGTGCGAAAATGCGGATGGCAAGAGACGGAAAGCCGCGCGGGTGCATTTTTGCACCACTAGCCCCACGCCTGCTGTTTGAATGGCAACTTTAGTGCACCACAGCACTTCCCACACATCCGAAATCTTTCTCAAATTTACTTGTTTATAGTGGCTTTTGACGACGCTCAGCAAGTTTCTCACTAAAACAATGGCTTTATGTTCAATTATTAAAAAGGTAATTATCAAGTTTTAGTTAATTAGCCGACCTGTCGTGACAATTATCCCCCTATATTACGTCTCCCCCGCCTTGTAATAACTCTCCCTCACAGGCTGCATTAAGCGCGAAAGACATGTACGACGAAACCGTCTGATCCGACGTGCGGACTGCCAGAATGACCTTGGGGGGCGAGGGTTTTCGTAGCATCGGAGAGCGCTGAAAACCCTCGCCTCCGACCGTCGTATTGCGAGGTCGGACGTCGGATTGGACGGTTTCGTCGTACATGTGTTTCGCGCTTTAGTGTAGCTTTTGCGGCTTCTTTAAAACAAACCTGTAAAGTTTTAAACAAAAACGGTCTGTAGTATACATGTTTGCAAGTATGGCCTCAGGGCGCCACTGTCTTGCTCAGTTGGGGTGCACTTGGGCGCTGCCATAATCTAATTACGACGCCTTAACAAGGCGTCGTTACCGAATTATGACGACCTAACCTAACCTAACCTAACCTAACCTAACCTAACCCAACCCAACCCAACCCAACCCAACCCAACCCAACCCAACCCAACCCAACCCAACCCAACCCAACCCAACCCAACCCAACCCAACCCAACCCAACCCAACCCAACCCAACCCAACCCAACCCAACCCAACCCAACCCAACCCAACCCAACCCAACCCAACCCAACCCAACCCAACCCAACCCAACCCAACCCAACCCAACCCAACCCAACCCAACCCAACCCAACCCAACCCAACCCAACCCAACCCAACCCAACCCAACCCAACCCAACCCAACCCAACCCAACCCAACCCAACCCAACCCAACCCAACCCAACCCAACCCAACCCAACCCAACCCAACCCAACCCAACCCAACCCAACCCAACCCAACCCAACCCAACCCAACCCAACCCAACCCAACCCAACCCAACCCAACCCAACCCAACCCAACCCAACCCAACCCAACCCAACCCAACCCAACCCAACCCAACCCAACCCAACCCAACCCAACCCAACCCAACCCAACCCAACCCAACCCAACCCAACCCAACCCAACCCAACCCAACCCAACCCAACCCAACCCAACCCAACCCAACCCAACCCAACCCAACCCAACCCAACCCAACCCAACCCAACCCAACCCAACCCAACCCAACCCAACCCAACCCAACCCAACCCAACCCAACCCAACCCAACCCAACCCAACCCAACCCAACCCAACCCAACCCAACCCAACCCAACCCAACCCAACCCAACCCAACCCAACCCAACCCAACCCAACCCAACCCAACCCAACCCAACCCAACCCAACCCAACCCAACCCAACCCAACCCAACCCAACCCAACCCAACCCAACCCAACCCAACCCAACCCAACCCTCGGCTGGAACTCGGTCAGTGAGAGCACGAATCCCAGCGGAGCACTGACTGGGAAAAGAGAGCGTTTTGAAGAATGGCTGCCGGGCGTGCCTGGCGCTGGCTTCGCGAATGCCAATTGCTTTTCTGTCCATTTCTCCCCGTCTCGGCAATCGATTTCAGCAACAACGCCATAGAATCGGTCGTCAAAGCGGGAAGCTCACGGTTCTTTCGAAACCGGCGACAGTAGCTTGGTTCGATTTATCTGTCCCTCTCGCGCCGGTGCAGAAATGTGTACGGTGGTGTACTTTCAGTCGTACCTGAGTACGCATACCGGAAGTACTCTGCCCTGCAGTTTTCTGCACCGGTGCAGGAGGTGCAGGTAAATCGAACAAAGCTAGTGTCGACGACGGTGGGGAGCGTAGTGCGACGAAGGTTCTGGCGCGTTGCGCAGGCACCGCATGAAGGGGCGGACGACGCTCTGGAACCCTGGCTGCGACCACGCGGGCATCGCAACACAAGTGGTCGTGGAGAAGAAGCTGTGGCGGGAGACCGGCAAGACGCGCCACGACGTCGGCAGGGAGGCCTTCGTCCAGGAGGTCTGGAAGTGGAAGAACGAGTTGAGTGCCAGTCCTCTTCTCGGCCAGCATAGTCACCGACGGCCTAGAAAAGTGCCGGGTGCGACTCGCTAACGTGTTCACGCTTTGAGATTCATTCTTCAGCACCCAGACTAAACACTCTTTCGGTTATACCCCGGGCTTTACTCTTCCTGGCACGCTATTTATCGTCTCTAAATTCGAAGTGGCTATTGACAAAACTGCAAGTGAAGGTTACGCCGAAACCAACGTTCAGATTTTCCCGTGCTCGCTGGTGGGCCAACGTCGCACATCGTATAACCCGCAAGTGAAGCAGGCAGTCTAAAAAGCCTAATATGTCGCACCTTTTTTTTTTTTTCTGGCGTGAGTTTTCTGGGGATTTAGTTTACGCCATTATACCATCTGTGACCCATCTTGAACAAGCTGTACTGTTTTTATGTTATAACATCTTATGTCACATTTTCAGTGTTGCCAGTAGAACCTCTCAGCCTCACGGACCAAATTTAAAAATTTAATAACTTTGCGGGAAGAAAACAAACACTATTGCAACTTGCGATTTGGGTTACTAGGTGAAATGCGTCTATTAATGCGTCAAACCTTTTCTGAGGCAAATCGGTGACTTTTCAAATCTTGCCAGAGCGCCTCTGTAAGCCGTTGGCGACGACGGGCCTGCAGCCACCAGTTGGTTCCTAATTATTAATGTCCTCATGGAATTCATTCATTCGTTTTTGTAATCGAACGAGCACTACCAGTTTATATCTTAAATGGACGCTCAACTCCCAAGATACATTTTAACCCAGGACGCGCTTTAGGGCTGGCTTCTGAGTCTAGAGCGTCACGGAGAGTCGTTACAAGAGTGTGATGTAACCAAGTTTCCCTTGGTCCCCTCTGGGTGTTTTTACGAATCGGGGACCAGTGGCCGAGCATGCCAATGCACCCCCGGCTCGGAGCAAGTGGAGCGAAACCTCGTACTGCAGAACTTGGAGGTTCTGGGTTCGATCCCCGCCCCCGCCCGTCTCGACTTGGAGGAGTGTCGTACCGGCATATCACTACCGTAATGCAGGTCAAAGACTCCAAGCCAGCGGTCGTATTGCACCGGCTAAATATCTCACCTACGGCGTAAACCGGCGTCTATACCTTAAAGGCTTACGTCGTCCATACTTCGTTTCGACTTAAATCCTGAGGCAGCCGATTCTACAAACTAATGGGACCGATCGAGCGGCTTCAAAAGCGCGCACCACTGGGCCTTTTCTGTTTACAGTTAGTTTGGCGACGACGAAACGTGTGCAAAACCACAAGGAACACCGCGACGGTGCGCTTTTGATCCTGTCCTACTGGTCCCATCAGCTTGTAGCGTCTGCTGCATCTGCACTTGAGGGGAAACGAGGTGTAGACACAAATGCCCAACTTGTTTGTTTTTTACGAAGAATGCTTTGTCCCTCACCAGGAATTGAACCTCGTTCCTCGTGCTCTGTAGCCCTATGTTATACCCCCAGAGAGACTTGGACGGTCGTCTTGGTACTTCGCCCAAAACCGACTGATGTCGAACGCATCATGCGCTGGCGTTGACATCCCGAATGAATTACTCCGAAAGCCGAGCAGGCAGAACGGTTAAAAAAAGTTAGATAGAAACTCGAAACAAATTTTGCGTCAGTCGGCTTCCTGCAAAGTGCCAAAATTGGCACATTTTTTTTTTTTTTTTAATTTGGAAAACATTTGTACGTAATATTTAAATGACAAAGTCTGCCTCTACGTTTCGCCATTCCGGGGCAACCAGAATGCGCGGGAAGATGGCGGACCTTTTTTTCTACGTTTAGCGTAATGTCTCACGTTATTGCTTTACTCTGTCTAACTATAATTATATCGTGTTTTGAGTGTGATCATGTATTTTTTGTTTCTTTATTTTAGTGTTTTTCCAGGGATGCACCAATCGAAAGATCATTATGGTTGTTTTGAGGCACTTTAATTAAAGATTATTATTATTATTACTATAATAATACCCGGGGGTCGTATTCCCCTCGTGCAGGAAGGGAGACCGGATCTATGAGCAGCTGCGTCTGCTGGGTTGTTCCGCGGACTTTGACCGAGCCACCTTCACCATGGATCCCGTGAGTTAACGCCCGTGGAAACCTCTCGGCTTTGTTTAGGGAATATGCGCGTGTCGGTGCTCGTTTGGTGATTGTACTTAATTTGCAGTGACTCCTTTTTGACTTAGTCGTCCTGGAGCGAAAATGAATTGGTTATGTGAAGTGCACGCTGGGTGTACAGATGACGTGTCACAAGTCAGTACGTAGTGCATGAGTTAAATCAAGAAGGATTGAGTTTGGTTTAAGTTTGGGGGGACCAAAAATAGGATAGCGGTCCAAATTGCGTCTATTTTGGGCAACGTTACAGCGATGAAGATGGTCCCATTGTGTATTAGGAACTCTGTTTGGTTAACGAAAGTATTATCAATGTGCAGGCGAGCTGGTGTATGTTGATCATGATGTTAAAATCCTGAGACTGGGAAGGAAAATTTAAAGAAAAGAAAACTTTCAGTCTTTTTACTCTGGTGAAGAAGGTAGACCAGCGAAGCTGTACGATGGTGGGAATAAAGTAATGGCCGGCAGCAAGTTGGCAAGCCAGAGTGGAAAGGCCTCGAAAGGTTGCCACCATCTATGAACAACGGCGGCAACCGCCAAGCCGGTTGTCTGGTTGCCACTGTCACTCGTAGATGGCGTTAGCTGTCCAAAGTTTTGTGTCATCAGGTCATTTGAGGACAGACACGGTCCTGGAAAAACTAGCCCGTTTAACAGCTCCGCTGTAAAAGCCTAAAAAGACACAGAAATGCGAGGACAGGCAAACTTCTCAAACTCATCTTTGAGACGTTTGTCTGTCCCCTTAGTTTTGTGTCTTCTTGCACTTTTTCTTTCAATTTTTCTTTGGGGTTTTTTTTATTTTAAGTTCTTAGTACCTAGATTAAACGACACCGAAAAAATAAACTCGAAATGGACGAAATGAAAAAAAAAAGTTGTGTTTGTCGTTATATTTGTATTCTTTCAGTATTGTTTAATGTTCTCTTCCGACATTGTAGACTGCCTCAAGAACTTCAAAGGATATGATAATGACAGAGCTGGGGGTTCATATCTAAAAATTGGAAGGGACTTTAGCATGAATGCTCCCCACCAAATTTAGAACGAAGCAGGGGGCTGTATTGCTCCTTGCCCGTAAACTGTAATCGAGCTTTAGTGCGGTGATGCGCGATAACATGCGAACCCGAAGCCGACAAAACCCGTCTGTTGTCTGACAGTTCAACTGGGGCATATCTTTTAGAGTTTCACTGTGCAAGTGTTGTGTATTAACATTTCTTTTGACAGTTCCTTAGCTCATTCATAGTTTATGGATCAGGTAGAGGAAAATCATGTTAGCCTTCTATTAAAAGAGGTTTAGTTTCTCTTTGTCTTCATGTGATAGCTATTAAGAGTATTAGTGGTAACGTTTGTTATCTTGCCACTAACAGCACTGGCAGTGACGGGTTATCCGACTTTTCCGAATCCGCATGCAGAAAATGACCAAGGCAGTCACGGAAGCCTTTGTGAGGCTCCACGAGGAAGGCCTGGTGTACCGCTGCAATCGCCTTATCAACTGGTCGTGCACCTTGCGGTCGGCCATCTCGGACATTGAGGTGGGCCCTCACTCGCTCTCTACTGACTGTGGAACATCTTTCATGTGTCTGTTTCTATATGTGCAAGCGCTATGGTCACCAGTGAAAAGGAATCATAAACAGCACTGTTCATGAAAAGTGCAAGTTGTGATTAGGCCGCAGATTTTCTAGTTTTCACCGAAAAACAGATAAACATTTGTCGGTGGAACCCTCCCTTCTTAGGCATTCTTCAGGTATGTAACCTTGCCTACAATGAAGCACCCTTCCAGATACGAGTTACCGACTCTGGAAGACGGTGGCACAAAAGTTAGGTCAGTCTGTCGACCGCCGCGGTCTATCACAAGATCTTTCTTCTATTCGGGTCAGGGCTGGATGACAGTGTTCAAAACAACACTAGCGGTTGTTATTGGCGAAACCTTGCAAAAGAAGCGAGAGCAACTTGCCTTCGTCTGTGCGGAAACAGCTTGCTTGAGAACACTTTAATTCTTGTTGTTACACAGTGAAAAAGAGTACAGCGAGGTAAGAAAAAAAAAAAAAGGCTTTGGATGATATGTTGAAGAGTATCTACGCAGACTTTGACCTGCGTTTCGATTGCTAATCAGTTGTTCGCAAGCAATGTGACATTATGATAAGCGTGAAGCAACATGACTTATAAGGGTTTCTACAAATTGTAAATTAAACTTTAATGCTTTGTTTTTTATGAGTTTATTTGTTTTGTTGGTAATTTATTCACCAGTGTTCACCGTTTTAAGGTCCACTCAAAACAATTGCCGAAATATGCTGATTTTTAAAAGAATAATCAAACACCAAAAATGATCTGTTAATATTTTTTTTTACAAATAAACACTGGAAAGTTTTATGCCCAGTTATGATGCAGTTAGCTCAGCCGTTGCCTATTTGTATTCCAGATGCTTACTGGTAGCTCATATTTGTTCTTGGTACCTCTCTTTGGTTCTTCCACTCTCTTGGGTAGGCATGTGTGATTAGGGAATTTTAAGTTCGAAGCAAAGGGTGCTTCTGACCAAATATTTTTCAATTGAATAATTAATAGTTCCTTCCAGCCTAAATGAAACCATGCCTAAATGAAAATCCAGCTTGTGAAGAATTGTTCCCATCTTTCGCCTGTCTACTTCTAAGATCTAAGATAATTAATTTGAATCTAACTATACTTATGGATTATGGCCTCACTAAGTCAAGTGCCTACATTGGGGTGGCAAGTAAGCAACAAATTTTCCATAAAATAAAACCTGCATAAACTCCCAGCTAATACCTAATCGAGGGAACTTATAAATTTCCTCGCTGTATGCAAATATCCTCTCTTTCAAGCATGAACCATGAATGCAGGTTGTTAGGACATCACTGCCTAAGATATGTAAAGCATTTCGCTCTGTGCGAACCAAATTGTGTTTATTCTGCTCCATTTTGGATTTCATTCTCTTCTTCCTTATCTTTATCTCATTGCCTTCGGCACACTGTAACATATACTCTCGCATAATAGCCACAGTTTAATTTTGAAAATTTTACTGCACTCTAGATATCAAGATTCGCAAAGTTTCCAATTCTTTAGGTGCGCGTGCACTATCCTGCTTTGAACGTGCGCTTTTCTCCCAAGCCGACGACTGCGCTGCAACGAAGCAAGCTCCACGGGTGTTGCTTCTCCGCATTTCATTGGTGCTCAAAAAAAAGCACGCTCGACGGGACAAACCTGCCACGATCAGCGTTTCATAAAGTGTGAATGTCGCAGATTATCTCGAAGCGAGTATCGGATAATGCGTTACTTGAAACTTCTTTTTGAAAATTCAAGTATTTGTACAACCCTAATCTTTAGACTTGTGCACGTGACGGGGAGTTTTTATTGAGCGGAGTCTCGTGGCCTTCTGTGCCTTGTGAATTCAGGTGGATAAAAAGGAGCTGCCAGGTCGCACCCTCCTTCCCGTGCCAGGCTACAAGGAGAAAGTGGAGTTTGGCGTCCTCGTCTCCTTCGCTTATCCCGTGGAAGGCTCTGGTAAGTGGCTGCCGTGCAGACTACGGCAATTGTGCATGCAGCAATGTTTGTCGCTTTATTTGCAATGCAACGTTCGCATAACTGGGCCACTGTTACACTGGCAAGTGTGCTTGATGTTTAACGATTTTAGGTTTGTATTAAAGCAACAGCTGTTATGGGCTATTCCCACCACTGGAAATAACGTCCGTTGTTGATATCGTAGTAGTAGTTCTTGTAGCTGGTGATGTAGGGCGTCTGTCGTCGATGTCGCAAAATCCTTAAAAAAGGTCGCCCGCGGGAATCGAACCTGGGTTCGCTGTGTGCAAAAGCCGCTTTATACTTGGAGGTTTTGTGTATCCGATGCCCACTTCATACGCTCTCTGGAAAAATAAAAATACAGTCGCCGACCGTTTTTTGGACTCTAATAATTTGGACTTGTTTGATATTTCGGACCTAAAGGAACAACCATTACTTACCCAATAAAAATAGTGCATTTTCACGACCACTGTTTCGGACAGCTTGAAGTCCGAAAGTTTGATTATTCGGACAAAATCGTAGCGAGCAATCAGCGGAAACACTGCCGAGAAGCAGTCATTTTGAATTCTATGTTGACTGCAAATGGATTGGCTTGGTTTGGCAGCGCTACTTTGCTAGCCCTTTTTTTCCATTTAGTTGCATGCCATCATTGTTTGTTTCCTTCCATCCCTTCGTGCCTCCGCCCCACTTTCGCATTGCCAGTCGCCATTTTGCGCTTGTGGATTTGCGCCTCTCATCTCGTTCAGACAGTGCTGGCTTGGACGTCATGGCCCGATCTGTTCTTCTGCTGCCGCGATGTGTCGTTAAGAAGCGCAGAAAGTACTCGACCATAATGCTAGAAAGGAAGGCAGCGATTCTCAAGCTAACAGAAAGTTACCAAACGCAAACGGAGGCGTAACCTGAAGCGAGGCACTATTTTCGGCTTTTTTAAGCCCACTTAGAAGTAAAAGAGGCAAGTTTTTCAATCTGCCGATTTTTTGGACTGCTCTATTATTCGGACGTTTTTTCGGTCCCTGCGACGTCCGAATAATCGGTCGGGAACTGTAGTCGACAACAAGATGTCGTCGTAGCACCGTCGATGCCAAGAGCTCGTGCAGGGAGCCGTGCTTTTATGCACTCCGGAACAGAAAAAGAAGGAAAAGCGTTGGAACGGAGCAGAGAGGGATGACTCCGTCTCTGGAGGGGGGAGGAGCTATGGGGTGGCGTGGATCGGCACAAGTGGACAGCGCGCGCCAAACGCCGACCAGCGCTTGCAAAATGGAGTGCAGCGTTTTAACCAAATCTTCATGTTGTGTTCTTGCGTTTTTTTTTCTGTCGTCCGCTACAGGTCACGTGTCTGCTTTGTTCCAAGAGCTTTTGCTCACACACACCATGATGCGTGAACGTGACGCCGAGGCCCAACGACTTGGCTGTAACTCGTTGCAGCTATCGCTCCAACAGTACCGCAGATTTGCTTGGAACTGCTCAATTTTTTTATCCCCTGTTTCAAGCATTGCATAATTTTATTGGGAAACATTTTTTGGCTGGGCATTTGGCATTTCGTGACGCCCATATAAGAGCTTGGCCGCGAGGCTCGACACCGGTCGGTTGACGGTTGGAAGAGGGGGAGTGAGGTGCTGGACGTTGATTGGTCAACGGGGAGGTCATATGACCAGAGGGGTAGGCGAGGAGGAGCTTGGCACATTGTTGTTTCCTGAAACCGAGAAGCCATATTTTTCCGAAAAAGTTGACGACGCCTGATATTATGATTTTGGATTTCCATTTTATGAGAAACGCAACCAATGCTCATAATCAATCTCGGTCTTCCTGGCATGTGCCTCTACTTCACCTGCCAACCGCTGTCCCACATCCCACTTTGGCAGCATCCAGTTGCTATGCATAAGGTTGGATGGTTTTAGAAACTTCCACCACGCTCACCCACTTACTTCACGGACCACTGGTGGCAGTCGTCAGTGGCATTCTCGACGCCCATTGTGACAGCTATGAGAATTAACCACGTCGCAGCTCCGTCCTTGAACATGTGACAGCACCGTCCCATCTGCATTGCACGACCGTGGTTTCGTTTCTTCTCACCACTGTAAGCAAAAAAATACTACTTTTTTATTTTTTCAATTGCCTAATTGTACATCTTTTGGTAAAGCTTATTTTTCGCATCATCTCATTACATCTTGTCCCTCAAGGAAGCTGCGAGCTCTGCAAGATGCGGGGATTTCGAGTCTTTATTTTGGTTGGAGTGTAGGGTGTGAGTAAAAGTGACGGGCAGGAGGGACGAGCAAGATGGTCAGTTGGTGGGCTGCTTCTGTTGCAGACGAAGAGGTGGTTGTGGCCACCACTCGGATCGAGACGATGCTGGGTGACACTGCGGTGGCCGTCCACCCCAAGGACCCCCGGTACACCCACCTGCACGGCAAGTACGTGGTCCACCCCTTCTGCGACCGGAAAATCCCCATCGTGTGCGACGACTTCGTCGACATGGAGTTTGGCACAGGTGAGGGCCGAGACATCAGAGAGTATTGCTATTGATTTTAGTGTAGCATTTGCTATTTATGCGGACGTTGCTAGTATGATTATTTATGATACGGACGGTCAACATCTTATTAACAAAACAAATGGTGTCCATTCAAAATTAAAAGTTTTGTATTACATAAAACTTGCTTCATATAAATGCGAGAAAAAGCGAGGCTGCAATATTTCAATTACATTCAAGAACTCAAATTGTCCGTTCCCTTAAATTATGGTCCCGACATTATTCAATTTGTTGATCATGTAAAAACTCTCTTTTTTTTTTAATGTGTCTTGGAGCAAGCATATCACACACATCTGCGGTAAGCTTTAAGAAATAGTAGGCATAAATATAAAACTACAAATTTATAAATCATCTTTTCTATCCCAGCTCATGCTACGCGCATCTAGTGTTGGCATCTACTAGTTTAAAAGATTTGAATATACTCGGAGGGTTACCAAAAAGAGCTATTCAAGCAGTAGCTAATGTTTCTGCAATTTCCCCAACATTACCTTTATTTCATGTGTATTCAACAACCGATGTATACAAATTTTATTCCCAAGAATCAATATTAACATACAGTAATCCCTCGTTATAATGAAGTTAACGGGGTGGCAAAACAATTCGATATAAGCGGTAATTCAATAAAAGCGAGAGAGCCAAAAAAGGAGCCACAGCAGCCTTGATAGTGGACGGGAACACTGCGGAACACTCTGAAAGCGTATTGAATCAAAGAAGCCTTGGTTATGAAAAACTCTTAGCAGCTTTTAAAAAATTAAATAAGTAAACTTTGCCGATAATTTAATCCGGGCATTGGTTCTCCTCTAACCGCTATCGGTTCTCCTCGAACTGCTCCTTACATTGCAAGAACACTGTCACCGCCTCTGCACTCCAGTTTGTTTCAAAGCAGCCGTAGAATGTCTTGCATCTTCATGGTCGTCGGCGTTTCTCGAGGTTGACGTCGCTTCATGTTTACCCTGGCCACACGCAAGGCCTACAGCATCTGTGACAGGAGCAACAATGGGAATGTCCGCATCAACGAGCGCGAACGAATCAAAGTTATCCTCAGTGGCTTTGCCAACATGCTTGCACACACTTCTGTAGAGATTGTTGCAGCTCTGTGAATCGTGCACTGGCTCGGCAAGCACGCTCTCGAGAGAAAATCTGATGTGCAATTGGCAATCTTCCATCTTTGGGTCGCGAGCACACTTGCAAGCAGTTGGCAGTCTTCCATTTTTGGGTCGCGAGCACATTTTCTCTTGCATGAGAAATTTCTCGAACCCGTCCAGTATGCCTTGCTCATTCTGCAAAATGGCGGACCGTGTCGAACAGCTGATGCCGAAATGTTGAATTCTTTGGCAATTTCGAACCTGGGACGGCCACTTTTCTCAACCTCGCAGATCTAAGCGACTTTCGCTAAACACTCCCACTCTTTCATACGACGCACGTGTACGCCGCAGGCGTTCGCGTTGGGGGCTCTCGAAGGGATGATCTCCTCCGGCCTTCATCGGCTCTATCGCTCCCTTGACCCAATTTCGACAGGGGTCGGGCAGTGTCGGCCGCGGGCGCCGTGAGTAGGTTGGAACGTGGATGCCGCTCCCTGCCCACATCGGCGCATCAGCATCGGAAGCGATGCTTTGCGCACACCTTCGTCACCCATTTGCTCCGTTTTCTTGTTTGCCATTTCCCAGTTTGTCGTTTGCCTCGGTGGAGAAGGGGAAAGTGACGCAAGGGTCTCCGTGTGCCTCTATGTAGGCTTGCATGCTTTTGGCACCGCGGCCTTCGTAATAAGCATCGTCAGCCGCTGGTACACTTGGAATGATCCAGTTCAAAATGCAAGCGTTTCGGTCGGGACCACATTGAACTTCGATAAAGGTGATAATTCGAAAAATAACTATTTCGTTATAACAAGGGATTACTTTATGAGTGTGCCATGAAACTCGTAGAATATTAGCGCACAAGACAAAGGAGGACAGGAAAGGAGAAGTGCTTGTCTTTGTCTTACATCTTTGCGCTAATATTTTATGATGTTCAACCAACTAGGCCACCAACTTCTTTTGTGCCATGAAATGTAAATACGAAACATTTCTAAACATCGCTGACCTCCGTTTGTGCACTTCAGTACATCAAGCTCGTCAGATACATCCATGGCATATTCCCCAATCATGCACTAACTTTGGACGTCAGAGTTAAATATACACTGCCCAAACTACTAAATCACCTTGCTACCCTAGAAATTGATCTCGCCTCACTAAACAAGACTGCTGTACTTAACTGTGCATAAAATCTTACATAACCTGTATAAATTTTTTTTTTTTTTTAATATTAATATTAATGTTAATTCTTTTCAGTGTAGTGTTGTCGGCGCTTGTCTTATAGGGGTACCAATGGCTCGCAAATCTTCATAAAAGGGGCTTTTTTCCTTGGTACCTACCATCGCTCATGATGGAAATAAACAATGTTTCAATACCATATGTGGTTCATTTGGGCTGGATATGGGCCTGGTTTCGGCTTGATATGAAGGGGATTTAGACCTCATATACCGTAGGCCTTGATATGGGCCTTAGTAAAACCTCATCGACACATTTGTGAAGGAATCATGGGAAAAATCTTATAATCTGGGAAAACGTAAAAAAGCCCTTGGGTGGCTGGGAGCTTGGCAAGTCTTGTGGTTTTGAACGTAAAGGCCGGTGAAAAAAAAAACCGGGAGCGTATCAGCACGGTTCTACTGTATAAGCCTGATCTGAGCCTGATATGGGCCAAAAATGAGCACCCAGGGTCCCGCATGACCTACACGTTGCATCTTGATTCATCACGAGGCTCCCAGATTATGCTTAGTAGAAGAGCGTGTTGGTTGAAGTCATGGATGAAGAAAGAATGAAAGATGTAGTTGTGTTGTCCCTGTTTTAATTGTTTATTCTTTCTTCATCCATGATCCCAGATTATCTTTTTAATTATCCTTTTGTAACATAAAACTGAGGAACAATTTTTTTTTTTTGTACTAGTTTTCAGTTTAAAGAAATCTGCCTGTTTCACTTGCACCGAGTCTTGTTTACTTACTCGTTTAAAGTGTCTTTTGCTCCTTACCTCATGTTGCCCATGGTGGCTCCCTAAGACGCCCTTTCTGTGGAACTGCAGGGGCCGTGAAGATCACGCCCGCCCACGACCACAATGACTACGAGGTGGGCAAAAGGCACAAGCTTCCCTTTATCACCATGATAGACGACAACGGGAACATCTGCGCGGGATGCGGACAATTCTCGGTGGGTGCCGGCTGTCCCGTTTTTGTTTTTTGGAGGCTCAATCGGTTATACCTATTGTGTTGTTATACTTTACATTGTTTTAAATTTTCAAGCTCCATATCTCGCTAATTTTTGGAAATGTGGGTTTCTGGAATATTTTTTCAGGCCGCAAAATTTCGTGATTGGGAGTGGTGTGCTGTGTACTTGCTACCATAGGATATGTGTTTGTGTGATAAATTCTTTGTAACAACTTTAAAATCGTGAATTTAGAAAATTTTAGCTACTGGACGCTAATCCCTGGAACAGGGATGGGCAAAATACATGCAAATATGTATCGAAATACAAATGCAAAATACTTCGTCAAAAATGTATTTAATTACAAATCTAATTACATTTCCAAGAAAGCATTTAAGTACAAGATACAAATACAACCAATTGTATTTGGTCTCCCCCAAATACTTTTCCAAATACATTCCTCAAAATTTGTGTCAGCGACTTCAGGGCACCTGCAACGAGTTTCTGGGTATCTCATTTTAATTTTGCATTGCACACTCGGGAGTTAGTGTGCGAGGCTCTAGTAACGTAATAGAAATATAATAAAAAAATTCAATCAGCTTGGACATAATAGGTGAAAAAAACTACAGAGCTTCAAGCAGCTTTTTTTGTCGATTACATTTTGGTACACCAACAAAGAACTGAGACGACCAAGACGCTCAGCACTAGCCAGGTAATTTTTTATTGTTGCAACTCGCACCAGTTACAAAAATCTGGACGACCCGCACATTTAGAATGTTCCAGGCAAAAATATAGATGGAAATCAGGCTGGAAAGCATCACAAGTTGTCGCAGGCACTTATTTAGCCAGTCTGCCTGTGAACGTCGATTTCGTCGCTATTCTTGCTCTGGACTAGCACCGTTATCACTAAGTCACTAAACGCTTGTGCTTGATTCAGATACACTGCATTTGGTGCAGGATGTAGTTTTCTTCCTGCTCTGGACACGTCTTAGGATGAGCAAAATGAGTCGTGACAATAAATTTGAGGGATGTATTTTCGCCCACAAAATTGTATTTAATTACAATTGTATTGAAATACCCACATTTTAGTATTTAAATACACACGTCAAATAGTACATTACCCAATTTGTAATTAAATACAAATGCAAAATACACAAAGTATTTAATATACGTATTTCAAATACTTGTATTTGAAATACTGCCCATCCCTGCCCTGGAAGATAACTCACCCCCTATTTTTGCCTTGATTTGCTATTCCTTTTTAAACACCAAAAGATGGCCCAGACCTAGATACTAATCGTAGTGTTCGGATCAACGGTGACCTCAGCATAAATGCGTCTAGTTAGCTATGGCGGGACAAAATGAACATTGCTGACTGGGAAGTATAGTTATCTTTGCTCCACTGCCCCTTGCCACGATAACAAGTTTGACGGGGACACATAATCTAAAAATGGCATTTTTTGCAACTTTTCTCGATTGCACTCAGAAAGTTAGTTCATGCTTGTTTTCACCCAATTTGCTCTTGATTTTAGGTAGGCTCTCTCTCGGGATATTACGGTAGGTCTTTAACAGTATCAAAGTGATACTGCAAGGCTCTGCTGTGAGCCATAACAGTAGGTTGTCTTCTTGCTACGGTTTTGAGGGCTTAACTAAACTATTGAGTGTTGCGGGCATTACTAAAATGTTTGAGTCGGTCCCAGTTGCGAATTGATATTCGAAAACCTTTCCCTTTATCTCTTTCTGTGATTGATATTGCATCATAAATTCTCAATGACGGAACGGAAGAAATTAATACTTGGTTGGCCGCTGATGATTGAGTGTAAACATTACGGCATACTCATTGTTGCTCTAGTTTCTGGTGACTGGGCATTTGTTTCGATTATCAAACGTGATTCACGGATGTCATTTCTAAACTTCTTAGGAATATATCATACAGCACGTTTTTGGAGATGTTTTAGTTTCATAGTGCCATCTGGCGCTTGGGGAAACCAAATGGTGCTACGTATTTGTATTCTGGCATTGACCTCGCCAGAGTTTTATATGCTAGCATTTCTTTCTCTAAATCTTGATAAAGGGTTTGCCTGGGTGCTAGAAGCTTGCCCCTAGACTTGTTATGCAGCATAACTAAAATATTATTACCAGTGAATTTACTACTTACTATTAAAACAGCCATAATGGCCAAATTATGACTATATTAAATCAAAATACCTTTCTTTGGATGGGCCATTTCCGTTCGTGCCCACTTATAACGAAGTCGGTTACAACGAAATGGCGGCTATAGTGAAGCGATCACGACTTCCCAATCCTGTTTGCATTTTTTCAATGTATTTCTGTCTGTTTTTAGCGAAGGAAATTGAGCAGCTCTCGCAGATAAAGCAAAAAGAAATTTTGTGATAATTTTAAAAAATAATAGAATTTGCAAAGGCTATCAAGTTGCAGAGAATCGCGCTTTGCTGTAGCCTCAAAGCAGGCAGCTCGAACGGGCAGCAGACGATGCTGCAAATGCCACAGGCGGCTGCCTCTGCGTCGTCGTCTGCTGCTGGGAGGCGGCTTTTCTGCATCGCACGTGGCATTCTGATAGGGGTGTTTAGAGCGCTAGCGACAATGTACCGACGGAGAGAGCCTAGATTTAAAAGAAAGAGCAACTCCGCTCATGGCAAGCATTTTCAATTTTAGGGCAGACGCTTTCTGGGCAGATTGGCACAAGTGCGCATGCATTAGGTTGTCATGTGACAAGGAATCCGAGCGGAGAGGCAGAGACGTTTGCAGATGATGAGTGCTTTTGACTACTTGCAGCTCCTTATGCAAATGCGGTCCACAAACCAAGTGACCCTGATTGAGCAGTTGCCCCCTCTCTTACGTGTAGGCTCTCTATACCGACAAGATGCACACTTGGTGTTGTGCGCACTCATGCATGCAAATATCCATCATACCGGATATCCGGTTAATCCGGAGGAAAATAAATCCAGTTCTCGATACTGGTTATCCGGGCCGTGTTCCAAAATTTACTCGATCCTACTCCAGGGTAAGGGTTTTGTACCTTGGCGTTCTAAAACCTACCCGCGTCCAGCGTTTTTCAATCTGTGTTGTCACGTGAAACGACCCGCCGGGGTAACTCGGATTCATTTGGGTAAGATTTGGAACACAGCCCCGGTTATTTGGATCCTTTAATTATACGAATATCCGGTTTGTAGAACCAGATGGCCGGATGTTTGAATACAAATACCTGGTTTCGAACCGGATATTCATGTTCACTATCATATTCACCATCTCATGCAGAGTCCACTGCCTGTGTGCACTAAGGGAGAGTAGCTTGAGAGTATGGAAGGCTCTGGAAGATTGCCAAGTTTATCAGCCTGATTAGCAGTAGTATCGCTTCATCCTAGGAACAACTATGAAGTGTACAGATGGTGTACATTAAACTATCTGTTTAAGAACTCTGTGAACATAGGCATCTGGGTACTCAGAGAATCACTAAACCATTGTGATGCTAGAACGTTTCACGTGTGCAACACAATTGCCAAAGTGTGAGACAAAACTACAAATGGTGGCCGACTGTTCAACTTCTCTTGCAGGGCATGAGGCGGTTTGATGCCCGCAAGGCCGTGCTAGAGTCCCTGAAGGAGAGGGGCCTGTACAGGGACACCAAGGACAACCCCATGGTAGTGCCCATCTGCAGGTGAGCCATACTGGAATGCTGAGGTGAAGGCAAACTTGCATGACTTACCGCAGCGGTTCTCAAACTTCTGGCTGTCATGGACCCCCTGATCCACTCAGAGGTTGTTTAGTGCCCTTAAATTTATTAATGTAAAAAGGTAATTACTTAGAAATAATTAATGACTTAATTATTCCAAACTTTATTAATTTTCCTCAATGGGCCCCGTGCAGGGACCCAAAAGACATCAACCTTTCTTTTTGGGTAATGCATAGTTTCCACAAAATTGAATTTGCCGGAGTTTCGTAAAACACCCTGTTTGGTGATGCTGGCCTGCGTGCTCAAATAGCACGCGACTGAATTTGCCTTTTTAGTCCCAGGGCAGTCAACGAGCCACTCCGTCTTACTACATCATTGCTGGGGCTAAGCCGTGGCTTTTAAATAAATTTTACCTTGAAAATATTTACCCGTTGAAGGACCGTGTCACTTGAGGGTCATTCACTAGGAGGAATTATGGTACAGACAAAAGTAGAAGCAACCGATTCTTGTCTTCCTCACAATCCCTTCCTTCCTTTCTGCCTAGCCGTTCCAAAGACATTGTGGAGCCACTGCCCAAAGTGCAGTGGTTCATCGACTGCAACAACATGGCTGCCCGAGCCGTGAAGGTGAGCCGGTTCATGCGGTGCTCTTGGTCGGGACGTTTCGAGCCGACTCGTAAAATCTTGCTTCGAAATTCTAGGATGTGAAGGAGGGCAACCTGAAGCTTATACCCGAACAGCACGTCAAGATTTGGAACTACTTCCTGGAGAACATTCGGTCAGTTCGGTCCTCTAGTCACCGACGGGTGGCAGCTTCTGTTTCGCTATAGTCTGTTGTAGGTTGAGAAATTTAGTACAACAGGCTCCTTTTAAAAAAGACTTCCGCTCCTTCCAGTTTAACGGAGCGAACATTGGAGCCTCTCCTCATCTCCAGCATTCGCTCTGCCAAAGTGGAAAAAGGGGAGGACTTTGTGGGAGGAGTTTATGATGCCCTCAATAACCTTTCCCTTATTAAAACTGCTCACGAATTTCGACATGCAGTACAAAGCACGCTCAGTGTGAAGGCTTGATTTGAGGCTCTGTGTTTGTGTTGTGTTCTCCACGAGCTCAGTCTTGCTAGTTGGCACGCTTGTCTGCGTGACTTTTTAACGCAGTGTGCACTAGCATACGGGTGGTTCCTAGCAGTGTTCCATTTTGCACTCCCGTGATGGAAGAGTGTCGCGTCGGCGCTCGGCTGGAACTCGCATCCCTGCGACGGAACGGTAGTTTTGGGCGAACTCCGACTCGACGTTCGTGATATGGCAGAACCAAAGCTGGGTGTACGACTGCGGGAGATGCAAACTAAGTTTGCCAGCCCCGCTGCAGTTTTAAGCTCTAACAGGACTTTCTTTCAAAGATGCAGCAAATGACACCGTTCATGCCGTTGAGGCACGAATTGAATGCCGAGTTAATCTGTAGAGGATTCCCGCGAAGTGACAGCTAATATACCTTATGTGCTGTCCTTCGCTTATGCTTCCTTTCCCTCTCCAGAGGACATAGAGGAATTGTCCGTTGCCTCAGTCCGTTCTGACGCCGTGCTGTGTCCTTTCCAGGGATTGGTGCATCTCTCGGCAGCTCTGGTGGGGGCACAGGATTCCCGCTTACTTTGTGGAAGTCGAGGGACAGCAGGCTCCCCCCGGAGCGGTGAGGCGGGGCTCCGACATTTGAAACCCCGGATCTAGTTGCGGGTTTGGAGTGTGGAGTGGACTTTGCGTGTGTAGTCCAAGCTCTTCCAGATTTCTAAACAGAGCCAAAACTGCCTGCATAGGTTGGCATCTGTTTTGTGAAATTGCCAGGAGGATCATACATATAGTAAAGGTTATTCTACTTTGCAGCCCATTTGTTGAAGATTTTTACAACAATGCGAATAAGTTACTGCGTAAGTGGGGTTCTGTGTTTTCAGTACGTACTAATAGACTTCGAAAAGTAACCTTCGAGTCAGTTTTATGAAAATTGGAGACAACCAATAAAGTCTGCTTAAAAGCTGTCCTTGAATAAGAAAAACCTGAGTTGAATGGGAAGAAATCGCTTTATCTACCTTTTTTTTAATTTTCGGCGCATACATGCTAGTCACCAATTGCCTCTTGGATGTAGCAAGATTTTGCTGTTAGGCAGCATTAGAAATTTGCTGAATGACCAAGGCTTGAAACTAACATGAATTTAACACAGAGGATATGCTTAAGTTCCGGGTATTCGGACTCATCCGGGGAAAGCAGAGGTGCAGAGTTGTGGCTGCATCTTTGTCTTTCCTCACTGTTCTTTTCACATGACTTCGACTTTTAATTTCTTGCGTCTTTCGAGATGTATTCCTAGAGTGGTGCAACCCTTTTCGTTCTTTTCGAGTCTCTTGCACTCTAAGGACAGACTAATGCCTCGTCCCCACTTCAGGAGAGCAACAACGACTACTGGGTGAGCGGAAGGACGCAGGACGAAGCCGCAGAAAAAGCCGCCAAAAAGTTTGGCGTCTCCAAGGACAAGATCAAGCTCACCCAAGGTTAGCTCGATCCAACCGGTTCACCCGTTGGTTGAAGTGCGTGGAGGTGGTGGCTAATGCGACTCTGTCTTTGACAGACGAAGATGTCCTGGACACCTGGTTCTCGTCTGCTCTGTTCCCTTTCTCTATTTTTGGATGGCCAGATCAGGTGAGACCCAAGCGCAGCTGTAAAGTTGCACTGTCTATCTACCTGCTCTACTATTTATGGCTTTGGTGGAGCACCAGGTAGTAATCCCGTACAATGCTCGGAGTAGATTGTGCGTCTCGGGAGCCTCTCTTCGCATTGTCCCGTTGGTTACTTTTACCGAAGCACTCCTGCCAGCCCGGAATTTCTGGTTCTTTTTGAAGATCTTTAAATGATGAACTATTTATGGGTCCCTTATGGAACACAAAAATTGCACGTATCTACTTTTAGTGTGAACACATTAAAAAGCAAATGCGCCGGCCCTTACAGCATGACGTTGCATCTTCTCACGCCCGTTCCGGCAGCATCGTTTCTACCAGGTTCTAACGCAGAACAGGGTTAAGGTTTGGGATCCTTGAGGATGGCGTTACGTGACGCCACAATAAACAGGTTCTAAGTTGACCGCAATCCCCCCACGGAATGCGACGAAAGAACACACTCTGTGCGTACCGAATTTATCCTTAGTAGGATCAAGGCAAATCAATCACATTTCTTCGCTTTTCTGTCCACACTTTGTGCAACACTGAGCACCCCAAATTTAGAGTGGGAGGGGACCCGGGGATGACTACATGAGATTGGAAAAGTGGGGGGAAAAAGCCAGCAGATTTGAACTTTGTAACCAGTTTTGAGCGTGCGGGGGCACTGCGTCGGGGCGATGCTTTGCCAAAATATTGATCATAGATTTTTGTCCAGGTTGTGCCACATATTATTTCTGCAAACTATTTCCACACCATTTTGATGTCGTTCGTGAAGAAATTAATTTTTGAGCTGACACACGCATACCTTTCTCATTAGTATTACTTGCTCTACCGGCTGTATTGAGCAACAGCAGTCTGATATCCATGTGCAACATAATGGCTTATACGATACTGACCTATGCAAAATGCCTCCTGAAGCCCATTGTGGACTGCCATTTTTAACGCAGTTTATTTTCTTTCTGTAATGCACTCCCGTAACGGAGGATTGTCACTCGAGTGCTGCGTGAGCATATGGCTGGGACATATTTTCTCACCGATGGATTCTCACAGACGCTAGCACAGCACTCGTGCCAGAGAACGCCTCATGTCCGGCACTACTCTATAGACCTTCTTCACATGAACATCATTATCTTCAACCACGAAACATCCAGCATCGAGGAACATATTGTTTTGCTCTCGACGCGCACTGGGAAGTGTTCACGTTTTAATTGTGACTGTCACTCAGTTTTGTTTGACCTCTTCTGTATATTTTTTCCTGATTCCGGGTTCTAAGGTCTTCAACATCCTGAAAACTCTGGATTTTTGGAATGAGAAAGGAGATGACACAAAAAGGGCCGTTCTCTTTGTTGTTCCAAGTCTCAGGTTTTCAAGAAGTTGCCTGCATGTTTTTCGTTATTTCTGTAAGGATTTGGTTTTGGTTTTCGTTCCTTATACTGGATATGTGAACTATGTGGCTTGGGACTAGGGTAGATAGAAAAGGTATATCGGTGCTTGTGCTACGGGCGACGTGTACCGTTCGGCTTGGCTCGTTAATGTGCGTCCCCTCGGTTGAGAGAGACGCGTCCCGATCCCTCCCTGCCATATTTCAGACGGCAGATCTTGCGGCCTTCTACCCGGGCACCTTTCTGGAGACTGGCCATGACATCCTCTTTTTCTGGGTGGCCAAGATGGTCATGCTGGGAAGCCACCTCATGGGCCAGCTGCCCTTCACTGAGGTAAGCTTCGAGACGGCTTTTATATGGTAGCTGTTAGTGCCCCTTCCGGGAAAAAAATGCTCATGTACGAACACGAAACCCCACTCTACAGCAGAGGCACTGCTCTGCTTTTCCCCGTCGTTTCTCACACATGGCAAGGCTCCCTCTCACTCCTTGTCACCCCCCACCTCCCCGCTGTAGGCCGCCGCTGTTCTGAAAAACCTACGGGATTGCGGAGAAAACGCTCTCCCTTCCTCCCCACCCTCCACTCCTTCGGTAGCCACCATTGCAAAATACCCACGTGGTTACACTGTGCGGACACATTCCCTCGCCTCCCCGCTGCCGCCACCCAGGTTCCACTCTTGTGTGCTCTCCGCTCCTCTACAGAACAACTCGCGTGCACACTTTCGCTTCTTCCACCGCAGGCGCAGTCACAGGCTCCCCCGTTCTAAAAAAAACGTTTCAGCCACAAAAAAAAAAAAAAAGGTGTTTCTGTGTCTTTTTCTAACACATGCAACCAAAGCACAGATCTCGCACACGTCTCCTACATCAACTCCTCCGAAAACAAAGAACCCATTGTAGACTTTGTACACCACACTGGCAGAAGGCAAATCTTCTTTTACATGGCTTTCCACAATGCAGCAGCTACCGCTGTCAATCACAGCACGCTATGTGTGGTCGTTTGCAATTTTTTTACTTTGGGGTTTTTTGTTTGGCACTAACACGACCAACCTACTTCAAACAAGTTTGCATTCTTCCGTATGAAGCGCTCAATCCAGGTCACGATCTTTCCCTTCGCTGTGCCAGGAAACGGAGGGGGTGAATTCGTTGCCTTCTCCTTTCTTGCCATAAAAAAGAAAAAGGGTGTAGTACTTTGCTCGTGCATTTTATGCAGACCATTGGCATAACCCCACCGGGTGCAGCCAGCTTTGTCTACTGGGTGATGGAACGTGGTCTGAACATGCACAGTAGCATTCTTCTCTGGAATATCAGATGCCCCACATGCCTACGCTAGCTCAGTGACTGATTTTTTCGCTTCTGCGATGAACACTGGGAAGGTGAATAGAAGTGGGATGCTTATTCAAATAATTCGGGTATTTTAGACTGTGGAGTAGGCAGACTAGGGCCATAAAAAGACAGTGTCAAGGCCGCTTCTGTGCATCCTTAACTAATATTGTGCCTCTGGTGCTGCGAGGGCAGGTGATGTAGGCATGAGTGGATGAAAAGCCAAGTCGATCATTTTAAACGTGTAACATTTATACGGCCAGCCTTAGAGATTTTGTGTCTGCAGATATAGCCTCAATGAAATCACAGTGTGATGTGACGTCCTTCCAAATGCACTCTGAATTAGTAGTACAGTCGACTCTCATTAATTCAAACTCGAGGGGGGCCGAAAATTTGTTTCAATAAAGCAAAGTTTCAATTATCAGGAGTTTCTTCCCATAGAGACGCATAGGATGGGACCTGCACGTTAGTTTGAATTATCCGTAAGTTTGAATTAAGAGATTTTGAATTAACGAGAGTCGACTGTATTAAGAGCTATTCATTGATGTCATGTGACATCATGACATCATGTGACAGTGTGACATCATGGGCTATGTTCCAAATCTTACCCTAGTAACCTGTCTCCTACGTCAGCGGGTAATACCACGTGACATCGCGAGTAAACAATCCGCGACTCGATTTTGGAACGGCCGGGATAATTACCTGGGTACTATGTGGATTGGCTTCATCTTGGGCTACGGCAAAAAGAAAACACAGCAGCTATGGCAGAAAATAGCAGACGGTCCTTTTGATCATGGAGAAAGTGCTGTAAATGACTAAATTTTCACGAGAACCTATTTTTCACGAATTGCCTACATTTCGCGAAAAATAGGTCCCGCGAACAATTTTGGATTAAATGTATACACATTGGAATCTATATTGAGATCCCACCATGTCGCGAAAGTTAGAACCCGCGAATTGTTCCAAAACTTCAGCTTTGACCTAAATTGCAAAATATTGAGCTCGCGAAAAATAAGTCGTTTACAGTACTTGAAGAGACAATAATATTAATGAAGATGCGGTGTTTTCTTGGGTGGATTCACCAGCTCCTTTTACTCACCATCCTTTTAAGCTGTTTAATGAGATCAAAATTACTTGCTCCTTACAGTTAGTCATCAAAAATTTGTTTTTATTTATCAGGGCGATCGCTATAATTCTGGTCCAGGTGTGCCCTAAACGCATATATTTCATGCATTGTAATTTGCGTTGATTATGTTTTGCAGAAATTGCTTCCACACGGTGTAGCGGTATAGTGCAGGGTGCTGTTTCAAGAGTGATATGCAATTTACGTTTGTGTGAATATGATTACAATGAAATCCTCAAAGCCTTCACTGCTTTAAAAGCATTGTCCTCTAATCACACACACTCTGGGGGAAACAAAAAATACTATCTAATCATTTACTGCGTTCAAACACATTCAGCCTTGAACGTGAGAATACGGCAGTCCCTCCAACGCCGACGACGGGGATGCGGAGAAGCTCCTGTTTATGCTTGCACTCTAATAGTAACAAGTATACCTTCCTGAGGGAAGGTGCACAATCTGGATGTGGTGCAATCAATTCCTGCGATGATAAGAGCAAATTGCAGTAATTACACATAAATGGCTGCACCTCATTCTTTGTTATTTAGAATGTTTGCCACCAAAGCCAACAGAGTAAACGAGCTTTGACAGCTGTCGGTGCAGAAAGCAGATGACAAACAAATCATGTGATGTATTTACTTGATTTGGTCTGACACTACCCCCCACTCGAGGAGGGTAGTTTGAGTAATTACTCCGGAGTAAACAACCCGCTTCTGGAACGCGAGTTCTGACGTCATCGAGTAAGCGCGAGTAAGTTTTGAAACACCATGGCTCGAAACCTTTACTCCGGAGCCAAATCAAATAAATTTTGGAACACAGCCATGGTTTCATGTAGCATGGTCTAATATTACATTACCTGGTCATGTATGACAGGTGACACAACAAAGTGACATTGTCACTACCAGTCAAGTAGCATAATGATGTCACATGAAACTATGATGTCAGGTGGCACTGTGATGTCGCATCACTTCAGCAGTGTCATGTGAAACTGAAGTTAGGTGACACCATCTGAAGACATTGTCAAGTCACATGACATGGTGACCTTATGTGATACCATAATGTCACATGAAATCAGATCATTTTGGGTGCGACCAAGACATGACATCATGGTGTCACATGGCGTGACCTGACGTTACATCACCTGGTCACATACGATGAGTGACACCATGACATGACATCGTCACTTCCAGTCACGTGGCACCATTATGTCACGTGACACTGTCAGGGGACTTTATGATGTCACATTCTGACATCACTTTGTTGTCATGTGACACTGAAATTAGGCAACACCATCATGTGACATTGTCAAGTCACATGACACTGATGTCACGTGACATCACATCACATGGCACAATGACGTCGTGATGTCATAGTGTCACATGAAGTCACGTCACATTAGGTGTCATCATAATATGGCATCATGGTGTCATGTGGCATGACCTGACGTTACATTACCTGGTCACTACGACAGGGGACACCACAACATGACATCGTCACTTCCAGTCACGTGGCACCATAATGTCATGGGACACTGATGTCAAATCACTTCAGTGTCACGTGAAACTAAAGTTGGTTGACACCATCACGTGACAGCATCAAGTCACGTGACACTGTGATGTCTCGTGACAGCATGACATCACAAGACACAGTGACATCATGTGATGTGTCATCAATGACGTGAGATCATCATGAGTTGCAATGAATTCTAAACACTGCTGGCACTGCGGTGATCCTGATGGCACCTCTTCTCTGTAAGGTATTCATTTGCTGCACTTGCCGGCACATACTGCTGATTTACCACCTTGCAGTCGCGTCCACATGGGCACGGCATATCAATATTCGAGGGCCTATGAACCATAACGCCCGCGGAAGTCACCCCTAAGAGGCTGTGTTGGCTGCGATCCCAGCCCATTCCACCTCTCAGCACGGCGGCATGTTGTCAATGAAAGAAAAAAAAAGTAAATGGAGCGCGAGAGCAAAGGAAGACACAATCAAAAGGAGGCAAAGGAGCGTTAACAACCAAGGGCAACACTGCCTATGAAGGAGATTGAGCAGACGGATGAAGGACAGCCTCTCAGTGAAGAAGGAAGGAGGGAGAACATGACATCCGGCGCACTGCGCAGTGTCTGTTTTTTTCAGCGATTCAACGTGCCAGGTCCGTCGCATGACACGGGATGCATATGATTGCGTGTTGTGAAGTTCAAACTTGCAATACATTCTTTCTCCGAGGAGTTGGCCAGACACGACCAAATAGTTGTAAAATGCGCGATGTCGGATAAAGTGGGGATGCATAATTGGGGTTGCACGGTACAGCCTCTGCTGTCTGGCAGATTCAGTATAGTACTGGAATAGTTAATACCTGTATTATAAAAACTGCCACATTTGTTTTGTCCTTCCCAAAGGTCCTGCTGCATTCCATTGTGAGGGACGCACACGGGAGAAAGATGAGCAAGTCCCTGGGAAATGTGATCGACCCCATTGACGTCATTCGGGGGATTTCACTGGAGGTGAGACTCGCACCTTTTTGCAGCTAATAGTGGGTTTGCCGGATGGCAGCAATGTGTTTTTGAAAGTGGTGCAAGTAAAAAAATGGGGATTAGGATTTGCTTTTGTTTTATGCTGATTTGAAGGATAGGTGCCAGTCATGATTTGTGACCTTTACCATCCTAGATGTCATTGCTGCATTGCAACACACTGCTTACAACATCTTATCCAGAGATCGCAAAAACTGGGGAATAAATTTTCTATGTAATGAGGCCTCTCACTCTCGGTATTGTAGTACCAGCATACGGTAGGGGCTCGGAACTTCATCTGCTACTTTCATCTCTTCAACATAAACATTTTGTTTTCTTTCTACTATACGTCTTTTCTGCAATATACTAAGTAATATAACGAAGTAAAACGGCGCAAAAAGGTGCAAAAGGAAGATGCACCATTTTAATTCATCTTTAAACACTGCCAGCTAGCCTAGCTCTGAACCTTATAACTAGCTAATGTTTTTGACTCTCTATTGCCCCGGTAGCCTTAGGACCGTTCAAGCAAGAGCAATCAATCAATCGACTGCATAAAAGAGAAAGATGAAATCCCCTAAAGTTTCTTTTATGATTATTTGGGAACACTAAATGGATCAATACATCAAACTTTTTTGTCCTAGAACAAACAACCAAACACTATCATAATAAAATGTTCAAACAATATATATGTGCTTATGAAAATTATACATTTCAGTTTTCCTTCTTTTTAAAAACAATACAGTGCAATCCACGTATGGCGATACTACATAAAACAATGTACTACTTACAGCGATCAGTTTCTAGTGTTTCTAGTCCACATACAATGATGATCGGTTATAACGGTCGAATTTTCGAGTTTTCTCTGTATCGTCATAAGTGGATTGCACCGTAGTTCGCTCAAACAACCATGGAATGTTTTTGTTTGTTTTTTATGTTTTCCACTCCTGCTTGGTCTTGAACGAGACCAGCAGTAGGAATAACTGGGAACTGCCATCATTACATCGAGGTTTCACCATATCGAAGCGCCCCCTGGCTCCGGGGCGTCTTTAACGAGTGGCACGTGTCAACGCAGGACTTGAACGAGCAACTGCTCAACTCCAACCTGGACCCGTCAGAAGTGGAGCGTGCCAAGCAGGGGCAGAAGGCGGACTATCCCAGGGGAATCCCGGAGTGCGGCACAGACGCGCTGCGCTTTGCCCTCTGTGCCTACATGTCGCAAGGTGAGGCCCCTCCGTCGGGGCATTTTCGTGAAGGAACAAAATACATTATGGGAGCTGGCGACAAATATGCGATGCCTGGAAAGCGTCGCCAACTGGAGTGTTTATCACGTCCTCATCCGTGGCCCGATTTCTTGTCGACGATATTGCGGAAGTGTTGTGCCGTTGTCCGACATGGTCCCGGAGGTGGGACAGCAGCTCCGATGAATGCGGCCAATGCCTGTTCTGTTGCAGGTTGCTCGCCAGCTCTGGTCCACGGGAACTTGCCTTAGCAACCACGGGTTGGGACGCCGCAATAGCAGTGACACTTGCGTTTGCTTCTACTTCTTGCTGGAACTTCTACGGCCAACCGCCAGAATGGCGACGTCTGACATCACAGCGCACTAGCTTTTGTGACGTAATTTGTTGCCACTCCCGCACATTGACACATTTGAGCACAATTGAGGACCATTTTCAGTCGATGGTCAGTAGGAAACGTTAGGCACGCCAGTCGAAGACATGTTCCAGGCGCCGCAACTAAATGGTATGCAATGTCACGGCCTTGCTGACTGGTCGTACAAAAGCTGGCAAAGAAGAGTGAACGCACGTGTTGCTGTCGTCGCGGGGTCCGAGCCCTTTTCCATTGACTGATTGGCTGCAGAGAAAGCTACAGCTGTGCTGGCATCTGCCCTATGCACCTGCGCTCCTGTACCACAAACAGGGTCTCGACAAATGGCGGCATTATGCAGTTGTGGAGTCACCAGTCAGAAGCCGAGGTTATAAACATAAAGGCACAATAAGCATACCAGTCGGAGACATGTTTTGGGCACCATGCTACTCGGAAACTTTAAGGTCTTGCATGGTCGGTAGGGCTATCAACAATCGGAATGTCTCTGATAGAATGTCTTCAACCACTGGCACGTGTTGAAGGAGAAGGTCATAGTGTGCACCATGAAGCATTGTGCACAACACTGAAACAAATCGGTTTCTTGACTGACACTCTATCAAGAGAGTTTTAAAGAGGTAGCTTTATAGTGCCACCCAACCTCGGGAGCCACTTAAGCACAAAATGTGCAGGTCGGTCAATTTGTAATTGCTAAACGAGCTTGAAAAAAACGGCAACCGGTGCCAAGGATCAAACCCTGGTCACCGGCTGACTGATCGATGCACCCTGCGTGCAGGAACTGGAGGAGCAGAATGTGGTGTGAGAAAGTGTGCGGAGTGGGGAGGGGTGGAAAGGGAAAGGAAGAGAGGAGCAAAAACAGGTAGTGTAGAAAGAGCGCTTGGAACGGCAAGTGGAAAGGGCAGGAAAGCGCATTTCTCTTCTCTTGGTGACCCTGAAAATTCAGTGCAAAGGCTTTGTATCCGGGTCATGCTGGAGGGCAGTGTGCACGCAGCGTCACAGAGAGACAATGGTGTGATGTAATCTGTTTCCACACAAAAACCCTGCTCTAGGTACCACATAAGCTAAGAGCACTACCCACCCCAGGCACTGAAAGACGAAGGGTCATCCTACCCTAGGCACCACCTGAACTAAGAGGACCACCCACCCTATAAAGCTACCACATTTGAATGCATTTGGCAGAATGACCAACATGCAGCCAATTTTCTACTGTCTCACCTTATGATTAATTGCAGTGGATGCTACAAGCCACCGTGAACCCAGCATCGTGAACATGTCGCATAACTAAGCACCTTGCACATCGCTGTGCCCCTCCTGAAGGCTACGTGACACTCGAGGCTGTTCAAACAGGACACATTTTCTGCGGTCACAGCATTTGCTGTACCAGATGTGGAGGTTTTCCTCCGGTCCCAGTCCGCTTTGGCACATTTATTTTGCCGGGGGGAAAGCTTCCCTCTACTTGTTTTCTCGAACAGTGGCTTGAAGCGTATTCATCATGTGGGTCTGAACAGTCACTCACACGCTCTGTTGATTGTCGTGAAGGCCTCTGCCGTTGTTGTCGGTCCCCGATCTCCTGAAAACCAGAAAAGGGAGTAGACAACAGCGAGGAAGCGAGGAGAAAAACCGAGCTGTTTTTGTGGCTGACGTCCTCGTGGGAAATGTATGCGCACGCCGCAACTTTCATGCTTCTCGAGATACGGCTGCGTTTTGGAACTATAGCTTTACGGCTGACACTATTCAGGTATTTCGGTGTCAGCATTTGTTGTCTGTTGTCGCTGCAGAGATGAAAAACACTTCTCTCCACTCATGGCGCGAGGAGAGAGGTCTGGTGTTCCTATTGCCCGCGCCGTGCGAAAAGGAAAGAGAGAAGTGCCCCGACGACCCGCCAATAAGAGCACGACGACGAGGAAGCGTCAGCAGAGCGTCTTTCCTTGTCGTCTGCTAACGATAACTTCAAAACGGGCGTTTTCAAACATTACTTGCGTTATACGAAATCCCACTTTGGCAGTATCCAGTTGCTATGCATAATGTTGGAGGGTTTTAGGAACTTTCATCGCATTCGATTTCACTGTACCATCTCTACTTCTCGAACGCAACTCGAAAGATAAAATATATTCTGCCAAAACTCCTCGCCTTTCATCCGCCATCCCCGCAAAGCTTCACATGCTTTCTTTACATGTGTCCTCCTCTGCACTCTTCGCTGAATGTTAACATTACCCCCTCCCTTCACCGCTCAACAACATCGAGGAAACCTGCGCCTCCGCTTGTGTCATTCACTGCCACAGGCTTCCTAATAGTGCCGCCGCACCAAGATCGTACTCCCTCCCAGGAGTGAGTGCGGAGGGAACGGCTGGCTTTTGCGTATTACGACCAGCATCGCGCTCACATTGACCATTAACGAGGTGCTGCCTGTGCCACGCGTACATGACAATATGAGAATCCCGAGATATGACAGGACAAGGCGGATGCACGTGCACAGCGACATACAGCTATTGCTTTTGCTTCTTCCACAATGTGGGCAAAAAAGGCACCCGTTTTTTTGCCGTGTGCGGCATCTTCTGTGTCCTGTCAGGGCAGCCCTTTGCACAGCGATCAATTGACTTTGATGACTTGTAGTGCCCTCAGCAGTCCATCGTAGGATTGTACAAAGTGTAATAGTCAGATTTTCTCACCGCATACTTTTGTGTCCTTTGTTTGGATGCAATCTGCAGGCCGTGACATCAACATGGACATCAACCGCGTCGAGGGTTACCGGCATTTCTGCAACAAGATCTGGAATGCCACCCGCTTTGCCCTTATGTCCATCGGAGAGGACTTTAAGCCCAAGGAAGTGGCAGCAGTGAGTTGGGCCCTTGTATTCTATCCTACTGCTTGGTTTCACAAGAGACCCAGTTAAAAATAACCATTGACTCCAATTAGGATATTCAATTGGAACCAACTGGAGTCAATGGAATTCAATTGGTTCTGGGTCATCCAACTGGTCATTCTAATTAGTTTCAATGTTTCCAATTGGTTACACCAACTAGGAACAACAAAATTCAATTGGCACTGGGCCACCTAATTGGTCACTCTAATTGGATTCAATGTTTCCAACTGGTTACCCCAATTAGGACCAACTAAATTCAATTGGCACTCAGCCACCTAATTGGTCACTCTAATTGGATTCAATGTTTCCAACTGGTTATCCCAATTGGGATCAATAAAATTCAGTTGGCACTGGGCCACCTAATTGGTCACTCAATTGGATTCAATGTTTCCAACTGGTTATCCCAATTAGGATCAATAAAATTTATTTGGCACTGGGTCACCTAATTAGTCACTCTAATTGGATTCAATGTTTCCAACTTTATGTTTTCAATGTTTCCAATTGAATTTTATTGATCTCCGATTGGGATCAATAAAATTCAATTGGCACTGCGACAGAACTTGCCATTATCTCTTTCCTCACCACAAAGTTTCCAAAGATCGCAATTTTTTCTTTTTTTCAGTATTGCGTTGCAAAATTTTTTTTCAACATCGCAATTTGAAAGAGGGGAAAAAATTCGTACGCTATTTAATAAATAAATAAAATAAAAACGAAAAAAAAAATCTGTTTCTAGAATTAGTCGGAATTGCCGGCAGCGTCGGTGTACACTGGGCGGCAAAGATGGCGCCGCGAGGACGGAGGAAGCATGAAGCACATGGCGCCGACGGCGTGTACGGCATTCGTAGCATGGTTATGGCAATGATTCAAGAAAGTTCTTTTGTGTTTTACTGCTCTAGAGTGCTCACTGATGCGGTGATAATTACTTCATTTGACCTGCCAGCTTGTTAGAGCGCGAATGAGTGGCAACAAACGTTTATGGGAGCAAGGTAAGAAATTTTCTTTGTCCTTGCTGCGCTGCAGTTTGGGGATTTCGGATTGTTAGATCTGCTGAGACACTCGTTGCTTGATCTTCAGTGAACGATGCGAGCGTGAATATATAGCTTTAGAGAAGAAAATTTTCCGGGCAGCTATCAGTTCGGAAGTTGTTGGGTGTCCGCGAGGAAAGTTAAGTGCATTTTAAGCATCTCAAAACTAAACTGACTGGGCACAGTTTCAAAAATTGAAGCTTTGGGATTTTTCAAAATTAAGCAATTTCGGGAAAATTTTCGATGAGTGGGAAGTGGGGTGGGGGGGTCGGTCGGTCGGTGATGTCGGGTCATTACTTCTGGAAGTTGATGACTTCTAATAAAATAACAGTAGGTACCGAAAATTTCGCATCTCATCCGGCGGACTATTTGCAGCTATGTTTCAAAATTTACTCTGTCTCACTCGGGGTAAGTTCAAAAACCTACCCGCGTCTTGCGTTGCCTCTGATCCATTCGAGTAAGATTTGGAACACAGCCTGCAATGAATGATTTCTTTTCGAGATATGAAAGACACTTATTTTTTCACCCCTGCACACTTTAAGCATATTTCAGGTGCACTGGCCAGCTTTAGAGATGCCTTTGAATTGACTGTTTCTTCTCCTTATAGCAGAGATTATGTCTCACAGGCTCATAGGAAACTTAGTAGTTTTAGACCATCCCAGATGCAAATTTAGCCCAGTCTCGGCAAAAGCTTCATCTCCTAATTTTGACCAGAGTGTTTCAGTCACCCAGGGATGTTTGCCTTTTAATGCAAGGCCTGCAGGTTTATACCACTGCAACTAATTTCTTTGCAGCGAAAAAAAAAAAGTTTAGTATGTTTCTAAGCTTGATTTAAACATTTATAATCCCATAAGGTCATTTAATGCATATTTATCCTTTATTTTAGGGAAGCTGCAGCTGCTATCCTGGAAGAAAACGACGATGCCTAGAAGCAAGAAATCATTTCTGATAAGTTAAATAAAGACTGTGTGATTATCTACCTTTAGATCTAGTTGCAACTTTTTCTAGTTTGGGATATCCAAACACTAATGGTTGTCCCAGTTCGTATTTGTCAATATGATTTGAACAGTTGGACCAATTGCTTTTTTCCTATTGGGAGTCCGAAAACAGAAATAGGTTTTTTCCAATTGGTTGCATCCTATTGACAATGCCGAACTAGTTCGAATTGGTGATGTTCAATTAGATTTCGACAATTGAAACCAATCAACTTTTTCTAACTAGGAGTCCGAAATCACAGATAGGATTCCCCATTGGTTCTAATTGTCGATAACTAATTAGAACCAATTGACTTTTTCTAACGAGGAGTCCGAAATCACAGATAGGATTCCCCATTGGTTCTAATTGTCGACAACTAATTGGAACCAATTGACTTTTTCTAACTAGGAGTCCGAAATCACAGATAGGATTCCCCATTGGTTCTAATTGTCAATAACTAATTGGACCCAATGGTTATTTTTAACTGGGGAGCCTTCTTTCTTGTGGCGTGTTTCCGTTGCATGGTCTGTGCTTGCTACGAATGAGCACTAAAAAATTCTCTTGAAGGGCCCACCTGTCAGCACACTTTTTTCTCTCTCACTGGCATGTAAAACTAAGAGTTAGGCGTTTTTGAGCCCACTCTGTTTGTGGGAAACCTTGAGCTTAGTGGTATTTGGGTCACATGCAAGTTCCCTGCAGGTTGGGAAATCTCGCGAGCGTGTCCCGTCTCCTATGACATAAGCCTCGATAAATTATCTTTTTTTTTCATCCATCACCAAAAAACACTGCATCTGCAGTACAAACCCCCTTCCCCCCCCTTCCCTTTCCTGGGAAAGCACCCCCCAATTTAAAGGAAAATAGATCCTGAAAATACAGAACCCCAGTCATGACCTTTCTGTCGCATTGGCGACATTAAATTCCATTCTCTTTGTGCACCTCTTCCAGGTCTCTGGGAAGGAGTCTCCGATGGACCGCTGGATCCTCTCTCGACTGGCGGCCGCCACGGAGACTTGCAATGCGGGGCTGGAGGCCTACGACTTCCCCCAGGTCACCACCGCCATCTACAGCTTCTGGCTGTACGAGCTGTGCGACGTCTACCTGGTGAGGTGCCCGGCGGTTTGAGCACCGATTCAGACCGCTTCCTAATGAACTTGTGAAAACGGTGTGCACGAAAGGCGACCACCAAGGAAAGGAGCACACACACAGCGGCATATGTGGGCTTTCTACTGCGTCGGCCGTGCCCGGCTCGTCGTACTGGGCGAGTGTCCTCTTGCCGAAAATGAACGTAGCATGTGTGCAATTATCGTGGGTGGCTTTGACAACGGCAGAGGGCAAGTACAGCACCGATATCCTCGCCCTTTAGCCAATAATAGTCGCGGTGGAGGTGCAGTGCGTTCGGCCAATCGTGATTGCGCCGGGGTTCATGTGATCGCGCTCTTTGCCGCCCGGTCCTTTTCACCTTCGGTTGGTCGTGCCCTCGGCGCTCCAAGTCTTTGCGTGCAAGAATCGGGTGGCCGAAGCATACGCTGGAGCAAGCGGCAGCTGCTCGATGGCGTAAACGCACCCGTGGGAGAGACTGTCGTCGACGTGTAGGCACCAACGGTCTCACCCTGGGTGTTAGGGTGGAACGCATTTGATGTCAAGATCATGCTTCGCGTAAATGTGAGGCGGGACGTAGAAGAGAGCCTTACCGAGCGAAGAACGGACACTGTTGTGACCAAGCAATTTGTGCGGCGCGTCAGCGATGTTTGGTGCTAGCCACTCTGTGTGTGATCGGCTGAGGTTTACACGAGACACCGTGCGGTGCAGCATCGCCAGAATTTCCAGTCAATCACGATGCAACATCATCTAAATGTTGCACGAGCTGGCGCTGCCCTTTCGCATCACGTCGCGCAATCGTCCGCGCAGTTTTATTTCTTTCGGAGCTGTCTTCTGTGTGGGCTGTTCTCACCGTTTGAAAACATGTTGCACCAACTAGCAAGTTTCAGCCCTAGCAAATATAATATGGTGTTATGATTCCCGAGGCTCAATCTAAAATTTGGCCGAAAACTCAGCACCTACCCATAGCCATCTCGAATTTTTATTAAAGGTGTATCTTAATGGTGCATTTTACCTCCTGAAATTTCAAGGCATAGCTACGTTCCTGTATAAAATGAGACCACCCTTGACATCGTCAGTGGCTCACAGCAACACAGGCGAGAGTTAACTGAGGGCTATGCTTGTGGCACTATCTCCTGATACAGGCGCAGCTAGCAGACAACAAAACTCGGTCGAAAGCAGACAACACTGTTTTCGATTGAGGCATGTTAATCGCAGTCGCCATCGAACGTGATATTTTCTCCGTGCCACGGGTAGACTGTACCAATTTGTGTCAATCTTACAGAAAGGTTTCGGTCACCACAAGCGTCAAAACGGTCTCGAGAATTTATATTTTGCCAGAGACTTGTTTGACTGCACCAGCCCCTTGCAACAACCATCTGCAGGAATCCCTGAAGCCTGTGTTTCAAGGCAGTGATGCGGAGGCAAAGGTGGTCTCCTCGGAGGTGCTGCTGACGTGTCTGCATGCTGGGCTGCGTCTGCTGCACCCCCTTATGCCCTTCCTTACTGAGGAGCTCTACCAGCGGCTGCCGAGGCGGTCGGCTTCGCTGGCTCCCAGCATCTGCGTCGACAGCTACCCCGAAGTGACGGAGGTAAGGGAAAGAGACGAAGCACTCCATTCGTCATTCATTTGGCGCGGCGGGCTAGAATGATGTGTTACACTCCCATTTAAATGCATTTTCTTGTGCTCGGCGGCGTAATGCAGCAGCAGTACGCTTTGGGTGTTTTAGTTTGTTTAGCTTACATCACATTCAGATAACCTCATTAATAGGGCTGGGTGTTTTTGTGTTTGATTGTATTTTTAAATTTGGCTTCTTTTTTGTTTTTATTAAGAAAGGAAACTTCTTTCTTTCTTGGATGGCTATGCATACCTATGAAAGTTTACCTATTTCTTTTCTCCGTGATATGTGCAGTGTCCTCATTTGAGCCTATCCTTTGTTTAGCTTTTTTTTTGTGAGTATGGTAGTCTTTAGGGCAGAGTGTTCATGGAAAATAAGCAGCTAAATAGTAATGGGGCTTCAAATTTATTGATGAGATAAATGCAAGAAATATTGTGCTTATTTTTCGAAGTAACATGTACATTATAAACAAGCATGGGCAACTACAGATGAGGCAGATATTGACAAGCTCTCTTGAACTTAGTGTAACAAAGGACCTAGATTTTTGCTGGTCTTTGAGCCACAATTATGTGCCACAACATCTGTGTAATAAACACACATGTTTACTACAAACTTATAATCGATATGTACAGATAAATTAATTGAACCATACTGATTGACTGGGAATAAAGGTTAGAAAGCCGTTGAAATAATTTGGTGACTTTCTGACCTCTGTATTTCCATTTGATCAGTACATACACTCATCTGCACATTTCAGCTATTTCTTCTTTAGAGATTGTGAAAAGATGATGAAAAGTACCTGCGATGCAGTCTTGTAACAAACACAAACATGCATTTATTACAGACATCGCATTCACAAAGTCTGCACGTTGTAAACTCGGTGTCGGTTCGGTGAGGATAACTGTCTTCAGGGCTTCTTTTGCTCTTCTTCCCATGCAATGAAGTGAAGCTTTGATTGGCACGGCACTTCTTGCGTTCTTTTTCTGAGGACACGAGCATAAATCTTCAAATTAGTCTAGTCACGCCGGCTCCTCGGGGTTGCTGGAGGTGATGGGGGTTGTGTTGCTGGATGCTGCTCATGGTCACTTCCGGTGTGGAAGCGGGTAGCGCTTGGCCACTAGAGCCTGCTGGCCTCTGCTAGCCAGCCCCGACACTATGTAGAATAAATTACTGCACTTCGTCAAGTTGTTGTCCTCGCGTAGGCGCAACACAAGATGCCCAGAATGAGAGCGCCGCCGCTTTTGCCGACAGCGATACACAGAAGCCCCCAAAATCGGTGAATGCACTATAAATCTGTTGCATCATATGTCATCATGATATTATTGAAAATATGACTACCAGACTCTGCACTCTTATTGAGAGTGTAACAAACACCGTTTGTGACAAGCTTGTTTGTGGTGCCTTGTTGGTCTTTTCGCAACTCGTTATAATGTTTCCTCATATAGGTAATCAGTTATGGGTATATGGAAAGTACGAAAGCCTTTCGTTGCATCTCTCTTTCATAAATGAGTGGTGTATGTGCTGCATTTTAGGAAGATATCATACATTTGGGGCTGAAGCTGAATCAAGTGTTGCCTTGTATTTCCCTAGTACTGTTCCGCCTGCTTATAACGAAGTCGGTATAATGAATTGCCGGCTAAAGCAAAGCAATCACGATTTCCATTTATCATTTGCAGTCATTCAACGTATTTGTGTCTGTTCTTAGCAAAGGAAATTGAGTGGCTCCTACAGATATAGTGAAGAAACATTTTGTGATAACTGAAAAAATAATAAAATTCAGAAAGTTTACAAAGTCGCACACTGCCGCAGTTTGCTGCTGCAGCCGATTAGCCACCCAGAGCGTGCAGCAGACGATGCCATGAAGGCTGTTGGCGGCAGCCTCTGCATCGTCGTCCGCTCCCTGCTCCTTAGCTAGGAAGTGGCTTTTTCGCATCGAACGTGGAGAAGCTGTCGTGGCATGCCATTAGGGGCATTTAGAGCCTTAGCTACGACGTACCCACGAAGAGAGCCTAAATTTAAGAAAGAGAGCAACTCCCTCCGAGGAGAGCATTGGAAATTTAATGGCGGATGCCTCCTGGGCAGATTGGCTCAAGTGTGCCTGCGTTAGGTTGTCACGTGGCCAGCATGGCAACAAAAACCGGGCGGAGAGGCGGAGACGTTTGCAGATGGCGAACACTTTCGACTCCTTGCAGGCTGCAGCTCATTTTGCAAATGCGGTCCACAAACCACGTGACTCTGATTGAGCAGCTGCCCCTCTCTCAGATCTTGGTGCTCTGTACCGACGAAACACAAACTTGAGTGCGAGCTTGGTGCCGTGCGCACTTCTTTTTTGCTTCGTGTTCCGTGTCAGCATCGCTGGTCAGTGTGGCCGCTCTCTGCGCGCGAAAGTCAAACTTTGCTCAAGCACCGATTCAGCAAATCATCACCACTCAACGATACCGGATCCAGGCACTGCTGGCACCTCAATGGGAAAGAGGAAGGCAATCTCCTTTAAACAAAAGCGTGCCATCCTCCGACGAAGTGCACATTAACATAAAGAATGCCGCTTCGCCGCCGGTGTTCTCCACGGCGGCCATCGCAGCTATCGATACGGTCTGTACGTAGCTCGCAGGGTCTTTCTTCATTCGGAGCTTCTTCTCGCAGTTGGCAAGATGCAGCTCCGATCTAGCAGAAAGTGCATGCAGGGAAGCGTATACCACTTTCTGCAGGCACGATAAACATGTGCCTGTGACGGCTTGTGTTATTAGGGGCGTAGCTCCTTAGGGTCTAGCCTTGTCCGTCCGTCCGTCTGGCCGGCCGGCGTCCGTGCTCACATAAAAAGAAAAAATGTTTGTGCAGTTGACAGGATTCGAACCTGTGCGGGGAGACCCCAATGGATTTCTAGTCCGTCGCCTTAACCACTCGGCCACAACTGCGGGACGAGTAGGGGGTTCTGAGATGTGGTAGGAACTGAAGAGCTGGGGTTTCTGTCATGGATGAAACGTTACATGTAGCCGCTCAACGTCTATACAGGAGAGGGCGCTGCGGTCAAATGCGTATATAATTGCGTTAAACTTTGCATTCATTGGCTCAACGTTTATAGACGAGAGGGCGCTGCGGTCAAATGCTCAAATGCATATATAACCACGTTCCATACCACACATTCTGTTTCTGACATGGACCGTTGCTACTTAAGCGGTGGAGATGCATTCCCGCGGCTTCTAGCGGATCCAAGCTGATCCGCTAGAAGAACCACTGGCTCTGCATTTCACCTACCATAAAGCAGTAATAATGAAGTCGAAACACAACCCGGAACTCAGCACTACCTATGAGCAATAAGAAAAAAATCGGCACCATCAGCACTACCTATGAACAATAAAATCAGTATCATCAGCACCGCCAGAGCTTCGCCCCAATCAACATCATTCACCACGTGGAGATGTTGTGATTTTTTTTTTGCCGTGTTACTTTCATGGAGTCCAAATATAATGAAGAAGCAAATATAGCAAATTAATTTACGATTCCCATTGACTTCGTAATAACGGGTCTCAGCAGAAGTATTGAATCTCGGTCAGCTTTTCCTCAAGACAACTTTGTAAGAAACACAATAAAAATCCGGTGATGTGGGTGCAGAAATTTGAAGTACATAGTGATCATTCATTGATAGTGTTCACAATGCAAGAAGAAAAAGATCTTGGCTAACATACTTTGCTGTTTTTATCTTTTAAGCATGAACCATAGTTATCAAACGCACTCTTTTGAGGGCCCTTGATAAATATTAGCATATTTTCCGCATAAAATAAGCCGTGCTGCAGAAAATCGAGGTATCTCCGGCTAACTGGCAGCATCCTGCTTTACTTGAACCGAGTTTGCTGTTACGACTCTTGCTTTGGTCTCACTGCCGGCATTGTGAAAAAAATTAACTCATAAAAACAAGTACACAGCTTGCACAGGGCATGCATCGCACCGTGCTGGTGGTCATTCCAACTTATTTTGCTGAGAAAAACAAATTCGGGGGTGTGAAATTTATATTGCATAGAGTTCGCACTCAGCAGCAAAGTAACCACAATGGCGGCTGATGTGACGTCAGTGCAAGCCATGTAGAGTACTACCCTACTAACTTTCTAGGAGAGATGGGAGATGTGTCCAAGTGTTCATGCCCCTGTCAGGTTTTGTTCACAAGTGTAGTAGTTCACATATGCTTTATTAATGCAGAATTGCACTCTTAATGAAGCTACGATTTCACCAGTGACCGTGGCTAAGTATACCACGCTATGGTGGAAAAGAGTTGGCCAATTGTCAGACACCTGCACAGCAGGCTCCAAGAAGAAAAGAAATAAACAATTTTTTAAAAGGGAGACGTAGTAATGGCGCTAGGCAAGGCATCATATGCTTATTTATTTATTCAAATTCTCTTAAAGGCCCTCATTGAGGGCATTACATAAGGGGGGCACATAACACGAGAGCATAAAACAGTAACAATGACAAGTGCAAATACATAGGGTGCTCCAAAACAATGTGGCATCGCCACGAGCAACGGCAATACACAAATTAGTCTGGGTAGATGGGGAGCATAAGGGGATGAAGACATTGATGCATGGCAACCAGTAAACACAAGACAAACAAATAGAAGGCTTAGGCTGGAATTGGTGTCTGCAGCGTCCTTTATAAATTGCAATTCCGCATGTGATGTTTTAATGGATAGATCAAGATGCAAATGCACATTTTTAGCAATAGCTTTTTGGATTTTGAGGATCCTTAAGATTTTGTTTAGAAGGTGAGCACGGTGGTAGAAATATGTGCTGCTGAAAGAATAACGACACATCTTTTATTCGAAAGATGTGTCGTTGTGTCTGTCTCCCTGTTTATTCTTTGAGTAACTTGTTTTAAAATTTTGTTCAGTTTTTGGTCGAGTGTTCCTTTTGATTGCGTGTCATTTCTCTCAAACACAGAGTCACACTTCACTAGTGTGAGCCCCCCATGTTTGGATGGAACATTACCTGTCGCACTGCCTGTTTGTTGTGACAGCTAGAAGCATGAACCCTTGATGTTTGTGAAAGCAAGAAAGCAGTCGCACAGCCAACAGACTTGAGATGACGACAGTACTGACGCAGCTGTCTGCTGTCCGTCTTATCCACTTTTTGTTTTCATTTCCTCAATTGCCAGTTTCCTCCAAGGGACGAGTCTCTGGAGAAAGGAATCACGTTCATGCAAGACTTTGTGCACAAGGTGCGCTCCCTCAGGGCTGACTACAACCTCACCAAAAACAAGGTTCACTGTGAGTGCCACAAACATTCCGTCTTTCTGTGGTGTCTGGCATGCCATGTTGGTTTCTTCAGTAACTTAACCTAACCTAAATTTTCCTCTACCCAACCTAAACCCAACCTAACTTAACAAGCGCCCATCCCCCAGCTTTGCAAGATCATCTCCTACTTCTGGGTTGGCACTTGCTCCATATTTTACGGCACGAATAAAGATCCCTAATTACATGCACCCCATTTCACCTTACGATAGACTGCAGCAGACGCTACTTTCTCGCTCGCTAAGTTCTCTCCACTTTGTGTGCATGCAGTGTACGCCAAGTGCAGTGGCAGTGGGAAAGAGATCATCTCGTCCTTGGGTGGAGTGATTGCCACCCTCACCTGCTCCTCCGAGGTGGAGCTGCTGGAAGACGGCGCTGCGGTACCGGCTGGCTGTGCCATGACCACCATTTCGGACTCCTGCCAAGCCTACCTCATGCTCAAGGTGGGAGTCACCAACTCCACCAGACTATGCTCTCTCAGGCTTTCCAGCCAGAGCGTTTGCCACATTTTAGTACAAAGCTACTGCCCCGGTTTCAGTGGAACAACCAGAGCTTTTTTTATGTAGTACCGTAGTATTTAGCAGTACGGTTATTGCACCCTTTCTCTCTAGAAAAATTATGTTTCTTTTTTAAAAGTTCATGTGTCCAATCGATACCAGACTGCTTCGCTTTTGATTGGTGCTCCAAAATGGTTGAAAGCCCAGCCACACCTTGGGTGGCCCGAGCCAACTTCTGTCCCAACCAGGTCTTGGCATCGACATAGCTTGCCAGGCAAGGATCAATCAGAGTCGCGCATGGCGGATTTGAGGCCAGACGCGACCTTTGCTGGAACGTTTGAGTTTATTTTCCGCACAGCCAAAGCAGCAAGGTATTTGATTTTTTTGAGATAGGCACTTTTTCTTTGGTGTAAAATTAAAGCAAAAGATACTATGTAACTTTTAAATATTACCTTTTTGTCGAGCACCAATACAGCCTTACCAGGTGGTTGTTTCTGGTTTTTTTGTATTTGAGGGTTAGTCAATCTGGCAACACTGCACAGCACTCTTATGGATATCTCAGCTTGCGAACCCGTAAGCTGAGATCTAAATACATTCAACGAGATGGGCCGATCAGAGCATATCACTAGAAAAGGGGGTAAAGGAAACTGAGAGGAAATTGTGGGAAGAGAGAATGCAGGGGAAATCAGCTTTAACAATATACAGGGCAAAAAGACAAGAAATAAAGAAGGAACAGTTGTATGATGATTCATTGGGGAGCTCATTGCTGTTTGAAGCTAGAACGTGGGTGCTAAGAACGAAAACGTATAGGGCTAAATTCCAGGAAATAGACAGTCTATGCAACATATGCAAACGCAAGAGGAAAACTTTAGAACATGTAATTTTAAGGTGCAGGGGGCTTCGTCCCACCCTCTTGGTGGGAATGACTACAGATTTGGAGGGGGCACTGGGTTTTCCGGACATGGATGGACGAATGGATAGGGAAAGAATTGCGGTACCTAACAGGAGTTTGGAAGATTGGTGGAAAAGATATAGGAAGGGGGAAAAATAAAATAGAGATAAAAATAAGCAATGGAAACACTTTAAAAGAGGAGGGGGAAGGGTAGTGTTAGAACAAAATATATAAAAATTTTAAAATAGAAGGAATGACGAAACGTTAGGCTAGGTGGTGCAAGCTGCCACCCGTTACAAAGGGTATAGCCATTACCATCCATCTGATGCCAGCTGGTAGCTTGTCTCCATGGGGTTAGCTGCTTTCTTCCTTGTCAGGCGTGTGCGGAAGCTGACGCCAGGAAGGCACATGAAAAACGCTCCATGTAGTTGGGCCTTTAGACCCAACATATCAAAAGGTGTGAAAATATCTCAAGTAAAAAAAATGGGGCAAAAAGACGTAGTACTAGAAGAAGGAACGCACAAAAAAACTGTTCCGACCAACCAGCCCAACTCTGCACCTTGTTAGAAATATCTCTTTATCTCACTTAATCTCTTTGACATTTATTATACAGGGTGTTTTTTTTTTTAAAGCTGCACTGACACCCCAAGGGTCATATTTTTTTTTTATTGTTTAAAACGATGCACGTTGTAGTCATAGACATGCAAAAAAAAAAAAACGCATTGTGAAAGAATTTTTTTCTCACGTGTGTGCGCCTTTTTATTTTTGGCGCTTTCCTCTCCCGTTTTTTGCCTCCTCGCCTCTTTTGATTTGTGACGTCAAGAATCATGAAATTTACAAGCTTTGTAGGCGACATTTCTATAGTATTTAATAACGGCAATCGTAAAACATGTTTTTACGCACTACGGCCCTTCTTTTTGAAATACCAAAAATCAAAGTCCGTTGTGGTGCCGCCTCCTGGATTTGTATTTTCCCACGGAAAATGGGCGACACCGCTCAAAACCGGTCTGCCGGCACTCGCTCCTTTCCTCCTTGCTGGTCGCGATGGCAACAGCACGAAGTTGTGAAAGAAAATGGACTGTCAGGATTCCGATTTCGCGCGGGAACTTCGAATTCGGCATTTGGTAATTGTTTTTTTACTTCACATATACTGAATTCCCAAGTTTTGAATTTTGAGGGTAATGTCCCGGCATCGTTTTCAATCGTTTCAGATAATAAAAAAATATATAATTTTGATGTGTCAGTGCCCTTAAGCTTAACAAATTTGTTTAAAAAAAAATCCTCGAAAGCCGCACTAATTTGGTTTGTGCAAGTAAGTTGTACGGCCAGGAGGACATAATATCCCAAGTTCAGCGTTCTACCGTGCTTTCCATGTGCTCCAAGTCTTTCTAATATTGACTGTTTTAGTGGTTTTCGATTTCACGCAGGAAGTTTATGATTAGAACCATACATGTTTATGTTCATTAATTACTATGTTATTTAACATATTTCAGTTAATTAGCCGACTGATCATTACTGTTGGCATCCTATATTATGTCCCCCTGGCCGTATGACTCTCTGCACAAACTGCATTAGTGTAGATTTCACGCCTTTTTTTTTATAAACAAACCTGTTAAGACTAAGAAGAAACACCCTGTATACTGAAATAACCAAGCTCGATCTAAAATGTGCCGTAAAAATCGGCGCCTGCCCGTAGCAATCTGAACTTTTCATCAAAAGTGTATACTCACCAGTCGTTTTTTTTTTTTTTTTTGTGAAATTACAAAGCTTAGTTCTCTTTTTGTTAGAAATAGAGCCAAGACATTTACAATTTTCTGTAATGCTGAATTAGAGCGCAGCTCTTAAGGAGGAAGGGGGGGGTATGGAGGGGAGGGTATGTCCCTCCTCCCCCTCCCCTCCTACTCTCCTGCTCCCCTCCCATTTAGTGGGAAATTTTCGCTAAATTTAGCGGGAAATTGAGCGAAAAATTCCCCGCTAAATTTAGCGGGGAAACTGAATTGGTTTTGAGGTCATGTGTTGCCCATTTCCCCGCTAAATATAGCGAGGAAATTTTTCCGCTAAATTTATTATTTATTTATTTATTCAATACTGCAACCTCATTGAGGTTTTAAATTGATGGAAAAGTTTTTTTGTTTGATTTCACGTGACGTCATATTCAATCACATGATGTCACGTGTGACATCACGACGGTAAAATTTTCCAGCTAAATATGGCAGGAAATTTTTCCACTAAATTTAGCGGTAAAATTTTCCCAAGCTGTGTGGCGTCACGTGTATATTCCGCTATATTTGGCTGGAAATTTTTTTGCTGAATTTAGCGGGAACATTTCTCTTCTACATTTAGCAGAAAAATTTCCCCACAAATTTAGCGGGACTGTTTCCCCACTAAATTTAGTGGAAAAGCTTTCCCGCTAAATTTAGTGAAAAAATTTCCTGCCAAATTTAGCGGGAAAATTTTACCTTCGTGATGACGTTATGTGTGATGTCATTATGGGAAACGTCCCATAATGCAACGCGCAATTGCGCCGACGGCAACAGCAACTCCGCTCAACCTGGAAGCAGGCACCTAAGAGCTGCGTTCTAAAAACTTGCGAAGATCGACGGCAGGCGGCGACGCTGACGACAAAGTTGAGTGATGGGGGGGCGTGTTTGGTGCACATATTGAAAGATGGCGTCGGGAGCAGCGTCGGAAGGTGTAGTCAACCAGCGAAAGAAAGCAGACGACACACAGACAAAATTCGTCGGCAGCAAGAACGTCATCGTTATGCAACCTCTTTTTTTTTCTTCTTTTTTTAACTTCAAGTTTTGTTTTTATTGTCCGTATCTATTTTTAAACCAAAGGTACACTACAAAAAGATTATGTTAATTTTAGTAGATCACAGTGGTCGCGAGCAGTCTCGATAAGGAGCTAGCGCCATCTATGAATGCATGTGCCGAACGTGCCCCGCCATTCAACTCGGTCATCTGCATCACCGTCCGCCATTATCTGTGGCAAGTTTTTTGGCCCAATTTCTTACAGAAAGGGAGCTACACTTTGTAATTTTACAAGAAAACGCGGACCTGTGAAATACACCTTTGACGCAAAATCGAGGTTGCTACGTGCCGTGCCGATTTTTAGAGCCCATTTCAGACCGAGCCTGGTTATTTCAGTCACCCTATACTTCAACCTATGAACCTAAAATTTAACAATAGGTAACTTATTTATATTCGGTCTTAGCAGCCTTTGTTTTTTGTTTTTTTTCCAGTTACATTGAGATACGGGTCTATACATTTCCTCTGTCGAGGATCAGTGACATACAGCTTCCAAAGTAAAGCCTTCCAAAGTCACTTCCAAAGTAAAGCCATCCACTCCCAGCAATGATGGTCGTCACTGGAGCCCTGAATTCCAGCTGCAGCAAACTTGTTTTGCTTCCACGTGTTTTCTGAGATATACCGGAGCAGCCACACTATGAACTTGAGTTTGGAGAACTCCTGGCTACCTTGAGTCGCAATTGAAGATCACCTTCCTCTTCCTACATTCTTATAGCGAAAATGTTCGAAGAGTTTTACACTTCAGTAACAGTAATGTGCAGAATACAACACTGCAAACAAACAATCTTTTTTTTTCTTCTTTTCTTTAATGCTGAGAGCTTGTTATCAAGACCACTAGTGTTGTTTGTAAATGCTCATTTGGTGTACTAACCTAAGCGGTAAAATATGGCACCTGCCAATGCCCTTTCGAAGTAAAATTCAGAAGAGCTTCGACGTTGTGTTTATGCAGTAGTGTCGTGCGGCGTACATTCTAGGAAGAAAGCTGAGAATATTTGGTGTGTGGTCAATTTAGCGGCTCACTGCGCTTAAATTCTCGTTAAACTAGTGTTGACGGTTTTTTAATGTTGAAATTTATATCACCTTTTCATCCACTGGATCAACCAGGATCAATCACACCTGAACTATAAAGCAACACAAATTTAAAACAATGTTTTTAAGTATTAATTTTCCAGCGCTTTCTTTCATCGAAAATTTCACCGCTGCACTTAACAACAAACTTTCTTAAACCACTTTTTAATTGCTCACATTTATTTTCTCTGTATATTGCCATTGATCCCACTCCTGCAATGGCTCTCAATGGAAAGCCTCAGTATCAGCAAAAATAAATAAATAATAATCTGGAAAAATGTTTTAGTGTGGCGATCTGCCGAGGAACTTGGGCAGCTCAAAGGACTGCCACTCTAAGAAAACTCCTCTGTTCCCAGGAAAACAGTTAGAGATACCATGGGCTATATCATTTCCTTGCTTGCGATTTTACTGGAGTGCGATGATGACGACAAGAGCATTTGAGCTCTCGAGCTGTAGAGAAGCGACGTAGCACAGACGGCATTGCTTTTTCTGCACGATGCAGGGAGTGGTAGACCCGGCCAAGGAGATAGAGCGCATGCAGCAGAAAGAGGAGAAGCTGCAAGCACAGCTGACGAAGTTGAGGGCGGCCATGGCGGCATCGGACTACTCCACCAAGGTGCCCCCCGCCGTGCAGGCAGCCAACGATGAGAAGGTGAGCCTGAGGGGGTCCAATGAATTTGTTTTGTATGCTCTGTCAGGTCAGTGTACTTATTTCACTTATGACGATCTGGAGTATTTTTTCATTCATCCACCGGCTGATGTCAGCTGGTGCAAAGTGGCGGAACGACTTGAGATTCGCAAAGGAATCAAGAGTTACCGATCGCTTCCAATGTGAAATGGCGGACAATCACATCTTCAGACTGCATCCGATGTCAACGTGCCATGGCACTCAGTTCCTAGCAGACGATGTACAGTGTTTTCTTGTTTCGTTTACATCTGCAAGTGGCACTTCGTGGCAGGCAGACCCTGTTGTTTGCTCGCGTTAGCGGACAAACTGCCTAGTGATGAAATCTCAGCTTGATCCGTGAGAGGCATATTGAATCTTGCAATGATCAATATCCAGCTCTAGAGGTGTTGCTGACGGTGACTGCAATCTCGGGAAGAAGTCATTGGGCCGCTCGTAATTGGACCGCACATTCTGTTCTTTCCTAATCTCCATTTGTGATTGACCTTTCTTTTGCACTCGGAGTGCTGGGTTAAGTAGATGCTGGGCAGCACTGGCCACAACTACTTTTGGCAAACAACTGACTCCGGTGTCGAGCTACTGTACATCGGACGAAAGTGATCCTCGCAAGTGCTTCGGATCATTTTTATGCGTGTGACCCCTTTCTGCCAATGAGGAGTTAATGGCAAAAGGAATGCTGCACTTTGGCTTCGCCATCTATACTTTACATGGGTCCATGTAGGGTGATGAATCAAGGAGGCACTTGGTGCAAAGCCTACCTTTGACTGTGCACATCATTCTTTTTGTTTGTTTTGCAGGTTCAGCAAGTTGAAGGAGAGCTAGCGAGGATTGTGGAGTCTATTTCTACCCTGAAGCTCATGGACTGAATACAATGCTTGGATCTCTACTCTGATAATATAAACTATAAATTTTTTAACCTTCGTTTTTGGTGACTTTCTTTCTCACATTGAATTCTGCTATTGTCTTATTCCTCTTTGAAGAGGTCACTGCCTGACATGGTTAAGATGGCCCATTGTGACATACCTAAATAGTAAAAAAAATGACAACAAAATCGGCAAAATAAAAAACATTCCGGTTTGGCTTGCTGCCAGTTTTACACTTGGCGTCAACCATTTTGTGCTGCGTTGTTAAGGCTAGCGTAGCTTCCACAGTCCTCCAACTCTATCAGAGTTAGTTGCGCGGGCACATAGAAATGAACCATCGTTCCCACACTTGCAACCAAGTACGACTAAGAGAGACAAGACCGGATTTTAAGCCTCTTGTGACGGTGGAAGACCAGATACGCTGCTGCGGAGCAGGTTCTACGCCGTTGCAAGAGGCTTAAAAACCGGTCTTGTCTCACTTGGTCGTACCCTGTTGCAAGTGTGCGAACGGCACTTGAGACGCGAGACAGAGTCACGTGCTCTCGCAAGAGTGCGGGGCTGCTTTACCATGGAAGCTATGCTAGCCCTGGCAATGTAGTGCACAAAGTAGTCGATGCCAAGTATAGTCGCAGATCTTTCTTGGCTTCATTTATTATGTTCTTTTTGTTTACCTGTGGTATGCAGTAGTATCACTGTTTTGTTTTTTTGGAAGGTGGTAGAAATGTGAGGTATTAAGTCTCCACTCCACCCGAGTGCATTTAATTTCTTGATTTTAATACTTGTATTAGCTTAAATGCATCCTGTGGACAAGAAAGGAATTGCTTCAGTCCCAAGTTTTTCATGCAGTGCTGTGGTAGCGTCTTGTGGACCTCGCACATGTAGTATGCAAATGTCATAAAATTTTAAGTGTTAAGCATTTCAACATGATTTTTAAAACATCTTAGTCAACTAAGTAAGAAATAAATTAGTGCAATTATGACTTAAACATTATTATAGGATATTGACCATGAAAAAGCGTACAGAACAAGTTTTGAACCTTGGGTGGTAGTTTAATTACAGCGATCAAACTACTGTAATCTAATTACTCAACATAATTTTTAATTTTGATTTATTACTTTTGCCTAAAGGGGATTGTATCTTAACCACTACTTTAGTACTAATAAATGGAAAATCTTTCATTATATTCTGTTACACTGTTTGAAAATAATTTCATGATTGCACAGCTCATTTTTATGGGGTAGCTGTCGGAGAAAGAAGCCCGGGATGCCTGTCATTTGTGCTTCCATCAGTTAATGGTGACTGGCTTCTGTAGAACAAAAGCTGCATCTGAGGATTGACTGCAGATGCAGTCGAACCACAATCAAAATCACAGCTAGCATGTACTTTAGATCATTTTACCACAGCAGATGCCCCGCTTACAGCAAAAGTGCACTCTTTCTGTTGTCAGCATGGAAAGAAAAATTGTAAGCAATTTAGATCATGGTATGTACACCGATTACCTTCTCATGATTTAAGAATTTTCGGTCTCAGCTAGTTCATTGTTTTCAGTGCCTGCACAAATCAAACCAATAAAATACATAAAAGAAACATTTTATTGTCGCTGCACAAGAATAAAAAAGTTAGAAAAAGTTGATTCCCTTTACTAGGAGCACATTGCAATATTCAATTTAATTTGATGCTGGCAACTTTAATTGGCGCTGCATTAGTTGGCCACATTGTGTTCATGAAAAAATTCATGTAAGGTGAACAAATAATTACAGAGGTGAACACGATAAAATTGGAAGAATGAAAAAACATGGAGGCGTTGACTTTGTCTCGGCTAATGTGCAAAGCGCAAGTTCGTTTGCTTCTTGCACAGGAATTGCGATAATGCTGATAATGTCAGAAAGCTAAACTCTTATTGGCTAATTGAAAAAAAAAAAAAACGAAAAATAGTGGGTATGTTTTAAAGCAACCAAGGATATGGTCTAGCACTATTCTTCTAATCAAAACCAATCAGCATTTGGCGTAGTCGTCACCGCAACCCCTGCGTAGACACATTAGACGACTTGCTCTCCGCACACCCTTTTTGTCTGAAACTGCAAGGTTAGTCCCTGATATGTCCATTGTTTCTTACACTGAAAAGTAATTTACTCAAGAATGCAAGTTAGGCCAGTAAGACTGAATTGTTTCCTCTACGTTTTAAAAGTAATGTGTAATTGTAACGAATTACTGCTTAGGGGTAATTTGAAAAAGCTGAGTAATTTTTCAACGAAGTAACAGAAATCAAATTGCATTTCGAAAGCAATTTGCCAAGGTCTGGAACACTCAAACGGCATCCGGCAAAATGCCCAGAATGAACGCATGCCCCTCACAAGCAATTTAGTTAATATCAATGCTACCTTTTGTTTCCCGGTCAGTGGCAACGATGTGCGCGACCCTCGCCAACGGTCTGGTAACAACAACAAGCGGATAATAAACGCACCGCACCCTCTTCCCACTTCAAACAGCTTCTCTCTCTCTCTCCCCCCCCCCACCCCCGCCCCCTCCTTTCACCCAATCTACGAAACGACCAACTGGTACAGTGTTCAGGAATCAAAGAACGAATAAAAAGACTTCGAAACAAGGACAGACAGCAGTTCTTTCAACTCTTGAAAGAACTGGGCTGCCTGTCCTTGTCCCTAAGTGTTTTGATTCTTGTATTTTTACTAACTTTGTTTCTTTGGTACAGTGTTCTAGTGAGATGTGCTGAACCCCATCTTAGTATATTTTCTCTTTTCGCAAGACTTTTGTGTGTTTCTTACTCAATGTGGGTTGCTTGTCTCCCTCAACGCACCCACAAAGCTCAAAACAACCAAAACCGAAACCGAAAAGAAAAAACGCGCAAGCGAGGGCGCTGCTGAACTGTCATATTTTATTTCAATTTAAACTTTTTAGACAGAAACGACGACGAAAAAATACATTAAATGGGCTCCAGATTTCAGAGTAACGACATGTATTGGACGGTTCTAGCTATATCGACCATTTTAACGGAACATATCGGTGTTGGGAGCTAGCCATGTTAGTTACGGTTTATGTCATAGGTTGATGTTCGTTGTCGTTTGGGACAAACCGTTGGCGGTGTAATGAGTGGAAGCTTCTGTGTACGGAAAGATTGCACTAGTTCGTTTGGGGAATGAAACTCTCCGACTGGTTTTATTTTACGGTCGGTCTTTCGGGCTCCCTTGGGCCCCAGTTGCGCGTCAACGGTGCCAGAGGCCAGCGCTGCTACGTCGCCGTGAGGTAGGCTTCGCTGTCGCACACCGGAGCTCTCCCGCCTCCTCCGCTTTGCCGCTCTCTGATCTCCGCATCCTCTGCCGAGAACTTCCAAACATGGGCACGGACGGAAAAGGTCCAAATCGGGAAGTGTGCATCACCGCGCCTTCCCCGCTTCCGTCGGTGAAGTGAGGGTACCATTGGGTACGTACCACTCCGGGGTTCTGCAAACACCGCGCGCGCACTTTCTGCGCGGCTGTTGCAGCGCGAATTTAAATAGGTGCTGTTCATATTTGCGGCTTCCTGCGAGCGTCTTTGTCCTTTCTGTTGGCGGAACTTGGAATCTTCAATTCGGACTACAGTGTAGTAAGAAAGCGTGATTGGGGTGGGGCTTGTTTTAAGTTGAGCCAGGCGCGCGCGCGCGCTGGAATGAGACGACCGAGCGCACACGCGCGCGCGTGTTAAAATCTGCGCATATTGCGCACGCGAAACGTCTTTGAATAATTAATTTTCGAAGGGTCACTGGCCGCGGCCTGATCCACCTCTCCCGTTTTGTAACGGCGATGGTCTAGCTCGTAGTTGTTGCGTGTTTTCTAATGCACGCGCGTACGTCCCGACACAATCCATCTGATATATTTCACTTCGATGGATTGTTCTTTAGGCTGCCGGACCACTGAAATGAACCCATGGCCAGCCAAACGTGGAGTCCCCTGCATCCGAGCCCGGGGTTCCTGTTGAAGTGCGGCAAGGAACACGAAAAGCTCAAACTGAAAATCAGAAGCGAGCTGCAAGCGCACATGCTCAAGTAAGTAGCTACTACCGATTGAGTCAAAGGGATCGATGGCCGTTTTAACGGACGGCATAAATCGGTTTCTAGACGTATCAAGTCAAACTTTTGCTCAGAGTTGGCCGACAAACGTGCATTAAGGGTATAAAAATTTCACTGCATGAACAAACTTACCCAAGTAAAAAAAGTTAGAAATTAATCCCTGGTGACCTTTTGCTAATCAAAGGTGTATGATTGGTGCAACAGTTGACAGATGTCAGCAATGCTCCCGGCTTCGACAGGGGAGGGGGGGCGGGGAGGTTGCCGTAAATGCAGTACCGCATTTTTTAGTGTCAGCTTTGGTGATTACACCCCTTTTGTCGGTGGCTTGTTTTGGATGTTTCCCTCCATGTTGAGGTACCTCACACATGTAGCGTAGGAAAGCCCATAGGTTGCCGCTGAAACTCCGCCCAAAAACATAGGCGGACCTTTTTCGTCCTTTGGCACAAGAGAGCATTGTGAAGGTGACTTGCAACCCAAAAAAAGCATGGACAAAAGTTGCAGAGAAGAAAAGAGACACTGTAAGAACCAGTGAGTGCCAATTAAGTAGACGAAGACATATAGCTGAAAATAATCATAGAAAAAAAAACAACACGACAACACATCTGTATTGTTGTTTTCATTTTATCTTTGTGTGTTTATGTTTTATTGATAGAATAAAATATTTGTGTGCTGAAGATTTGCGCAGAAAGAGTGAAATGCTTCTGGCTCAGAAAGTCGGAGCCATCTAGTGGCAGTCTAAAAGGTTCTAATGTTGCCGCTTTAATGGCGGCGATCGGAGAACGAGCTTGCCTAAATCAAGCACCCCGAACGTCGTAAATCAAAGCCGACATAAAAGAATTACCGACTTGGTAGAATACATTCCTTGCTTTCTGCCCTACAGTTTCGAAGACATTCGCTTTTCCTGGTGTGGAGAAGTTCTGCTGTGCCGCTTAGGGTGTCGGATTTGGCTCTGGACACTGGACAGGGTGGCTAGACTGGAGGAGAAGGAGGGGCATACCCTCCTCTCCTGCTTTCCTGCCATTTAAAGGGAAATTTTCTGTAAATCTGCCCCTCCTTCTCCACACTTCCTTCCCCTCCTCCTCCTCCTCCTCCTTTGGGACATCACTCGTGACCCTCATGACGTTGCACGTGATGTGACGTGTGACGTCATTATGGGAAACGTCCCATGATGCAACACGCAGTTACTGCTACCGCGGCTCCGCTCAAGCCGAAAGGGGCGCCTAAGAGCTGCGCTCTTAAAAATGTGTGCCCTAAAACGTCGAATTAAAACGGAAATTAGTGCATTTTTGTTAATTAGTCATCTTTTAGTTGCATTCTCTCTCGAACATAATGTCCGCCTGGCCGTATGCTGTAAACAATTTAATTTTCGCGAATTTCGTAAATCACCTACAATATACCCTTTCCGGAATTCAGTCTGGCCACTTTGATCATTATCATCATCATTTGAAAACGGCATATGTGCTATACTAATGGCGGCCTTCCGTTTACTGATGAAGAAAGAAGTTGAAGATGCTCCTAAGCAGATGATTCGAGGCCTATACATTCTAGATGTTAGCGCGGCGTGAAGCAGGAATTGGACGCAGGGGCTGCGTAAGCGTTCATTTCTAACTCGGTCCCAGCCAATCTTTTAGTAGCGCTCACTCGGCTGTAAGGCCGTTGATGTATAGAAGTCTATCAAGGCGTCTACGTGGGTTGGTGCTTCGTTCCGACTGGCTGCATTTGTTTCGCCATTAACACTAAAAGATTGAAAAATAATTGTAGTGAAGTGCACATTCTCATTTACCGTAGACCATTAAGTGACGGAGCCCTATTAAATACTGCAGACCACAGGTTCATTGCCGCTATTAGTATAGTAAAAAATAAACTGCCATTTGAGCCACCAGATGGCACTGAATTCCGGAAAGGGTATATTTCTGAAAAATAGGTCCCACGAACAATTCTGGTAAAATATAAACACATTGGAATCTTCGTTGAGATTCCAGTGTGCCGCAAAAATTAAAAACCTGTAAATTATTTCAAAACTTTAGCTTTGACCGACCTAAATCGCAAAATATTGAGCCCGCAAAAAATGAGTCGTTTACAATGACTCACAGATACTGCAGCCGCAAAAGCTACAGAGACGGTAGCTTTCATGGCTGTTTGTTGAAAAAGCTGTATTCAATAAAAAGAAACACTGTTGTAGGTTAAGAATAGCAAGTCCCTCCCATGAAGCTATCCGCTTGGGTTGGGGGCTTCATCCTCTCCAATGTTTGCTCTACTCAAGTGTCAAAAGGGGAGAGCTTAGTGGGAAAAGCTTATTCTGATGTTCTTTACCTGCAATAGATTATAAAGTATCTTTGGGATTTTCCTACCAAGGAATCCTCTAACGTACGTCCGTCTCCAACAGAGGGCACCAGTTCTTCCGAAAGTGGCGGACTAACAGCTGCTGCAGCTCCAGCTTGGTATCTGTGTGCCTTGACTGTGCAGCCTGTTCGAAGAGGGCCTGTTCTCGGACGTGACCATTGAGTCCCAGAGTGCCGAGGACGGGGCAGGGGCCGTCCTCAGGGCCCACAAGGCCGTCCTGCTGGTGAGGGTGCCGGCCTTCTGGAAGGAGCTCACCACAACCTACGCTGCGTCGGGGGAGGACCCCAATGCCTTCGCGGTTAGCCTGCACGAGGGCTGTCTCAGAAGCTTCTTGAGGTTCGCACAATGTTTGCTTTGACTCCTATATATCGACGGTACTTTCTCAGATACACTTCTTTAAACTGCTCAAAGGCTTATTTTATATGTTTGTCTTTTAGGGTCAAAGCTCCTTAGGGTCTAGCCTTGTCCGTCCGGCGTCCGTGCTCACATCGATTGCCATCCCATCTGTCTTTTTAAAAAAAGAAAAAATGTTTGCGCAGTCAACTGGATTCGAACCTGTGCGGGGAGACCAGAATGGATTTCTAGTCCATCGCCTTAACTACTCGGCCACAACTGCGGGACGAGTAGGGAGCTCTGAGATGTGGTAGTAACTCAAGAGCTGGGGATGTCATGGATGAAACATTGCCTGTAGCCGCTCAACGTTTATAGACGAGAGGGCGCTGCAGTCAAATGCTCAAATGCATATATAACCACGTTCCATACCACACATTCTCTTTCTGACATGGACCGTTGACTTAAGCGGTGGAGATGCATTCCCACAGCTACTAGTGGATCCAAGCTGATCTGCTAGTAGAACCACTGGCTCTGCATTTCACCGACCATAAAGCAGTAATAATGAAGTCGAAACGCAACCTTGGAACTCAGCACTACCTATGAACAATAAAAAAAAAAAAAAAATCAGCACCATCACCACTACCTATGAACAAAATCAGTATCATCAGCACCACCAGAGCTTTGCCCCAGTCAAAATCATTCACTACGTGGAGATGCAGTCATTTTTATTCCTTTAATACATAAATAACTTGTGAGACTATGAATGAATCGACAGGTTTATTACACTTAAAGAAGACAAACTACGATGATGTCTTTTGTAAAAAAAACGGTCAGCATGCGGCCGAGCTGGTGCATAATAATTGGGATGTTCAAACCCTAAGACTGGGAAGAAAAGTTGAAGATGTATTAGAAGAGACAGAGGAAAGGTGACAGACAAGCATGTTCAAATAGTCTTTAAGTCTGTTTGAAAGTAGAGTTTTGCTGACGAGAGATGCATGAGCCTCTTTAGTATGAGCCCCACTTTTTCCTTTCTTGTATGGGTTCACAAGTTGGGCTACGAGAAACATGAGGGGTTTTCCCAAAAAACCCTCGGGGCTTCCCCGAGCTTTTCCTTGGCCATCCCTGCCTCTAAGTAAAGTTTTCTTCCAGTTTATTTAACATTTTAGATCTGAGCCCTCAATTGATGCTTAGCTAATGTGGCTAACATTCTGCAATGGTAGCCTGTGCTTAGTGGTGAGCACCGTTGACATCGTCATCAATTCTTTATAGTTGAACAAGACGTCGGGTCGTTATTACGCCATACCTTATGTAACCGCCAATTCCGAAGTTCTATTAAAACTCATTTACTCAAACAACTGAGTCGTCAGACTCCACGAATGAGTCGGTAGACATCACCTAGTGTCAGAGGATCTAGATGTCACAAGAAAATAGACTCCATCTGCCAAAATCGCTGGATACAAGTACCAGCAACTGCGCCACGTCAGAAGACTGGCTGTAGTCGTAGCAGTTAGTGGCACAAAACTGCCATACAATGCCAAAAGAAGCCACCCGGAGTGCAAGCAGCAACCTTTATGTCGGTCATCGAAACCGAGGCTCAGAAAATCTACCGAATGTTCCAGTTAACGGACAAAGAAAAGAAGGATGTGAGCATCATCAAAGCAAAGTTCACGGCACACTTTACGCCGCACGCCAACCATGCCTACAACAGGTATAAATTTAACCAGATAATAAAGAAAGAAGGAGAATCTTTCACGTACTACGTGACTGCCGCACAACTACAAGTGAACTGATGCAATTTTGGTCCACTTACGAGATTGAATCATCTACGAGAAACTTTTACGAGATTGAATCATCGTCGGCAACTGAGTCGTCGAACTACGTGAGTGAGTCGACAGGCTCCACACATTCCCTACATCTGTGTTACTCTTTGCAGGGTTTATATGCTTCTGCAATGCTTTATTGCGTTCATAGTAAAATCCAACAATGTTATTGCTGTGCCATTTGTGCCAAACTGTACTCGTGCTTACCCTGCAATATTCTGCTACATTTCACCAAAATAAGGAACTTGCGCCAACGCTGTGCTAGTGGCTCTCTTGAGTCAAATAAAGATGATGATGATTAGTATTATTATATCTTCCTCTCAACTACAAATTCAATTGTGTAAAAAAATTGCAGGTCTAGGGAAGAAAATTAGCATCATTGCAGATTTAATTTTAGGATGCAGTTAGAGTGACCAGTTATAACTATAGTAAGGTACAGCTCAAGAAGGTAGGACGGCGAGGAAAAGGAAGGCCGCGGAGGAGGAAGCAGATGGAATGCTGAAGAGGAGAAGGGGAACCTCCTCCTCTCTCTAGCATTCCGTCTGCTTCCTCTTCCCTGGCCTTCCTTTTCCTTGCCCTACCTCCTTGAGTTGCAACGGACTATAGTTCTTGTGTCTCAATGCAGCTAAAAGTGAGTGCCTGTATAGGGCCCAATGTGCTCACTGTTTCAATCTCTGCATCTGCAGGAGCGTCTACTCGGACGACGACATCCGGCGACAAGAGCACGACATCCTCCGCGCCCTCCGCTCCCGGAATGCTCCTTCGAGCGGCGACGAGGACGGTGACGACTCTCACAGCACGACGCACGACGCCGGGGACAAGCACCCGCACAAGGACCCCCCACCCGAAGCGACTGAGGTCACAAACTTCTCCGTGTCACTCGAGCAGCGCGGAGCCGAAGATTCCCTCGAAAACTTCCGCTCCTGCTTCGTCGATGACGACGCGTGTCAGAAGGAACCAGGTGCGGCTCACGGTGATGAGGAACCGACAGACAGCCTCCACGAAGGATGCAGAGACGACGCGTCCGAGAACAGAGACGAGCTCTCGGTGAGCATGAGCAGCAGCATGGTCCGCAGCGGAACGTTCGACCTGCAGAGTCAGATGCCGCTCGAGATGGCGCTTGAGAAGCTGACTGCGGACAACGAGGCAGACGGCAGCGAAACTGCGTTGAGAACGGAGGCGGAGGGAGCCGAGGAGCGGGAGGTGCCCAGCGGTAGCAAAGACGCTACCGGGATCCGACCGTCCGATGGCTCGGCGAAAGGGCACCCGGCAACGATGCCCGCCTTCTTCCTGCACGAGAAGTCAACGGCTGCGATGGCGGTGTCTTACCAGTGTGCCCCCAGGACACCCGAACAGGGCACGAGCCAGCTGTGGGGACGGGAAGCGGGCGTCGTCGGGATGGGGGACTCGGGGTTTCTGTCTCAGAACACTTCCGTGAACGAGTGCGTGGCGTACGACAGCCTCAACGATCCGGGAGGGCCAACCGAAGTCCAAGAGGCAGAGAGCGAGCCAGAAGACTTGGACGCACAGGGAAGACGGCCCTCAGGAGCGCTTTTCCCCTTTTACATCGACATGAGCAAGGCGAGAGCGGAGGAAACGCAACGGGAGCAACCGTCGTCAAGCTCGGCCACGTCGTCCGTTTACATGTGCATCGATGCCAAGAGCGGCGACGACGGACCAGGCGAAGGGAAGCCGGCCGTCAACGAGAAGTCCGTCGAGGACGCTTCGAAGCGGCCCCAGTCATGCTACATGTACGTCGACTTCAACTCCGTGCACAGGGAGGAACCGTGCAGCAAGCCCACGCAGTCTCCTCGAATGCCAAGGACTCTCTCCCTCTCCATGTTCATTGACATCAACGACGAACACAGCGAGAGCGTCGTGAATGCGCAGGAAGCCTACCGCAACTACAGGCAAGAACCGGGGCAGAAGAAGGACGTCGCAGACATACAAGGCGGTCTCGTCGGACGACGCCTGCGCCAGTGGGAACATTTCGAGCGGGAGGAAATCCTGGTTGTGTCGGAAGAGTTTCCGGTGCGACGGGAAACTCCCAACACGGTCGCGCCCGCGAACGACGACCGCTTTGTCGGCGCGTCGCCCAAGAGGCTCCCCGAACACGTTGCGAGGCAGCAGGGTGCGGCTCCCGACGTCTGTCTGCTCCCGATGAGCCCCATCCTTAGACGGAAGACGAAGCCAGAGCCGGTCAAACCCGCCGCGAAGCCTGCCGCCATCAAGTCTTCCACCCGGCCGCAGGACATCGACGCCATGACCTTCCGCAGGAGCGAACCGTCCGGGCACGACAGCGACTCTCTCGAGCACGACAGCGACAAGGAGGTGGACGCACCCAAGACACCAGAGGTCAAGAAGTCGCCTTCCACGCCGGCGCAACGGCATCCAGACGAGCCGAGGCTACAGCCGCCCAAGCCTCTCAAGTTACCTGACGGTCCGGTGCCTTCAGCGGAAGTGATCCACCAGCCGCCTCCTCCGTCTCCCGGGTACGGAGACGACGATTCGGAGACGGTGTACTCGGAGGTCTCGGATGTGAGCTGCCTGTCAAGTCTGGACCGGAGGATGCAAGAGTCCGGCTCCAGCCCCGAGCGTCTGGGGGCATGCTCCAAGCTGGGTGACGACCTTCTTCGGATGTTTGTGGGGCAGGTGGAGACAGACATTTTTGTTCGAGTGGAAGGGAAGGACATTGGTGCACACAGGTGAGCATCTTGCTAGCACTACTTGCTACCGTTTTCTAGACTCAAGGGGTTATATTGCTTATAGCGTAAGGTTACAGTCTGTTCAAGAATGTAGGTTCTTCTTTCACCAACGTAAAGATGTAATTTGAATGGTGCTGTCTGCCTGAAAACCTATAGGATCTTTTGTGCATTAAATTTTGGGGAATGTAAGTAACGCTGCTGGTGCAATGTTTGTGCAGTTTGCAACTTGCAAAGGTTACGTGCAATTAGCCTCATTTAAAAGGGGACACTACCTTGAATTGCACCTTTTTTTTCCAAAAAATGCATATTCAGAACTGCAGAGTTTGGGCATGTATGAATAACAAGGAACACTCTCGCAAAGTCTTGTCAATATGCACTGACAAACAGTGTCAAAAATAATTATTCTTTATATAATGGTGAGGCGTGCTGCACTGCGTAGCACTCGTCATCCACAAGTGAAAATAGCTGAAAGCAATGTCAGTATATCAGAAGAAGTTTGAGGAAGACGACCTACACTGCTGGAAAGAAATTTTTCAAATGTCATCTTGAAACTTCAAGTGCATTTATCTCAGCTTCACTTTTTGGTATCAAATCCCACTTAAAAAAACTATTGTTTCAGAATGAAACTACCGAGGGACTTAATATTGGCTGATCCTATGCCGAAATTTTATCGAGCCAGTTACTATGAACTTATATTTCGCATTTTCATGTTCCTTTATTATGAATAAATGTAATTTGCAAAACTTGGCAAATGTAAAAAATATATATATATTTCATAAAGTGTTTTTACCTAAAAAATGCATATTTTCTGAAATTCTTTTTATAGTAACCGGCAAAAAGTATTCCAGTATGCATTCCACCAGAAAAATATGTGGTGATCAACACCATTTTTCAGCGATAGATTCATTGAGCAGATTACATGCAAAGCTATACTTTACTTCGTTTGGGGGGTTATAGAACCTCATAAATTGGTTCACAGGGCTGAAACTTTGCATGTTGTCCCTCTATATGGCTACAAACACCACCTGCGAATTTCACATCGATTGAGTGAGCGGTTCAAAATTAGACATGCTCAGGCAGCGTCCCCCCTTAAGGCATTCAGTATGAGCCTACGGTGTCATGCTCCAAATTATGGCACAGACCTATCCCGTCCTCATCGCCAATTTGTTGTGTCTGGTGGTTTGAACCAGAAAGAAGAAGCCGGTTACGTAAACTGATAACCGTCTTTATTCATGGTGCCGAAAAATGATCCCCTTGGATTCGCTTGCCTTTCTTTGGTTTACAGAACGGCTTGCTAAAATATCGAAACTGAAATCGAAACACAACAAGACCCACGTGGTTAAAAATCACTCGCTGAAAGAAAATCACATTTTATGGTTGCGTAATATTTTTAATTGCTCAATATTTTTAATATTATCATAGAATGCCTGCATAGTAGTTAAGCTACAACATGTCTATGTTGCAATATTTTTTTGTTTTATCCATACTTTCTTGTACCTAAGGGGTTTGAGCTCTCTACATGGTCCAGAAACAGATTGGATGTTTTTGGAGTGCAGTCGCTGACCGATTTTCTGGATTCGGAGGGGACCCCGAAATGGTCTGAATAATCAAGCGGTCCGAAAAATTGATTTCGGCCAAAATATCAAATTTTTGCGCATATTGATGTTGGCGTCCGTTTGAATTTGAAGACGCACTGAACATTGCGAAGGGTCCGGACAATTTGGTTGGTTTCCCACGTTCATGTTGGAACAAAACAAATAAATCTGACGACCAGATGTATCCGTGAAACCAACCTAAAGTGCTTCCTGTACAAGCAATCGTGATCCGACGGCGTCTGGTTTTCCATTTTCACTGCACCTATCTACGTTCTCAGACGAACCGGGCGAGCAGAAAACATATGAAAACTGATCTTCAAACCTTTCCCGACCCTTTGGTACAGACCCGGTCATGGCAATTTGACAAGAAGTCAGGTTTTGTCCCGTGTCTTCCAGAACAATCCAATAGCGACTTCTGCCCAGAGCCTGGGACCAGAATTGCGCCCGACGCGCCACCACCGCGCCATGACGTAACAGAGCTGAGTTTGTGTATATTGTCTGTACATGCTAATGGCAGCCTTTTGGTGGGTTATGGAGAAAGAAGTTGAAGACAGGCATCGATGCGAGGCCTGAACATTCCAGACATTAGCCCGCCGTTGGCGCGGCGAGACTTATAAGCTTCTGTACACTACGCATTTAAGGGTGTCATGAATTCTTGGAATGGTCACCTTTGGCACACCCCAGACACCTCGTGACAATGAAATGTGCTGAATTTTATGAAACGTTTTACTTGGATAAGCACTACAAACAGAGCAGAAATTCCTTGTCACCATCGAGACTAACACAAATAAAAAAATAATTGTGCAGCGAAGAACACCGCCACTTTCGTACGTCTGCCATTGACAAATGATACTAGTTTCTCACCGCCATTAGCATACAACTATTTAGATTTATATTTTGGCTACTAGATGGCACCGAATTTTTAAAAGGGTCTATACTGTTCATTGCTGCAGAGGAGAAATTTAGCCAGGGCAGTACGATTGCCTACTACTAGTTTCTTACCGCCATTAACCCTTTCATGGTCACTGACGTACCTGTACGTCAGCGCGGGAGCGTCCTGCATGGTTGCTGACGTACCGGTACGTCCGCGACTGCTCATTCAAAAATTCGCGCCTCTGCTTGAACGGGCGCGTTCACGGGGACGTGCTGCCATCTGGTGGGTTTGTAGGTAACTACGACTGTATAACTCCGGTTGTGTTTGTTTTGCCGCGGTTTTTGAATTGCGAAACTGGACGCTAAGTGCAAGTGATACTTTTGAGATGGTCGCCCGTGCCGGCTGCTCGGCGGTAGTGTAGTGGAGATTGGAGTGATGGCTCTTCGGGTTCAGACTTTGAACCCTTCTTGGTCTCTGAGTCGGATGACAACTCGACATCCCATGAACAACTGGAAACCAGCTCGGTTTGGAGTCCGAAGTCTGACACACAGCTGCACCGTCTGCTAGACCGTCTCAGAAGCTGACGCGTCGAAGTTTTAGTCTTTTTGGTTTCGTTCAGCCTCCAGCGAGTGTGCTGCAGATGTTTTGCAGCGTGTGTACTATTTATTTTAAGTCTTACATTTTTTTATGCGACAATAAACTAGTGTATACTTTTTGCTATCGCATTGAGCAAAAAAACCCGACCACAGGGGCGCGTCTTTGGACAAAAAATGTGACCATGAAAGGGTTAACATACAAATATTTAGATTGACATTTTGGCTACTAGATGGCACAGAATTTTTAAAAGGGTCTAACTGTTCATTGCTGCAGAGGAGAAATTTAGCCAGGGCAGTATGATTGCCTACCTGGGGTCTTAAATGGTGTCTTTGCAGTATCTAGCATAATTACACGACCGCAAGCCAGTACAATGCTCAATAATATAAAAACAGGCAGGAATACATCTTGAACCCAGGGTGCAGCACAAACTTTTGCTCTGCTGGCCACATATCCCATATCTACATGCAGGTGTTTGTTCTGAAATTTGACACCTCATGAAAGCGTGCCTGCGACAATGCTACATTAAATAAAAATAGTATACCGTAATATACCGAGAAATAGTCCACCTAAAATTGAGAAGAAATTTGGGAAAAATAAAGAGTGGGCTAACTTTCGTTGTGGAGTCAAGAAAAGTTAAAGCAATTATATTTTTAGAAAATGTGTTTCTGCCAAACCTGTTAGCGCGGCGAGGGGCAACGAAGCAAAGATAACTGTACTTCATAGTTAGTAATGTTCGCTTATATCCAGCCATAGCTAACTAGACACATTTAGGCTGAGGTATTCATTGCTTCCAACACTACGAATACAAGGTGTGGGCCATCTTTTGATGTTTAAAAGAAAATAACAAATCAAGCCAAAAATAGGGGTGGGTTACCTTTCGGGGGTGGGGTATTTCACGGGATTTTACGGTAGTTCTGTTTTGGTTAGTGATGGACTGAACATTTACCGAATCGAAAGTTGGGTGTCAAATCTTGGGATTCGGCAAAGCCAAACTTTTGCCGAACTTTTCTAAAGATTTGGCGAAGATTTGGTTAAAATACATTATTACCAGACTTAACAATATTTAATTTTTTCCTGGCAAAAAAGATTTTTTTTTTTTTCATCTTAAATGCAACGTGTAATGTATATTGACACAGTTATGACTAAATAAGGTGATACGATTGCACGGCATTCACTTGCAACCCACGGCCTCTCGCGTTCTCACGCGTGTGCAGACATTTGCTAAATTTTTGCCAAATCCTTGCCAAACTTTCCTTCAAAAGTTCGGCATTTGCCGAACTTTGCCGAATTTGAAGTTTGGCAGCTTCGGTCCATCACTAGTTTTGGTTACAATTATAACTGTAGTATGGTATGGATGACAGATCATACTTTGGTACAGATCTGGCTAGCTTATTGAAGGCACTAGTAAAGAAACCTGAGGAAAGTAGAGGGACAAGTTAGAGTTGTTTTAATTGTCTTCTTTTAGGAGGTTTTGTTGCAGAGTCTATGACCGTTCACTGGGTCTGTAATACTGTAAACAACCAAGCAAGCACCCATTCAATATTTGGAGTTAATCTTGCAAAAATGGTGGATGGATGCTGGTTAGGTGCACAATTGTGGAAGAAGCACATGACAGGGTAGGCTTGACTTCTTTGCACCAGCATGCTCAGAGAAGTGATTGACCTAGAAGAGCATCTCGGTTAAGTTTGGTGGGCTCAGAAGCCTAGAGTGAGTGCTTGACATATTTTCTCACTTTTCTCACTCTCACTTACACTTTTTAAGTAGTGGGTGGGCCCTTATTGTGGCATGGGTGCACGTTCGGTGTTTTACGGCATAACGTATTTACTCGGGTAATAGCTGCACTATTTATGAACAAGGCCCTTGCTTTTGCTTTCCTACAGTACTCATATACAGCCAAATATCGCGTTGCGCAAAAGTAACATAGCGAATAACAAGATCGAGAACATGATTCTCCATACAAATGCAATTTTCACAGATGGTATCTTCGTGCGAAAACGTTATCTCTGTCCTGTAAACCGCTGGAATCATGCTGCCGTTCGCAGTGATTGGCAAGCCGCATGCCTCGCGGAAAAGCAAACCCTCAGGTTTTCTTCATAAACAGTGCGGCTATTACTCGAGTAAATATGGTATGCGTAAAGGCAGACCAGAGATGAAAATGTCTCTTATAAATGCAGTTGTTTGTCTGAAGGTGGACGTCGGGGCAAAAGTTAGCTGCTTTATTATTTTGTGTGTAGGATACTAGTCATTCTATTAGCAGCAATACCTCAAACTAAGCGCGTTCATACTGAAACATAAAAAAACTTTTCTTCCTTTGCAAAATTTTTTTTCTAGTAATAAGGGTACCTTGCAATTTAAATGCTGATTTCAATTTGTATTGCCTACAATCTTTTAAATTCCCTATGCTACACTTAGTCTATTACTTGTCAAATCCCAGCTTCTGTCAAACTGCAAATCATACTGCAGTCTGCCAACTCGCCTTTCAAACTACACGCAAATTATCCATTATATTTCTGTTGCCTTGACAGTTTCCAAAGCTCTAACAATGCGCTACCCTGCTCTTGTTTTTTTGACAGGTTTATTCTAGCATCACGGTCCGAGTACTTCTCTTCCTTGCTGAAAGACCAAGACGCCGAGAGTGTCATTTTCATGGACGGGTGAGTCATTTGCTCGCATAGAATTTGATTTGGTATAGAATACTGAACGAGAAGCGGTTTCTTTGGACAGGTGGCACCATCTTGTGTGCAACTGTCGCAACTCTAAGACTGCCCACGGCTGTGATGATAGAATCCAATCTGGAGCTCAAACCTCCGAGCACCCTGCCAAGCACAAACGCGGCGCTCGTGCCAATAGTTCTGTGGCACGGCTTGCCCAAAGTTTTTCTTTTTGGCCACTGGACGTGACGACTAGCAGCTAACCGTGGAGCCTTCCGTCACTGCTGTAGGGTTATAACGCAGTACTAATCCCGAAATGTCGTCACACCGCTCAAGGTCCTCAAAGCAGTTTATGGAGCCCGAGAGCCTCCCATCAACCGAGGTGTCGACGGTGCTTCTCGGCGGTGCTCGCACGTAGTGTGGGAAAGTGGGAAAGCAGTGAGAGAGAACTGCAGTTTTTCACTTCTCCTTCGTGGCTCACCCTTTCCCAGTTCACGCGGATGGTGCAGCGCTGACTCGGTGCCGAGTCGTTGTTGACACTGGAGATGCAGGTTGCAAGCATTTCTTTGAGTCCACGGTGAAAGGACGGTGCATAAAAAAGTTATAAAAAATTATGCAGGTTGGAAGTGTCCTAGCGTTGCCCGATAGACGCCACCATCGTGGTTCCTCGTCGTGAGTGGTTACGAGGGAACGCAACACATTTAAATGCAATCAAGCGGAAGTGTGTAAAGTGGACTTCACTCCTAGCACTGTTTTCCTTTCACTCCACAGCTTCACTCATGCTGCTGTGCTGTTCTCGCTGCATCACCTGTACGGCGGTGCAGCACTGCCCCCCAAGGAGGTGCATGTCTCGGAGCTAGCCCTGCTCGCGGAGATGCTCGGCCTGGATGGCCTCCGCCGGGTCGTCCTATCCCACATCCGCACCTACTACTGCCACTTCTTCCACAAAGTATGTCCTCTGTCCCCACACTCGTCGTCTTCGGCAACGCGATCCGTCAAGGTCGATTCGTAGAGAAAGGGTCAAAGATACCAGGAAAACACGGTCATTTGTTCTCGTGTCACATATAGCTGCCCTACCCTGCACCTCTACCACTGGACGAGGTCTGAGGAAGCTTGCGACAAAGAGACCCATGGATAGCGATAACCAATGAAATTCAATCAATGTCTGCTAGGACTCGGCTAAACTCTTAGGCACTCGATGGATGCTCTATGGCTTGGCGTGCCAAAACATAATTGTTTTTGTACGCCGTTTGGAATGCTGTAACAGCTGGGTTTCAGTCGGTGCTGATGGGGAAGGAGCCGAAAAATGCAAATTGACTCCCTCGTGCCCGAAACTTTGCTGCAGCAGCATTGCAGACATAAAATTTTCTTAATATAATGTCTAGGCATGTGTGAATTGAAAATTTTGAGTTTGAAGCAAATAGTAGTTTTGACTGAATGTTTTCAAATCGAATATCAAATAGTTTTTCCGAGCCTTTCACTACTGCGCCATGCTTGAACGAAAACCTAACTGAATTTGTCAATGTTGTTCTCGAACTTTTACTCGCCCACTTGTAAACTACAATAATTTTAAGCTATCTATATTTATAGACTGTGGCCTCAAAAAGTTCAATGCATACATTTGGTTGGCAACTAATCGACGCATTTGACATAAAATGTATCCTATGGATATGCCTAGCTATGTTTAATCGAGGGGATTTATAAATATTCTTGCTATATACAAAAACCTTCTCTTCAGCTGCGAATGACTAAAACAGGTTTTTCGGGGATCTCTGCCTAACATATACCCATCCATAATAGGCAGTTTAATTTGAAAAATTTTACTGGAATGCTGCCATCAACATTCAAGAAGTATTAGTTTCTTTTAGGGGCGAAGCTCCTTAGGGTCTAGCCTTGTCCGGCGTCCGTGCTCACATCGATTGCCATCCCATCTCTCTTAAAAAAATAAAAAAATGTTTGTGCAGTCGACAGGATTCTAACCTGTGTGGGGAGACCCCAATGGACTTCTAGTCCATCGCCTTAACCACTCGGCCACGACTGCGGGACGAGTAGGGGGCTTTGAAATGTGGTAGTAACTCAAGAGCTGGGGATGTCATGGATGAAACGTTGCATGTAGCCGCTCAACGTCTATACAGGAGAGGGTGCTGCGGTCAAATGCGTATATAATCGCGTTAAATTTTGCATGCATTGGCTCAACGTTTATAGACGAAAAAAAAAATCAGCACCATCAGCACTACCTATGAACAAAATCAGTATCATCAGCACCACCAAAGTTTTGCTCCAATCAACATCATTCACCACGTGGAGATGCGGTCATTTTTAAATAAAAATGAGGCCGCAGTAATTGTACTTTTCGAAGTGTTGATCGCAGCATTTTAGCCCCGTTGAGCATGCTTTTTACCGAGCACTGGTGCACTGCGGAGAAGCAACACCTGCAGAAGTGAGCTCCTCATACGTTGCTTCTTCGCAATGCACCGGTGCTCGGTAGGAAGTGCACTCAACGGGGCTACGCCACCATGATCACCACCTAGAAAAATATGAACATTGCAGCTCATCTCGAAGCGAATGTCAAATAGCATATTGTTCGAAACTGCTATTTGAATATTCGAACAACCCTAACAATGTTGCATTTTCGGGCGGGGTGGCGGACACTCAGCCGCATCTTTTCCCATGCCATGTTGATGCCATCCAAAGAGCAATAATGCTGAACGAAACCGTCTGACATTTTTCAGCCCTGCAGCCAGTGCATTTCCGGGGTGGCAGAGTGCCTGCAAATGGCGCCGTGTGGCGGCATTCGGGACCTGCAGAAACGGTCGATCCAGTGGGTGGGCCGCTACTACTGCCGGGTCTGGCCACACCGGGCCTTTGCGTCTGTGCCCGAGCCTCAGCAGCAGCTCTGCTACGAGGCCACACTTCAGGCCCTGGTCAGTGACTCTGCCGGCCAGACTTCATCTGGAACTTCCTTTCTCGTCCGCTACAGAACAGAATAGCTAGTTGTTGGTACAGTAGAGCACTTCCACAGCAAATTCCTGTATGCACCATAAAATCCCATATGAATGCCCTCTGTGAGAGATCGCCCATCTCATTTTGCTGGCTAAATATCCATAGGCTAAAAATTCAGGAACATCGTCCACCCCTGATTTTCTTCGGACATCACGCAATGTTTGACGGGGACCGGTATGTGGGACAGGTTCGTAGAAGGTACTCCTGTGTTTATCGCACCATCGGGGTTCTCCCTGCAAATTTGTGAGATCTGGATGTCTGGCAATTTCCAGGGTGTAGGGGGATAGGGTGAGCGGGCAATACAGTATAGACCACTTACGTAACCGCTTATAGTGCAGGACTGGGTATAACGCATTTTTTTTAAACCACCGGTTCGCCTCACATAGAACTCCATGTAATCACATACCGCTTAAAATGCAGGTGCGCGAAGGGAAATACCGGTTATAGTGCGGTTTCTGGAACAGCCCGCCGACCGCGCCGAAGACCGGAGCAGCGAGCACGCTTCCCTGTGCGACACTAGATAACGGCGCTAACGGCGCTAGCCGCAAGCGGCACTCGCGGGGCAAGGAGGTTGCTCGAAGAAGCGGGGAGAAGCGAAGAGAGAGGCTTCAGTTGCCATAGCGACGGAGGGACGGACGCTCGTGTCGTTCACGTGCGTGCATCCCTCCGCTGCGTTGACCAATCGCAGGTCGAGGAGAAGTGTTCGCGCGTGTTGCATGCCGGTTGCGGGCCGGCTTTTATACGCAAACATGGCGTCGGTTGTGATTGTCGTCGTAGACGGCGTGGTGGAATCTCATTGTTCCGCGTAAAAGCGCTATCCTTGACTGTGAATTTTCGTTGTGTGTCGCTATGACAACCCAGCACGTACTAGAAGGGAAGATCCACCTTTTCGTGCGGCGATGTCGTGGCGGCGCTCTCAAAATGGCAGAAATGCCCGTGTCGTCGTGTTTGTTTACTTCGACTACAGTGGTGCTTTCTAAGCATTGGTGTCCTCGAACATCGCCCGGATTTCTTATTTGGCGCATTTCATGCGTGTGCTCAAGTTGAAGATATTACTGGCGCGTACCGTATGAAGGATGCGAATTTTCACGCGTTTTCATCACCGGAGAAAAGTGATGAGGGTTAGCAATCCTGAACGCTTGCAACTTCCGTCCACAACCCGCGACGCCGTTAAAAGGCTGTGCCAGGCAAAAGCCGCTCATTTCTTTCAAAATGTTTGACACACTTGAGACAGAAACTGTTCTAGTTTGGTGAAATAAAGACTTTCCTCAAACTAAGCTTAGTTTTTAATCTAACATAAAATAAATTCTTTTACAAAAGTAAGTTGTCTCATGGCATGTATTTTGGCCTGAAAAATTTATGTTTTGGTTATAGCACGGGACCGCTTATAGTGCGGATTTTCGTGACTCCCGCGACATACGTTATATGCGGTCTACACTGTAGCTGCAACTTTTGATGTTCTCGGCACTTTCTCTGTTTTACAGCAGCGATTTTGTTCACAGCGCTTATATGCAGTTTGTTTGTGCAGTGCCATGCAAGTCTGCCAAATATAACAGTCTAGGGCATTGTGTATTTTCAAAATCAGCATCATCTTTTCCAGGAGTGGCAAAACGTAGGGGTAGGCTGGACATAGCATAGATGGGCAGTCAGCCAGATTGGTGGGTGTTAAAACCACTGCCACCCACTGCGTGGAGAATTCTTTGCACCGTGGAACCCGAGTTTGCTGTGAATGCACAATAATAATTTTTATGACTTGCAAGCTTGTAGCGGGTTCCTGCATACTTATTCCACCGTGAAACACGAATCTGGTGCGTTCACGATTCGCGACATTGGCTCCCGTGACATGCGAGCTCATGGCGGTTTCCCGCAGGTTTCATCACACCACAGAACCTGTTGTGTTACGGTTTCAGTTTTAATATTTTAGCAAGCCGTTCTGTAAGCCAAAGAAAGGCAAGTGAATCCAAAAACCATTTCGGCAAAATGAATAAAGATGGTTATTAGTTTGCATAACCGGCCTCACTATGCGACACCCGTTGGAGCATGAGCTACAAAACGGCATGACAGCTATTAAAAAGATTCAACAGATATTCAACTTTATAACCTTTAAATAACAAATTTGGACTGATGAAACATTGAGTTATTTATTGTCATTTTTTTATTTATTGCATTCCACTACATCATGTGATTGCAGTACAGTTTTAGTTTTAAACATCCTGGTCTTCTGTTGTTTGGTACCCCTCACAGCTATGCTGCTCGCCCCACTATAGCTCGCATTTGTTGTGGAATGCATTTGTGAAACTTGTCTGTGGATTAGAATTAAAATAAAGTATAAAGTTAAGCTATAAAAAAGTTATATTCCCAAGAGGGTTTGAACCCGTAACTTGGCGAAAATAACAGGTAGGAGGGCTGTGCGCGTGTAGCCTCTCGACTACCCACACACCCTCCGTTTTCGTGCCATTTATTTTTGCGGATTAGCCATAGGACATAGTATGTCGGTATTTGGTATTTCTGTATTTCCCACGATCGGCGGTATTGGGTTTTTCATAAATTTTCCTTTACCGCAATCTTCCTCAGCATTAACTTGACATGCCAATCCTCAAGTATCCACTTATATTTCTAGCCTTCTCATTATTTTTCTGCAAGCGGATCTGCACTTCTCTGGTCGAAGCGAGAACATATTCACGGCTTATCATTTGAGGGAGAAGAGCGGAAACGGAACGGGCGGCGATATGCGCAGCAGCGCGAATGGTTTCTTAACCATTGCAAGGCCGCTGTCGCCTAAAGTTCGACTGCGTCGGGCGCTTCAGATTTCCTTACGAAAGAAAAGCAGATCGCTTGCCTGGAAAGCCACTGCCGAGAAGAAAAGCTACAGCTCTGCTGCTCTTCCTTCTTCACCATAGTGGAAAGGCTGAAAGTTTTTTGTCCGTGATCTGCATGCACGATATTGGTTCCCGTGGCACGCAATTTTAGCCGGTTTCTGCGTGTTTATCACACCGTGAAATACCAACCTTTTGCATCCGCAGTGTGTGGTATCCTTTCCTGTGGCAAGAGTTCATTGTGAACTCCCGCGTGTTTATCACGTTGTGAAACGCCAATCTGCTGTGTCCGTGTTCTGCTGTATCAGTTCCTGTGTCACCTGTTTTGTAGACTAGCGGGTGTCCCTTGTGTTTATCATTAATTTTTAGATCGCAGCTCTTAGGCGCCCGTTTCCGGCTTGAGCGGCGTAGGCGTATCCGTGAGGTCACGTGAACCCCCCCCCTGAGTTCACGTGACTTTCCCTTGAGGAGGAGTTTCAAGGATGAGGAGAGGAGGAGGAGGTGAAGGAGGACAGGGAGGAGTAGCGGGCAGGACCACGAGGTGAAGAGGAGGGAGGAGGGGTATACCCTCCCCTCAGTACCCTTCCCTCCTTCTCCTCAAGAGCTGTGCTCGAATTCGGTGTTACAGGGAGTTGTAAACGACTTTCATTTTTTTATAAAGTTTTGCTGTCTCATCTTCAGAGATAGTCCACCTCATGTTCTTCACCATTTATTTCTTTATTTCGCGTGGTACGGGATTTAAAAGTTACTATATTTGTGGACTGTGGCCTCAGAAACTAATGCCTACATTGTGATGGCAAGTAAACGACACATTTGATGTAAAATTAAACTTGAAGAGATAGATACCCAGCTATGCCTGATTGAAGGGATTTATAAATATTCTTGCTATATGCAAATATCTTTTCTTCAGTCACGAATTATCAAGGCAGGTTGTCAGGGCATCTCTGCCTGTTGTATGCTCATGCTTAATAGCCAATTTTTAAAATTTTACTGCAATGTAAATATTAACATTCACAAAGTTTGTTCCTTTTTGAGTACACCAGGTGCAAGCATGCACAGTCCCACTTAGGAAGTGTGCTCTCCTCCTAAGTATGCGGCTGCAATATTTGTACTTTTCGAAGCGTTTATCGCGGCGTTTTAGCACTCTTGAGTGCGCTCCTTACCGAGCACCGGTGCACGCTGGAAAAGCACCACCTGCTGAAGCGAGCTCCCTGGGTGTTGCTTCTCCGCAGTGTACCGGTGCTCGGCATGAAGCACACTCAACGGGGCTAAGTTGCCACGATAAACACTTTAAAAAATAAAAATATTGCAGTTCACCTTGGAGCAAATGCCAAATAGCGTATTATTCGAAACTACCATTAAAAAAACTTGAGTTTCGCATAGCCCTATTTATTAAAGAGATGCTGAGACTGGGTCGGGTTGCTCGACTGCTATTCGAGGCAAATGGGTGTTCCTCGAGGCAGAAAAGTTTGGAAACCCCCGAGTTACATCTAAAGGTGAAACAGAGCCTGGAGTTTTTAACGTGCGCCATGCAGTAGCAACACACGAATGCTTGCAGACGGCAGATACAGCCATCGAGATGGCCCTGAACTGCGAGCGCCTGTCGGTGACGCTTCCCCGCGTCCGCTGGGCGGAGGGTGCCCTGCTGCTGGTGGGGCGTCTGGTGCAGGACTGTGTGTCGCTCATGGCCAAAGAGTTCCACCTGGTGCTGCAGAGCAAGGGCTTCATGGACCTCGGCAAGGTGAGGAGGCCACTCCGCAGCCTGCATCTACACTGCGTGATGTGTTAGCGCTAATGCAAGATTGGCCAATTTTTGCATTTTATTTCTTATGGGTGTTGGCACACACAAACTTCGTGACTTCATCATGAAAGAAATGTAGGGGTTTTTTCTCGACCATAAAAATTAATTATACATCGGTGAACACTCGGTCTCCACATAAACATTGTGCTAGTCCCAACTAGAACCAAAGTTTTGGAGCTTGCTGTTATCTGGCTTTAAAGGGGCTGTGCAACGACATTGGGTAGGAATATTTCTTACTTTACACCAGCTTCCTGGCACTAGTGGAACCCAAGAATACCCGAACGCAACACCACTGACCAAGAAGCGTCTTCGTCGCGGCGGAATTCAAAGGATGAAAGCGGAGGTTTTCTTTCAGTCTCTCCTTCCGAAGTTGCCTTTTGCTCCTTCGCGAAATTTGATGACGAAGCTGTGGGGACAATGGCAACAGTACGATCCTGGGGAATGCGTCATCAAGCTTTGCGGTGACAATGTTCAAATGCTGCTCACACAGTGGATGCGAAGACTGCGTACACATTTGATCTGGGCTCGTGACAATCGATGCCTCAACATGCATTCGGGCAGTGGCCCGTGTCCGATCGCAATGTCTGGAACTCAGCGCGTGTCCTGTGCTTTGCCAAACTCAGCGCGTGGCTATGATCAACATTGGCGGCATATAATCGGCTCCAGATCACGTGGCCGCTTGTTCTGGCTGCGAGTTGAGGGGGTGAACGGTGCTCATTTTTGTTTGATTTGTTTTGGAATTTTTTTTTGCGTGGGGTGGAAAACGAACACGTGTTTCATAGGTCATTAACGTCAGAGATGCGTTTTAAGTGGTATTTGCGCAAGGTACAGAGATTGTTGCATTGCCCCTTTAAAGTTGGAGGCGATTTCCTGAAATTTTTAGGGGAAAATATAGGTCATGAAGCCCACGAAATGTGAGCTTTATTGAACGCTCCAGGAACAAGTGCCCCATTTTCTCATTGAAAATTTAAAAAAAAATTGCTTATAACTTTTGAACCAGATAACGGCAAGCAGATAAGGTGTGGGCACGAAGCACAGCACAAAGAATATGAACTCTTATTATTTTCATAGATCTTATATTAATTTAAAGTTTACACTGTTTTGACAAAAACAAAAATGAATGCACTTTTTTTATTTTATTGGCATTGTTTCTGAGATTTTTGAAAGACTCGACATCACTTATTTACATGTTGTAATGATGTAACAACTTCAAGCGGTGGGTGTTTGTTTCATCAAGGTCAAGCTTGATGATCAACATTATCTGCTTGGGTGCAGCTACCTTGCATGCCACCCATGGAGGTATTGAAGAGGAAAGCAGCTCATTGATGGTCTAAGCTCCTATTGCCAACTAATGCCGAGCATGATACAGTGTGATCTCGACAACTGCACTCAGCTGCAGTTCTGCTGATTCAGTCAGACGCCTTTCTAACGAGCACCTCTACTGCGAAAACACCCTTTTAATGAAGTAGAATAAAGTTGTGACCAATGATTTGCGTTAATGTGTATCTCTGACTACTACAACAAATTTTTGTTTAAGAAATATTTTTGTTTTCTGCTAAGTGAAAACTAATTGATTTGACGTAAATTGTCGCTCTCGAGTGAAGCGCGTAGAAAACAGACATACTGCGGCAGCGGCGATAGTTGACACCGCCGCCACGTCCCTCCGCCATCGCCGCGCCGCACATTCTCGGTTTTGTGTTCAAATAATTTGTTAGAGTGCAACCTTGTGTCTAGATGGCGCTACATGACTATGTTGCGTAAAAAGCCTGTACGCAACAACATAGTCATGTAGTGCCATCTAGACACAAGGTTGCACACTAAATAATTATTTAGACACAAAACCGAGAACGCACGGCAAATGTGGCGCCACCTTTGCTGCATGCCGCATGCTCGTGTGTGCTTTTGTTTACTTTCGTTTTGCTCATGTCGTTGATTGAGTATGCACCCCTCCGCTTCATTCACGCAATGAGCACGCTTGTTTTCTTATTTTGCATATACGTCATCACATTTGAAAAGATCCACACAAACAAGAGTATATATTTAAAAAAAGCACTTTTCATGGGCAGTTGGAACTTTTTTATGCTGTCTTGGCATTTGATTGACTGACGCAGCAATCTTCATCAGGATCCGAAATTCACAATCTTGCTCGATCCGAGTCCCAAATTGTTCCACCTTGGAGCGATAATATTCGGTTGAGGAAACATGATCTGGGACTATTCGTAATGCCAAAATCCTAGCAAAATCAATAACACCGCACAGAAAAACGCCCTTCCACCCCCCTTTTTGTGCCGGACAGGAATGAAAAAGGGCTCGGTTGGCCCGGTTGTGCGCCTTTCCCCATCCTCACTGTGCCGCGCCCTGCAGCTGTCTCGTGCCATAAGCGTGGCAGATTCTGCCATGCTGCTGCAGTATAGTTCTGCTGTGGCTGCCACACCCGCTCCTACGAGAGAAAAGCGGCCACTTCGAAGGCCTCCTCCAAATGACAAGAAGCGGCACAAGCTGCCGCCCGATTTAGAAAAGGCCAAATTTACGTAGTAGGTGAATGCATCCCATTTGCCTCGTGATTGGGGTTAATGTTGGTGGTTTAGTGATTATTGCAATCCATATTTTGATAAGTAAGTTAAGTTTGTTACGTGGGAGTTTGGACAGCGGGAAATTAGCCTGCAGCAAGGAGCGCCTGGTGTCTCGGCTGTAGATGAGAAACTTCGCCAGTGGTGGTACTGGCCGTACGACCGATAGCCTGGTTTCTTTAAATTACATCACACAGTGTTGAGTACACAAATGCGTGCCAATACAATTTTAATTTAGAAAAAAAAAAAGAAGTGGTGATCGAGGCTAAGATGCCTGGATTGTGCAGCGTGAGCTTTTGCCCCACGTGCTCCGAGCTACGGTGCGCTAGCAGATTGGCAACCGTTCCCCCTTTTCGTAAGGTAATTGTCAGCATACAAAACCTCGTTTCTGATGTCGCTCACACTATATTTGGCGCTATACTTTTTCCTAAAACACCTCGAATGTCGCGCAGGTGCGTCAGTATGCGATAACACAAATTAGGTTTCGCATGATAAATATTTTGCACTCAAATACCCTTGTATGTCCTTGAAAAAAATTTACAGGGTTTTTGGCACCTCAAAAATTAACTATGCATTGTCAAACGTTCATTCTCTGCCAAAAGGAAGCACTAGAGGTCCAAACCAGATGCCAAAGTTTCAGCCCGAACCGATATCTTATTTAAAAGTTATGAGTGATTTTCTGGAAATTTCAATGGGAAAATAGTGGCCGATGGAGCTCTCACATTCATGGAGCTCTATGACTTCAGAAACCGAAAACGGGCGAAAATACGCCCCATTTTCTCATTAAAATTTTCAGAAAATCACGTCAAATTTTAGAATAAAATATTGGTTTGTGCTGAAACTTCGGCATCTCCTTCAGACCTCTAGTGCTACCTTTGGGCGGAAAATGTGCGTTCAGCGATGCAAGGTTTATTTTTGCGTTGAAAAAAAAAGAATGTAAATTTTTTGGGGGCAACTTCCACCCTGTTTTACAACAAAGTTACCCGTACTACAAAAAACTTTGCCGATCCCGTAGACTTCAATATAAAGGCCTTTGGCTGTAGCCAATGATTTTGAAAAACAAATCACTGTATATTTTGTGCCTTTCCATGGTCTGCATAGTGTAGAATTTTAACTTTTAAATGTCATAGTTTGGAGGGTATGACATGCAGAATCTTGGCTGTTTGTGTGTGCGTCCCCTCTGCAGGGGCAGAGCTGGAACATCACGGCCCTGGAGGACACGATTCTGTCGGCCGTGGAATTGCTGTCGCCGGACGTGGCCTGCCTGTCCTGCATCCTGCTGGCACAGACGCTGCCCGAGGACGAGGACTCAAACCCAGAGCAGGTTCCCGAGTGGACCCAGGTGACGGGATGGTATTTGCCACACGGCACAAACGTTCGACCGGGGCATACTGCGGGCGTTGCACTCCTTTCCACTTCACGTGCGAGTGGTGAGGTTTCAGTGCGTGCCAAGCTTGCACGCTCACGCGGTGCAAGCATTGTTCAGGGCAATGCACTTGTGCTTGTAGCTTCGGCTTTGCTTTGCTCGTAAAGTGAAACGGAGTATTGTAGGCGCTGAGCACCCACTTTCTGGGAAATGATCTATCGTACTGAAAATTCGCTAAATTGAAAAATTAAATTTTTTTACCATGCAGGTTGTCTTGCTTTGTGAAGATGTTAATTAAGATGTGGTACAGTCGACTTCCGTTAATTCAACCTTAACGGAACATGCGAGATTGGGGCGAATCATTTAAAAGTCGAATTAAGAAATGCATGCAAAATTTTGAATATCTAGCGCTTTAGATGAGGTGGGCTAACATTTTTATAACGGGCCGCCGCGCACCGCCATACGGTAATGGCAGTGTCCACGTATGTCCTGCGCGAGTTTATTGCAGTGACAGGCGGCCATTGCAACACCGCAGCAGTGTTGCAATGGTTGTTTTGTGTCGACACCCGGCTGTGTCTTGTGTCTCAACATGTGCCCTCTTTTTCTCTCTCTTCGCAATTCGGCATGTGCTTCAAAATTTTAAAACGGGCTTTTTCGCTGACAGATGCAGCCGATCGCACTCATCAGCGCGATCGCCGATCACGGCGATCCTATAGAAATGTATGGGCTTTTGCCGGGACCTTTGTACAGGTTCGAAATAAATGATAAGTCGAATTAATGCAAGTCAACTGTATTGATATATAGGGTACATGCGAAATTTCGAGGCATAGCTTCCTTCCTTTGCAAAATGAGTCAACAAACTTCCCAGGGTCATTGGGGAATGTTGACAGAGACAACCAACTTAATGGGAATGGGACGCCATCTCCCGATAGGTCAGCGAGCAGACAACCACGTCATCCGCTTTCGACAAAGTGCGTCGTCTGCTCGCTTCGCCTATTAGGAGATGGCGCCACGCATACAAGCGTCTCTAACTCAGTTGTCTTTGTTGACGTCCGCCATTGACCCTGGCAAATTTGTTAGTCTCATTTTTCGCAAGAAGAGAGACAGACCTTGAAATTTCACGAGGTAATATGCACCACTAAAATATGCCTTTGGCGAAATTTATAACTGCTTCGTGCTAGCACCGTTTTTTCCGGCCAATTTTAGAGCCAGCTTCTGGATTTCTTGCACCTTATATAAGGTGTCTGAAATAACCAGGCTCAATCTAAAATGGGCCGTAAAAATCGGCGCCTGCACATAGAAATCTAAACTTTTCGTCAAAGGGCTATTTCACGGGTCGGTTTTATCTTGTAAAATTACAAAGGGTAGATCCCTTTCTATAAAAAATAAGGCTTAAAAACTTGCCAGGATTAACGGTGGACGGCGACGCAGACGACTGAGTTGAGTGGCGGGGCACGTTTAGCGCACATATTGATAGATGGCGCTACCTCCTTGTCAAGACTGCTTGGGACGAACGTGGTCTATTAAAATAAACATACAATATTTTTTTTAATGTACCTTTGGCTTAAAAAGGAACATGCACAAGAAGAGCAAATCTTGAAGTGAAAAAAAAAAAAAAAGGTGGTTGCATAACAACGTCGTTTTTGCTGCCGACAAATTTTGTTTGCATGTCGTCTGCTTTCTTTTGCTGGTCGGCTGCAACTTCCAGCGCTGCTCTCGACGCCATCCATCAATATGTGCGCCAAACGCGTCCCGCTACTTGACTCCTTCGTCTGCGTTGCCATTAACCCTAGCAAGCTTTTTGGCCCTATTTTTTTTACAGAAAGTGAGCTACACTTCGTAGTTTTAGAAGAAAAAACCGACCTGTGAAATACACCTTTGATGAAAAGTTTAGGTTGCTACGTGTAGGCACCGATTTTTATGGCCTATTTTAGATCGAGCCTGGTTATTTTAGACACCCTCTATTTACATGAGTTAAAAATAGTAATAAAAGAAAAAATACAATCCGTATGTGCAGGGGCAGACTTACTACTAGGCAGAGTAGGCAGCCGCCTAAGGTAGCAGAATTTTGGGGCCGGCCAATTTGTTGCCATTCCCAAAATAATTGTTTTTTTTTACATATACATAGTTCTGAACTTAGCTACTTTAGCAATTCTATCTCCAAATCTTGCTACTTTTGAAAATTTTAACTTCATTCTTAGTTACTTCGCCATCATGGTACTGTTAAAGGCTGCCTAGGGCGGCAAGTGGCTAATTCCGCCTCTGCATATGTGCATAACGTGTGAGTATAGTATGCTGAGTCTGAGGACTTCAAGTTAACAACGGTCTGCTTAAGTTAATGTTGACCTGAAATTTATGATGTTACTGTTAAAGCCACTTTAGTATAGTGACGTCCAGTTTCCATGCTTCTATGTTAATCATACTGAGGATGATTTTTCATATGACGATGGTTTCTTCAGACTATGTAAACGGTCTAATCAAGTAGTACAGTGCAATTCACTGTAAGGAGTGTGTGGCGCCAACGACAACCGGAACCATGTGGGGACACTCCTTCCCTAGGGGAGGGATTCCTAGGGACAACACTTGTCCCCACTCCCGGGGGTCGCGGGAAGCAGCGGGAGACGGGGGACAGTGGAAAATGGCGCGGGGAGAATAAAGGAGTGTTGCAAGCTCACGTGAGACGTATGTGAAAGTGTCCGCTCTGCCGAGCCAAGCGTGACACCACTTATAACAATAATGCTAAAACACAAAAATTTAATCGTTATAACTGGCTATCGTTGTTTCTGGATTAGAAACTGATTGTTTGTAGTCTAGAAGCTCTAAAAACTGATCGTTGCATCTGGTACATCGTTATATGTGGTATCATTATAAGTGGATGGCACTGTATTCATATAGGAGAAAAGTCTTGCAACTTCATGAGGGCCTGTCCCAGGCGAAAATTTTCAACTGGGACCAGTTGGTCCCAGTTGCAACTGGTTTATGGAACAATTCCCAGTTGCAACTGGTCCCAGTTGGAGTCGTCCAACTGGGACCAGTTGGTCCCAGTTGCAACTGGTTTATGGAACAATTCCCAGTTGCAACTGGTCCCAGTTGGAGTCGTCCAACTGGTCCCAGTTGGAGTTGGTACCAACTCCAGCAACAATGAAACACGGCACAAAATGGAAGGTTGACAAGACTTTATTGTCAAAAACTTGGAGAATGAAACTAAATAGGTTCGGTGACGTACACGCTCCGGGTTTAGCCACTTGCTTGCGACGGTTGAATCGCTTTTTCAGAGGTGGTATTCATGAGATGAAGGAAGATCGGCCGCTGGCGTCTGTTAGTGAAGACGTCCTTAGCTTCTCTTCCCATCGCATGAAGAAAGGTGCTCACCCGTGATCCTGCGTTGCGCAGGTGAAGTCCTGATAAGATGCGGTAGCGCTCCCACCTTGCAATCTCTGTCACAAGAGTCAAACATTTTCGAGGTAGACCTCCCGCCATTTTCGCCATTGTGCTCTCCGCGGCGTGTTCTCTTCCGTCCGGTCTTTCCTGGGTGCCCTCCGATCGCTGAACTGCATCGTTCCATCCTCGAAGTTCACTGCCGCCACCATGGCGTGTGTACGGTTAGGTCCAAAGAAGCGCAGCTGTAGTTTTGACATTTTCATAACGACGCCAACTTGGGCGATGGCGACCCTTCCCTACCGCGTCCGTCCGACTCCGGATGGATGGATGGATGGATGAATACGGCTGAGCCCTTTGGATCGGGCGGTAGCTTACGCCACCTAGCCATTTTGTTTTACCATTTAAGCTTAGAATATTTCGGCGTCAGCATAGGCAGCGCCATCTGTCGACAGCGCGTACCACTAATCCGCACCCGCGTGCCACGGCGGCCGGCTATCTCTGATTAGTCAAAAGATAAATTGATTTATTAAAAGAAAAAAAAAATACTGTTGGTATTTAAATAAATGTTTTAATATATTTTAATAATGCACTAAATGTTCATTTAGGTGAACACATTTTGTCACTAATTATATTTTCCAATTAAAAAAATATTTAGTTAATTAAAATTTTTATATTATTTTTATAAATATATAAATGTACCCCAGTAATTAAAAATTCCCTATTTGTATAAATCTAAAAATGTTAGTTTTTTTAGTTTTCTTCATTAGCAAAGGTCAATACACCCCCAACTTGTCCAAATTGTTGCCCAATGTTAACTGGGAACGGGAAAGGCATTTGAAGCTCGACTGGGAATCGCTCCAACCAGTTACTTTCCTAACTGGTTCCAGTGCACTCCATTCCCAACTGGGAGTCAAACCAGTTGACTCCCAACTGGGAATGGTTCAAACCAGTTGACTCCCAACTGAGAATGGTTCAAACCAGTTGACCCCTCAGCTGGCCCCAGTTGGACTCCCATTGGTCCCAGTTGATTCCCAGCTGGGACCAGTTAGTCCCAGTTGCTTCCCAGTTGGGACCAGTTAGTCCCAGTTGAAACCAGTTGAGGTGCCAACTGGTCCCAGTTAGAAATTTTCGCCTGGGGTTTGTCACCTCAAATACCACCATCCTTGAGAAGATTCCAATAAAAGGAGCCTAGCAATACCTTTCTCTCCTAGTTTATTGCAAAAGTACTTTCTAATGTTGGTAATATATTACTAGCTTTTATAGACAATTTTTGTTATAAATTAGACTGTTCAGTGGCTCACCGCATGTTTCGATTAACTGGTGCTATTTATGCAAATCATATGCGATGATGTCATTTTTAGGGGTTTAAAATGTAGCTACCATACCATAAATTTCCAAAGATAAATGCTTTGCACTTGGTGCATAATCCTCACCTGGCACATAATTCACACATAAAAAAAATGTTTTTCTTACACAACACAATTCGAAAAATTCCCGTTTTATTGCTGCACAGAAAAGCTTGTACCATCACAATTCATAATTAATATAATGTGTCAATCACAAAATCCGTCGGCTCTTGTCATAACGAGCAATCTTGAAAAAAAACGAATCTTTGTATAGACCGGTAAATCGGCAGCAAAAGGGTTAAAAGTTAAAATTTTACGTGATACAAACTATCACGTAAAATTCAAATTTTTAACCCTTTCACTGTCGATTTTTTTTGTTTTCTGGCTGCTCCTCACCCCTGCCTGTATTTTTTTTTTTTTGTGTTGGTTTGGCTGTTGTTTTATAATAGTAACTCAGCAATGGTACTCTTTCTTGCATGCATCATCAGCGCTATGACAGCAAGAAATACATAGAGTTCACGCGCAGTCACATCTTTTTACCGCTGTATACGGGATCAGTCCACCGACACAAACGCGGCAAGTATTACGCTTGGCACCAGAAAAGATTCCTCCACTTAACAATTGTGTCCATGCAATACCGCATAAACGAGCCACTTAAGCGGCTTTATTGTTATTACTTCAGTTGTGACCAGTGCAAAGGCGCACACATTGATGGCACTGCTAAGTTCTCAAGTTTGGTGGGAAGCTCCTAGAACAAAAAATGTTCAGGTTCTAAGCAGTTCTTTTTGAATAACAAAACGAGAAATCCCAACTTTGCTCTGACCCCCTCCAGAATTTTACGGACCTACTGCGCAAGGTCCAGCGGCAGTGCGAGCGCTTCCTGATCCACAACGCCAATCGAGTGGTCCACTGCAAAAGCTGGGCGGCGCTCCCCGCCCAGCTGCAAAAGAAGATCAAAGACGGTGAGAGTGATCAAAGGCGGTGACCGCTCGAGCGAAGGGCAGTTTTCAATGTTTTACCGTCTCTCTCCTCAGCTGCCGTCATCGTGTTCGAGTTTGAGAAGCCCATTGCGCCGCCTCCGAGGCTCTCGAGCTTACGCAGGGTAAGTTTCATTCTTCCCACATCGTTGTTAAGCGAAAATTTCAGAAGTTGTAGAGGAAAGCTTGAAGCTTACCGTTGCAGGTCATAGCAATACAGTCGACTTCCTTTGATTTGGCCTTGATGGAACATGCGAAATTGGGTCCAATTGTCCGAAAGTCTAATCAAAAGATGCGCGCGAAATTCTGAATATCCAGTGCTTTAGACCATTGCACACTGCCGTAGGGCAGTGGCAGCAGCTGTGTATGTCCTTTGCGCATTTGGTGTGGCGGCGGCGGCAGTGACTGGCGGCCGGGGCCATGGCAAACACCGCTGCAAAGCAGCACTCTCCGCAGCGGTGTTGCAATGGTTGTTTCGTGTTGAGACACGGCCATGTCCCGTCTGCTCTATTTTTTTCTCTCCGCGATTCGGCGTGCGCTTCATAATTTGAAAACTGTTTTTTTCGCTGAGGAACGCGGCCGATTGCGCTTGTAATTTGCACACCGCGTAATTCGGGGTAAAAAAAAGCCCGTTTTTGTGCACCAAGCTTGGCCAATCGGGCTTGTAATTTGCCCACCGCCGGTTCTCTCTGGGTGGAATTAATCAACAGTACTTTATGTTTCAAGATAAAAATAGTTTTTTTTTGTTCTATAGAAACGCATGGGCTCTTGCCAGGACCTTTGAACAGGGTCAAATTAAGCAATAAATCAAATTACCCGAGGTTGAATAGACCTATCGCTAAATTACCTAACCATCAATCAGAATGCAGGGATTGGTGTTCCACGGGCCACACGCGCACGCCTTCCCTGTATAAAAGATTTTAAGTAAATAACCAAAATGAAGCCTTGACGAACGCGTGTGCAAGATGCAATTTGTTTTAGGTATTTACTTTAGAAAAATTACTACTGCTGAGGCCAGCACGGGGAACACCAATCCCTGCATTTTCCTTGATGCTTGGGTAGTTCAATAGGTCTAGTAACGCAAGTGGACTGTATTGTCGACTTCTGCGAAATAGACGGCACCTGGTGGCTAGGGAAAAAGGCCGTAGCAACAGGTTCGCTCGTCAGCTTTTTCGAGCAAATGAGATATTTACTGTGCTTAGAGGTCTAAAGATGAAGCCGTGAAAGTAGGTTAAAAAAACACACAATGAGAATTGCTAGTACTAGGCATCTAACTGTTTTGTGCGTTATTGTCAAGGCTATAGTGATGTTACGAGGTGCCGACATATTTCGTTACAATTTTTAAGGAATCGTTGCCCAACGAATAGAAGTTTTTTGCTTGAGAGGGTGGAAGATGTTGTGAAGGGGACGCTGATGCTTTGTTATTGCAAGGTAGGTTCATTTAGGTGTTTTGTCTCTCGCCATACGTGACCTCCTTCCTCTATTCTACAAAAATAACATGTTTTTCCAGATGCCTCTTACTTTTTTTGTATAGTATTGCAATACAGTGATGTGATTGCTGCGCCATTTGCGCCAAACTGCGCCAAAGTGTTTACCCTGCTACATCCTGCTACATTTTACCAAAATGTGAGACATTTGCGCCTACGTTGTGCCAAATTTAGTTTTGGCACAACGTTGCACTTGAATGATACTGGAAATATTATAGCTCAGGCCTCGCTGCTCGGCCGGGCCGTTACGATATGCTTATGCGAATTCTCAGAAATTTTGGCTATCTTCTGAAATAAAGTACTATTTGATCGCATTTCGTATGAAAGGCTGACAGTACTCGGAAGTTTTGCAATAATTCTCATGTTCGTCGTCTGTTCTGCTGGAGGATTAGTTAGTCTGATTGAGTGCGCTTCTCCACGCGCATTGGTGTACTGCAGAGAAGCGAAAACCGCAATGTAAGCATTGCGATTTTGCGTGTCTTGCTTCGCTGCAGCGCACTACCGTGCTAAGGGGAAAGCACTCCTCCAGAGCGAGATGTGACACAGTTCCTGAATATAACTTTGGCTCGTATGTATGATAGACTACGATATCCCGGCGGTACCTGTTTCCATATTGAGATTTAGCGAGAATACTCCGATAGTGCAAGAACATTTATGTGCGCTCTTTCGTATGTTTATTTTTTATTTTTGCCAACTAATTTGTTTAGCTATCACTTTTATATAGATGTGAGTAAATTAGAACCAAGTTGGCACAAGCAGTGAATGGAAGCTTGGGAACAACCTTAATGAGTTCGGCGGGATTGTTTTTTTAAGTTTTGTTCAGATACCGTTTTTGTTATGAAGTTCTACTCATGAAATATAATTGACGTTCATAATCAAATGACAAGTGAATTGTTTTTTTATCTGAATTATTAATTGCTGTTTTCTTACAACCTTTAGAACTCGAAGGAACCATTAATTTATAGGCTCTATATTATTGTATTATTTCAGTGCGATTCAGTACCTAAAATAACCATTCCGGGCAGTTTGTGCTGTCCTTCTTCGCTCACCTTCTCACCGTGTCTGGTGCTTCTCCATGCAACTAAACGTTAGTTTTGTGTTTGAGGGACTCACTCCTGCTGTCCGATTGATGTGAACTAAGGGTTGCACGTAAGTGAGAAGGCAATGTAAACATTGCCTTTTAGTTGGACGTGCCGACACATTAATCTTCACAATGTCTGCATTGGTATGAATAAGAATGGTGCTACAAAAGTTATTTTTGCTGCTCCAAATTTGACTTTTGGCTGCTCCGAGAGCTGCTCCAAAATGACCAGGACTAATCACATCACTGCAATAGCGTAAGAGGCTACTGGCACGAGCCATAGGCAGGCAGTCCTGGCTGACAACGCGAAGAGGTGCAAGTTGGGTCCCCATGTGTCGGTCCATCAGATTTACCTCCTGCCAGATTTTCTAACCGAAAATCAACAGCTAGTGCCCTTGTTGCAAGTGTAACATTGCGCCCTCATATACATGGGGGGATGGGAGAGTGTTTCGGTTTTCGGGTCTTCATATAAAATAAGAGGACACCGGTTCGTTCCACTGTGATGTCGTTCTAAGGTCACGGTTGAAAAAGGCAGCCGGATTTAGTTAAAGCAGCAGCATCTCGAGGTGATTTGGGAGTACACGAAACTGATTTAAAGGTTGACGCGATTTGGCCTTGGAAGGTTGAAAGATGCCGAAAAGGGTAAAAAAGGGCACTCCACCCCTAATGTAGAGCATTTTTAAGCCCTTCGAAGGCCCGCTTGCTCGTCTTACTGCTGCGCAAAATGCGAAACTTAATTCTTTAGAGAACATAACGGAGACGGTCGTTATTGGCAGGCTTTTGCAGCAGATCTGTGGGTATATTTCCTGTAGGGTCATTTTGGCTGAAGAGTTTCTCCGCCAAATGTAGCAGAGAGATTTCCTAGCTAAACTTAGCGGAAAATTTTCGTGCTTAATTTAGTGGAAAGATTTCCCCGCTAAACATCACGGTGTCACATGACACGGTGCCATCACATGACATCATAATGTCATATCACACTAGTGTCACATGACACCTTGTCACATTACACTACCGTAATATCCCGAGTCATCGCCCATCCCCGAGCCATCGCCCACCCCATTTTTTGGGCCAATATCGATTTCCGAAAAAACACCGAGTCATCGCCCACCCCTTCTAATACCCCAGCGCGGACTCTGCGATCCGCGAACACTCATCCTACCCGAATGACGCGGCCGCGGACCTGACAGTTGGAGGACGTCCGCGACAAAGTAAAACGAAGGAGGGAAAGACACTTCTTTTTTGTTTAAGCATTTCCTCCGTGAGCGACCCCAAAGTGGTCGTGTATCCGTGCGAAAAGAAAACGATGGAGATAACAAAATAAGAGTTAGGTCAAAGTCTGTCTCCGCCGAAGTAAGGTCACCGCGAACCCGCTCCTTCTTCCCGCCCGTCGCGACCGCGGTTGTGCAATATTTTAGGCAAAGCCAAAGCGTAAATAAAGCTTTGCTGGAACGTCCTACACAGACGTTTGCAGAGCGTCCCAACCCTACATTGATAGCCCGCCGTGCACGGACGCACGTATGTACGCACCAAACAAGAAAGTTGAGCAAGAGCTTGCAATTGACAAGGCGCCCGACTTGGCCCGACGCCAAAGTATTTGCCAACGCGACCGCCGGCTTTCCCGCTTTGCTCTCGCGGTCGCTTCTTTGGTCCGCTCGCTCGCTCGCTCGTTGCGCCTGGTCGGTTTTTCTATTTTCTTGTAGACTTTTCCTTCTTTTTTTTTTACTAACTAGGAGAACATAGTGATGACATTCTCTCACGGAACAAACGTTCGCGCTATATGCAGATCGGCGGTGTTTCTAGCGCGTATGCAAGCAACGGACTTCGCTATAGTAAAATATTCTTTCGTTAGCATTTTTTTCTATAAAACAATGAAACTAAATCGAGTTTCGAGTTTGATGTATCTCTTGTGCATCAGCGCTAGATACGCAGAGAAAAATAGGCGGTTTTTTCCGCTTTTTTTTTTCAAGTGTTTGTGCTCACCCACCGAGACATGACCCACCCCACTTTTTTAACGAATTTCAGGCGGTAGGGGGGTGGGCGATGACTCGGGATATTACGGTAAGGTCGCGTAAGCACGGTTTCGTGGTCACGTGACGAAAAATCGCATGGCCACATGCTTTCCTAATGGTCACGCAAGACTGTGACACATAACACCTCGACGTCACGTGACATCTTGATGCTGCGACATCTGTGACGCTGTGACGTGACATGACGTCATGATTAGTGTGTAGTTAGGATTTCGTGTTTCCTGAGTTTACTTCTCGTAAATTCAAAAAATGGCTTTTCGGAGTTTTTTTTGGTTTTTTTTTCTGAAAGTTTGGGGTTTATTGAAGTTTAGTTCTGTTAGATTACCAATTCTCTGAAACATTTATTTTACTCTTTTCCCATTTTTTAAATATTCAGAAAGGAAATAAATGAAGTCTGGGTACCATAACCCAGTGGTTTTCAACAACTGATGCTTCGTGGAGCCCTGGTGGTTCAGCGGAGATGATGGAGGACCCTGCTCGTGGTGAGGGGAAGGGAAATGTATAGATTAATTATGATAATAATTTAATAAATGGATATAACTAAGGGCTAGCGTAAAGTACACTTCTCTCAATCACATACACTTGAGAGAACTCGCCCGAAAATTGAAAAGTTTCTTCCTAGCAAGATCAGCATACCCACCTGTAACTCTAGCGAACAATAAAGGTTTTCCAATCCAAATCTCAATCTGAAAAAAAGACAGCCTTTATTGTTGGGCTTGACTGATGAAGCAGGGCTTCGCGGACCCCCATTTGAGAACCACTGCCATAACCCATTGTTCTGAAGGAACCTTGACAAGCTAAAAGGCAAACCTCTTTTCTCAGTAGTTCAAGATTTCAAGTGGCATCTCCTCAGGACCATTGACCCTCTACTCTTATAATGTCTCTTTGTAACAAAACATCTTTCTTCCTTCTTATTTTGTCATCGTGACCTTGAAATTCTGAGTTTTTTCGATAAATCCGCATTGACGAAAAATTTACCGGAAGGTTTTTTCGGATTTTTTGGGGTTTATCCGAAAACATGCAACCCCAAGTATAACACATGTGCACCACAGCGTGCAGCATCTCGGCTGTCACCGCAGTCGTTGGCGGGACACGTCGAGAAACGCGCTTTCTCCGCAGCCGCTCGAAAACTCCTTGTGATGCCATTTTCGCAGAAGCCCCGGAGGAAGTCTACGGGGACGTCCCAGGCATGCGAGGCGGGAGAGGGCAGCCCCCCGGCACCCATGCGCAAGCCCTCCCGCTCCTTCTCCCGTGCCGTGTCCTCCTCGCCCAGGACCTCGGGCAGCGACTCGTCCGAACTGCCCGGCTCTGCGGACAAGAGCAGCCGGCCCATTGCCACCACCTCGCTCACGTCTTCCTTCCACTCCAGGGAGGCGGCGTTTCGACGTGCCGAGGAAAAGCCCACCTCGCCGCCGGAGCGGAGGTCCGCGCCCTCTGGGGTCATGTCGGAGAGCCTCGAGAGCTACAGGGAGTCTTCGTCGGACTCCGGGAAAGAACAGGTAAAACAAAGAATTCTTGCTTTTTTTTTTACCATAATTTACTTTTATCGTAAACAGTGTGGCTCAATGTGGTGTCTCTAAATTTGTTTGTGCAAGAGGTACTTGATAAGCTGTCAATCTAAACATTCAGTTGGGAAAGAATAGTTTATTTTGGTGCAATCACTTTTGAACACAATGTACTCATTTCATTTTTAAATATTTCAAAGAATTAATTTACTAGAGGAAAAATTCAGCTTAAATTAGAAACCTTAATTCAGTTTCTTAAAACTGAAAAGCTTTCTTTCTTACAACAGCTTTCTTTAACCTTTCAACGTAAATGTTTGCCATGGGTTCAATTCAGCATGTTCAGCTTGACTGTCCCATTCAGGCTGAACATGCTGAATTGACCGATAGACCCGAATAAGTTATTGAAAAAAATAGTTCGAAATTTTTTTTTTCTCTGGGATTTGTTTTTTATATTTATGACCTTTGTAATGAAAGGATCGGTAAAGTGGTTTTGAAGCCTATGTTAATTGCTTCGTCGTTTGAAAGCTGATTATATAGGGGCTTGATAGTTCAAGGAGTTTCAGGTTTTGTGAAGCATTGCTGAAATATATGAAATAAGTTTGTTCATCCCTCAAAAATGTTGTCTATTGTGAACTGTTTAGACAGCCACGTGGCTCCTCAAAACTAAATTAAGTTTGTTCATCCAGTAAAAAACTGTCAATTGTGAACTATTAGTTCCGTAGCGCGCTTCTTACCGAGCACCGGTGCACTGTAGAGAAGCAGCACGGTGCAGTAGCGAGCTTCGTGGGTGGTGCTCCTTTGCAGTGCACCGGTGCTTTATCAGAAGCGCGCTCAATGGGGTGGAAGAACGAAAAGTATGAGTTGCATGAAAACGGTGTTTGAATTAGGCTGCTTAAAAATACATTAAAGACATGGTGGGAGAACTATATTTTTAATATTTGTTTGAATTAACCAGATGTATGAAATATCCTTAATTTAATATAATAACTACTTTGAACCGGAAACTATCGCCTAAAGAGTCAGACTTTAGTCCATTTTCTAGATGTATTTTTATTGCATTTAGAAACTGGAATCTGTCTGGCCCTCTTCATAAAGTGTCCAGAGAGTTGCACTGTCAAATTTTCAGAATATGAAGCAGCCACTTTTAGGAATCAGTGCTTTAGACCACCTACAGAATGCTGCGACACAGGAATCGAGACAACGTTGTCTCTTTATCTTAACGGTATTTTAGGTGCATTCGCCTCTAGTGTACAGGCAAGGTACATTTGAAATCGGGAGATAATTCAACGTAGTAGTATTCAAAATAGTACTCCGAAAAAATCAAAAGCACCATCTATGCATTTTGCGGCAACTTTTGTCCTGGTTCGGAAGACGTTCCACTTATATTTTGTGGGGTCTATTAGCAAGTGGCTCACACACCTCAAAACTCTACTTGTCCAGCTTGTTTCTTTTTTTGTGACCTTCAGCTATCAGGTGCTTACCGTATTATTGCGAAGATCAACAATGCCCCGAGAGCAGAACGCTGCTTAAAAAACCAACATTCTGCTTCCTTTGGTCAACTTCGGCAGGCACCACCCATCCCAGCGGAAAAGAAAGTTGCGACTGGGGCACGGACTGCAAGAGCAAGAACCACAAGAGGTTCACGGTCTTCTCCTAACGTGCCGGGTGAACTCGGTAAGTTGCACCCCAAGTTTGCTCAGCCTCGTTAACTAGGCTCTGATGGCAGTGAGAAGTACCCATATTAGGCAGTGCTTTGATGATGGTGTAGGCCAACGTCAGGTTGTGTAAATACAACCAGCGTGGTTAACAGCATCGGCGCTTCTGCATGGATCGTGCATGTGCAGTGTATTTGCAACAATGCCAAAACAAACAATAACCACACCACCACTTTTAGCTTACTCTGCAGAAACACACCATGAATATACCTCAACCCAGAAAGCCTTAATAGAATGACGTCCACTATGTATGCTAAAAGGCTACATCCATTTATATGGAGCCAGAAATAAACACCCAACTGAAAATTGATAAAAAAAAAATTTAATGTAAAATGTCTTGCCTTGCAGTTTCAAGCAGAAAATAAAAAAATAAAAAGATTGACTTGTCTTTTTCAAAAATAGAAAAAAAAAAGGTAAAACGAAATAAAGTAAGAAGTAAATTTGTGGCATCGGTAGAAGAGCATGCCCAGTCCCAATGCTTTGAAAAATTAACAAAGTGTGCAGTGCATGCTCAAGTTCTAAAGATGAAAGTGCAGCGGTGAGCCCGCACGCCTTCTTAGAGCAAGGTCAGCAAACAAAGTTTGATGTCGAGGCTCACTGCTCACTGCCCTTTTTGAAATCTTTGTCAGCTTTTAGCAATACTTTCATTACTAATACAGTAAACTCTCACTTGAGCGAACTTCAAAGGACCCAAGGAAATAGTTCACTTAACTGAAAGTTCACTAAACTGAATATATTCACTAGAACATGGAACAGCATAGGGCACATCATACATCAAGACAAAAGTGTGAAATGCAATTTATGGAGTCGTGTACATCGATATATACAAAGTGCATAACACTTATGTTGCTGCCTTTCTCATTTTGAAAAAAAATCTAATTTTCATTTGCACCAGCACTCTTAAAAAAACCTGAAAAGAAAAAAAAAATTTTTTTAACAATCTGGTTTGGACTTGCGTGATAAAAAATTAATTTTACGCAAAAAAAAAAAAAACTGTTCTAGAGCAATAATGATGGTGCGAGATGCCATTTAGTCAGCAGTCACCTCCTTTCCACTTGTTTTGTCTCGGCATTTCGGGCGCATGGAGGGGCGGTGGATTGGCTTTGCCTTTACGTTGAGGGGAAAGACCAAATGACCATCTTGTTAAGCAAATGACTATTCTGTGACGTCATGGACTTTGCTTGCTGAATTTCAAATAAATCTCTCGCTGTCAATATTGCTCTAAAAAAATTATTTTTTTCACGTAATATTTATTTTTTGGCACGCATGTCCCAACCAGGTTATTTAAAAAAAAAAAAAATTTTTCTTTTCGGGGGCTTTTTAAAGCGCATGAAGTAAAAAAGCTGTCCAGAGAGTCAATGTTTTTTTTTTTCACTTCCTCTGGCACAGCCTGTTGCTGTAACGAAGCCATACCACAATGGCATCAACCACTGGCTTGAAATATTTCGTAACAGAGTCGTGTCCTGTTAGGATTGAATGCAGTTTCTTTGTCAAGCTTCGACTTCTGCTTCACTATCGTTGACAACGTCGACGGTGGAACTCCATAGACCTTCGCAACGTCCCCTTGCCTTGACGGTCGTCCATATGCTAAAGAATTTTGGGCTTGCCTGATAGAGACAACCACTTCCATTTCGTCGTACTCATTACAAAAGTGAGCGCACAAACTGCCATCCTGCCGTTGTTACCCAAAACTAAGATGGCTAAACGGAACCGGTGACGAAGAAAAAACAGACACACCACGTGGTTCGTTTTCGTCTACCCTACTGTCGCTTTGCCTCGGCAGCACTGTAAACGCCAGCGATGATAGGCCGGGGCGGCGGGCATCGGCTGCACCAGCACCGCAGAACACAAAACTTCGTTGAACTAATTCCAAAAAAAAAAAAAAGGCTTGAAGTACACCTAAGCACTTCCTATGAGTTGTGAATGCAAAAGTGTGCACATCATTCTTCCGCTCCCTCATTTCGGCTGCGGCACATTTGCGTTGACGGCAGTGCAAGCCCTCTCCTCACCGCTCTGACCTCGGACACTTCGTGTTACCGGCGCGCTGACGGACACGCAGCACCACGGAGTTGCAGTCATTGAAACTGAAGCACAGCGGCCAATGGGAGCCTTGTTCCTAAGTTATGACGTGCGCCAGCCAATAGGACTGAAGCCGAAATCCATCAGCTTTACTTAGCTTCCTTGGGATCAGGGAAACTAGGTGCCGTTGTCTAGGCTTTTCGTGTGGTTTTATAGCTGGGAGCAGGCATCACTTGGAGAAAGGATTTAAGGTGCCGTATGGTGCGGCTTCAAAGCTGATGACGTCGGCTTGCTCTATGGGCAGTTAATGCTTTCACATTATTAACTCAAAATAACAGTGCAAGCATATAGTTGCACACAAACATAAGTGACCACAGGCCACAAAAACAATCACACATAGTGACACAATCACAGCACTCGCTGCTGACTCGCTACTCACAACAAGAGGTGACTCATGTTTGTGTGTAACTCTATACTTGTGCTGTTTATTTTGAGACAGGGATAACCAACTCATCCAAGCCGCCATTATGTGCAAAAATAATCCTGTGTCCAGCGATCAAATTCGCTGAACTGAAATATTCCCTATTCCAAAATTTGTTTTTCGTTTAGTTAACTGAAACATTTTTGCAAACAATGCATTGGAAAACCGCTGAGGAATTTTTTAAAGTGTGTTATTCTGAAATATTTGGTGAACCGACAATCGCTTAAGTGAGAGCTTACTGTAGTTGTAACATATAAATGAACCGAACAAAACGTGTCAGAACTGATCGTAAACCCACTTACCGTAGAATACAGCGCATCTGCCCATGCCACATTAAAAGGGGTTATGACACGCCAAAAATAAAATATGAGATAATAATACTGCTACGACCCATTGAATGTTCCTATAATCCTATTCAATTTGTTTTGAAAATTGCACGATAGTTTTGTGGATAAATCAATTTATATGCGGGTCCCTTGGAGGGGCGGATCCGAGCGGAGCTGGAGGCTGGTGACGTTGCCAGCTAGCCGCGCAGTGTCCCCTTGCACGCACTCACAAACTTGGCTCTCTTGGCGTCTCGACCTTCAGCTTCTTCGTTTACCTTTTGCATTTCGGGCGTGCGGTCCGTGACGATTACGTCTACGGCATCGCTCGCCTTGTCAAAGTGTTCGACATTGATCGCAGCAGCGGTGAGAGTGATTGCTATCAAGAGTTGTTGGAAGCTGTTAATTTTGATTGCGACCCGCTGGCGACCAGCTCCAGCGACGGCGAGTTTCGGACGAACTCGCCGTGGTCACCGTTGTACGGGAATATCTCGCAGGCGCACGCAGGGTGGAAGGTCAACGGACCGGAGGCGAGAGTGACAATAGCGTTTGGATTACCGAGTTCCTTGAGCGGTTTTGATCGTACCGCGGCGAGGACAACTTCGGCGATTATGGGGGCGCCTAGAATGAGAGAGCGTTCACGATCATGTGGTCTATAAACACCATGGCATGACTAACTTGGGCAGTGTTGCCTGGTCGCGAGATGGAAATGATAAAAATTCGTAAATTGATTGTTGCAATTACTGTAACTCTAAAACTTGCCTAGCTTGGTGTATATACTAAGCAGCCTATGAGCATTCCATTTCAAGGATAATCTATCCGTTTAATTTTCGTGTCATAACCCCTTTAAGTGCCCATTCCCAAATTTTTAAGATGTGAGAAAAAATGCACAGTACATTGATATGTAAAATTAAAGATCGTACAAGTGCCCATCCCCCATTTTTTCGCGATTATCTCTGAAGTTTGAGTGGGCGCTTGCCCGGTATTTTACGGTTCCCTATGTCAAAAACACGGTGAGTTTTTTTTAATGCATTAAAGGGACACTGACACCCCCCAAAATTTTTTTTCCATCTTTTGCCAGGCGCTTCATTATGGTGTCGGAGGACTACCCAATTAATATTTTGCAACAGAGTCGCGTATTTGTTTAATAAAGCCAAAAGACGCGACTGCTCGAAACCGAAACCGAAACCCGACGGAGGTTGGAGAAGTGGAGAGAAGGGAGTAAGTGGCACCCGACCGTGCGTTTCTTTTTTTTTTTTTTTTTTTCTCCTCTCCGTAGCAGACGACACGACATGCGGCGGGCGATGCGGCGGGCGATGCGGCGTGTGGGAACTGCTCGCCGCGCGATTCTTTTGCAGTTATGTTTGTTCCGCTCGTTGTTCTGTACTCCAAGATGAGTTGTTTTGTACATTGAGGAGTTGGAGATGAGTAGTAAGTGCCCGTGGTGAATTTCCATGATCGGCTCCGAAAAGAATACACCCAAGATGTTGCGTGAAGAGCTAGCTGGCTCACATGTCCTGCGTCCGAAAAAAAGGGGCATTGTGCGACAGAGTTTCCGAAAGATCAACGGGATCGGGAGCAATGGCTGGCTGCAATATCTGTAGAACATATACGGGCACCTCGGAAAGCGGACGCTACCTGATTTATATGCTCCTTGCATTTTGTGGAAAGTGATTACATTGAGTTCGCAGGTGTCAAAAAGGAAATCCCATACCATTTAATTCAGCGAAGTGTCGTCCACAACATTTGTTTGTTATTTTTTTGTTTGTTTCTTCAGTAATAATTGTAAAAAAAAAAAAAAAAAAAAAAAAGATATGTAAACATCAGAAAATGTTTGAATAAAAAAGAAAGTTTGACGGGGGATCGAACCCGGTTCTACCGTGTGTGAAGCGGACATCTATCCTACTGAGCTACTGGGGCATCATTCTACTGGTGGATCTCTTTCCTTAGTAATAATTCAACCGGTAAACTGTAAGTTGGAAAGTTTGCTGCCGGTTTTCCTCTAGCAAAAGCACTCCCGGGTCGAAGTCGGGAAGCACCACGCATTGGCGACATTCGCACCTAGTAAAGAAATCGTACGCGTGCATATTCAACTCGAAGTAGACACGTCGTGCTTGACGTTTGCGCGAGCGATGTCTTCAGCCACGAGAAGGGAGCGACGGCTCGGCGACGTCTTCGTGCAAATCGGCTTGGTGGTCGGGCGTGTCGTACGGGATGAATACCAATTCTTTTGACCAGTCCCAAATTTCTCTTTTAAAGGTAGACAGAATTCGCCGGTACCGCGAACGACAGTTCTGAAATAGAGGTCCCACGCCCGTTGTCCGCTGCCATCGCCGTCCCCGCGAGTCCCACGACACGCGAAACGACGAACGCACAGAATCCTTCCAGTTGTCTGTGGAACCTTTTTTTTTCAGTCAACGTATTTGCAGCTTTTTAGAAGCCACAAAAAATGGGTTTCATATTTTTTTCTATTTTTAATACTGAGTGTGTGCCTTCAGTGACCCACGACTTTGATTAAATTTGGTGGTCGCATCGATACCTTAGAAAACGGCCCGTGACCGCGAAAAAGAGAGTGAGCGAGACTCGAACCGGCCAGTTCTTGATCGGCTGTTTTCGGGCGGAAAGAAACCGAATTTCGAGCCGCAAATTCTGTTCTGGGTAGTTGAGCTCTCATATGTCACATACTACTAAAAACCTCGGCAATCATAAATACCCTGTCAGTGTCCCTTTAACTGTCTCATGGAGCGAGTTGACGTCATCAGCTTTGAAACCACACCAAGCGGCTCTTAAATCCTTATCTCCAAGTCAAGCCAGCTCCCAGCTATGAAACTGTAACCACACGCAAAGCTAGCCACGGCACCTTTACCACTTCAATCCCATTGGCTAGCGCGTCTCGACCAGGCTCCCATTCGTCGGACACGCAGTGCCATGGGGTGGCCGGTCGTTGAAACTGATGCTGCTTGTCAGTTTCAACGACCGGCCACCTCATGGCACTGCGTGTCTGTCAACACCAGTCAGCGTGCCAACATGCATAGAGCAAGAATGATGTGCATGCTTCACATTCACAACTCATAAGTGCTTACCTAGGTGTACCTCAACTTTTTTTTTCATCTTTGTAGCAATTGCAGATATGGGAAGGCAATCGAAAGAAATCTATACATGCGTAATATTTAGGGCGCCTGCATTTAAACTTTAACAGTTCAATTTTTTAATGCAGAAACCTTGATCATATTCCTAATCATCCCCCGTCCAGGCGCACGTCCCAAGTCTGCAGCCACATGGGGCCCCGCCTTGCCTCCCCCGTGCCCCCCCAAGCCGCTCACCAGCTGGGGTAGTCCGCAGTCCAGGCCGCCCACGCAGTACTTCCAGAGTCTGCGTCACGTCACCTCCAAGGTGGACACAGGGCGCGCCGTGGGCGGGTCCGTGCCCCGCCCCGTCGGACAGGTGGTTCGCGTGCCCCCCTTCACCATCAAGGGCGAGCCCCACGTGCCCCTCAACCTCCGCCTCCCCGCCCCCGGCGCGGAGGCAAACAACAACGAGAATGACGCATACGATGACGACTCCATGGCGACGGAAGACACCTCGCCGGAGGACGCGGCGGAGCAGGAGACGTCCCCGGACTTCGTCGCCGAGATTGACGCAGAATCCAACCTCGTCAGCCACTGCCTGCACGAGGCGGAACTGCTGGAGCGGGAGCTGTCGCGGAAGTTGCGCAAGCAGAAGAGGGACCCCGAGCCTCTCTACACGAGGCCCCCCGGCATCCGGGGCTCGGCCCCGGACCCGAGGAGGAGGGCCGCGTCGACGTCCTCAGTGGCCCCGACGAGGTCTGCCGGATCAGTGGCATCGGCACGGAGTCCGTCGGTCAGGGCGGAGGGATCGGCGCGGTCTCCCAGGGGCGTTCCACCTTCGAGGGGCGGACCCGTCGTAAACGGGAGGTTGGAGCCGCGGATGCGTCGGGTGTCGGGCATTGCGGTGTCGACGCAGGGAAAGGTGCCTGCCAACCGTAGATGATGACGAGGATGTAGGAATCGTTGCTGGCTGTTAACGGACGCCACAATGTGTTGTCTTTGGTGACGTCGTCTTCTGTGGTCATGTCTCGATGAGTAAGTTGCTCGTTCGAGATGGTAACAAGTTTGGCATGGTACCTGCACGAAGTCTCGCTAGGCGAACGCTTCTCTCTTTTGTTGTGTTTTTGAAGTGAAGGGGTCATGCTGGACTCATCACATTTAAAGGGATCCTTTGGAGACATTAGCTGTGTGTGTCGGGCTTGTGCTTGGCACTGCTACTTTCTCTGGTGTCTTGGGATGTGCTAATTTCCCAGTTTAAATTAAGACTCGTTATAAAGTGGACCATGTAAGGGAATAGTCATCTGTACTTTTAAGTTGAAGGTTTGATTACGGAAAGAATAGTTAACACAAAGATAAGTTGGTAGTGCATAATTGCTAAAAACAAGCGGAGGCGTAGGAAACAAAAACGTGACAAACAGCTTTGGCACCTGTATTTGAGATGCCCTGTTCTCGTTTTTTTTTTTGTTTCCTGTGTCTCTGGATGCTTTTAGTAACTAAGGTTTTACAACTGGACTATTGGTTTCTTTTACTTCTCTAAATATTTACTACCCATTGTGCAAAATGGTGAGGTCGTATGTTGGACTTGTGGATTGTAAAGTGGTTAAGTAATAGACCATTCTGGAAAACTCTAGGGACAGCTCGCAGTGAGGGAAATTGCGGGGCTGTACAGATGTAAGCTTGTGCCGACTGGAACGCATCGCATAACCTGGAAGTGGCACAATTTATTTTTTCTTATTATTAGGAGTGCAGGAAACACCAAAAACAAAGTGAAGACACAAGGAGGTCATCGTATACTCTTTTTTGTTTTTCTCCTGCCTTCTCTGCATTCTGAATTCGCACATTGTTAAACCAATGTCACAAATTCGTCTTCGATTCCAGGATAATATCACGCACCGTACATCAGAGTGCTTCAATGCGTCAAGCAGAGGGTCAGGGCACCAGACATTTGCAGAAAGGTTTACATATTCAATAATGTCGGAGATATATACTAACCAAAATGAGAAGAAATGAAAAACTTGCAATGCACAACTGCCTTTATGAACTATATGGACCATCTAGGTAAAGAATTTGATTCACCAGGTTAACCATGTTCTTTATCTACACCAGTATTTTTTAATTTATTTTTGTAATATGTTTTTATATATCTTACTGAATTACTAACTACTATATACTATACAGCAAGTAATCAGACAAAACCAACCCAAAATGCATCTCTGTACGAGTGGTGCAAAAAGGTCAGATGGATTGATCGCGTGCAGACACCTTTCTCTTCGGATAGCAGACAACATTTTGGAAGCAAGTTTTCTGTTCGTTGTAGCATGTCTCTTAGTCAACAGAAACAATAGACCCTTCTAATTATTTCCTCACCCCTTCCTTAAAGGCCACGTATCGATAAAAAAAACAATGAATTTCAAACACCTACAAAAAAGCAAGGCAGTTGTTATTACAACTATAGTCCGTTGCAACCTAAGAGCGAAGGGCGAGGGTAAGACGGGACGGGGAGGAGGAAGCAGACGGAACGCTAAAGAGAGAAGGAGGTTTTCCCCTCTCTTCTACAGCGTTTCGTCTGCTTCCTCCTCCCCGGCCCGTCTTACCCTCGCCCTTCGTTCTTAGGTTGCAACGGACTATACTAGCAGATGACACGGCCTTTGTGTCTACCCTCTGTATCCTTCGATCAGAACCTGGCACCATGATCTCATTCGACCCTCTGCGCAAGGGGGAGACAAACTCGCTGGCCGTACGGGACATGTGACTGCAATCTTATTTTTATGACAAATTGGTCCAACAACTTTTATGAGGTATTTCTTAAAGTTTTAAAGGTCAATTTATGACAAATACTAAGAAGGAAACTTCAGTGAAGAAATGTGTTTGGATATTTTACTATTGAAGAGTCTGGTAAGGTCTATACAAACTGCAGTTACCCTAGAAAAGACCACAATGTCGGACTGGGAGCCAAGTTGAATAAGTATTAATGCTGAGCTCTGAGATATTTATCCTACAGTCTATACTCAGCCTGTCTAGCCTTGCGCTGTTGCAAAGCCTTTCGCAATGAGAATTTCTTTGTGTCCGATTGTCACATGCAACTGCAGTAAACAAAACACAATTGTATAAAATGAAGCCACATATACCTATACCCACTGGCATCAAGCAACCTCGGAAATGCCAATGGGTTGTAGAAATTCCATATGAGGTTCCAAGGTGATATGACGAGTAGAAATTGTATTGTCCTATGCTCCCCTCATTGAAATAACCAGAACATAGCTGAAAATGCAGGGAAACCCCTCTATAGTAAATTATAGTGGGGCACTGTTGAAGCATGCCTGAGGTAATGGTACAGTCATTTGACATAGTGATATACAAGGGATTTTTTTTTTCTTCATTTTCTCAATTATTGTTTTTGTTGTAGAAAGGTTCTAGTAGTGTAATTTTAAGAATTATCCTTGAATTTATATTGATGGGAGGTCTTTTCATGGCAGTGCAAAAGAAGCTAGTCATTTTGCCATGTACTTGACATCACTTTTTGTTGACATCTTGCAAGGCTTTTTAGAATGTCTATTTGCATGTCCTGGATGGAGCTTTTACTCAATGCAAATCATAATCATTGTGTGACCAATTTTTTCTCACCTGCTTTTCACCATGTCCTCATCTTTAATATTTTCAAATTTGCAAATATATTTAATAGATACACCTTGTTTTGTATCAGGTTTGAATGTGCCATTTATTTTATGCTAAATGCCAGGGCTGTTTATGTGCAATACTTATGCAGGTTAAAGAATACTTTTTACCAGACCAACAGGTGGCAAAAGGTGTTCACAAAATCCTGTGCAGCTGCCTGGTCCTATGTCATGAATGAATATTTTATGAAGGAACATTTGATTTCATTACATTAGTGCCATTGGGTGGGAATGCATCAATTGCGTGATATTTACCATCCTAGAGTCATTGTAACCATTTTCCGTTTCATGAAGTTTCTCAAATGTGCAATACTGATGCAGGTGACATTTGTTGTGCCATGTAAATGCTCATGTAGTATGTCCTAGTCTTGAGATACTTCATTCATTTTGTGGTTTTATTTAGTCACTTAGCGTTCCTACTTCAAGGCAATAACAATTTTTGAATCTCACTAGTCCTCTAAAGGTTTATTCACACGACGCATCTTTTCAACGTGCCACAGTTAAGCGAAACTGAGATTTCGCGAAATCGGCCTGTTCACACGTAAAGTTTGACGCGCGAAACTTGTGATGTATTGACTCACGAGAATTTCGCTAAACCTTGTCATCTGCACTGTGAATATCAAGCGTTTCGCATCAAAATGATATGAAGTACGCACAGTGTGAACAGACAGTCTGTTTTATTAATACCCCTCAATAAACTTCGTCAGATTTGGCTCACTGGGTTTTCTAGTAGTCCTGCCAAACTCGGGAAAGACCGCGATTGTCAAAGAACAGGCTAATGATCTCGAAACATTTCAAACATTTTTGCACCGCTAATAAAGAATGTTATCCCCAGCCATCATGTTTATATGCGGTGCTTGCACTCGTCACGACTGTTGATGAATCTGCACCACGCCACCAACCCGTACTGCTAAAGCGCCGCCCACACACCTGCAACCGAGTAGGGCCAAGACTCATCGCCGTACGCTCCGCTTGTCGCTCGCCATGTTTTTCTTTTCTTTTTTCTTTTGGCTTTGGCTTGGATACAGAATCGGCCAAAAATCAGACTCCTCCAAAAGCTCGCTTCTCCTCGAACGTCGGACGTCATAGCGAAGTCGAGCGGCCCCATTGGCAGCATCCGCGTTTCTTCTTCGGGTGATTGACAGGCCTCGGTACGGTTTCAGCGAACAATTGCTTCAGAACCAAGGAACACACGCCACTTTTTTCGGAGGCGCGCCACTTTTTCGGTTCAGTTCAGACGGGGAATCTGTTTCCCGAAACCTAGTTTCGCGACACAAGATTCGCCAACAAGATGCATCGTGTGAATAGACCTTAAGACAACAGAAGTTCCTATTCTTTAATTTTCAGCATTATGTTTAGAAATCTTGTCTTCGTGTCTCAAATATTTATTTGTCATTTACATTGATAGTTGGTTATTTCCTACTACAGTAGTTGGCCGTATGGTTTTATTGTCATTGCCTGGATACATCTCTGACCTTCCATATTCCTGTTATGTGTGCTCATATTCCCAATATGGTTATTTAATCTCCATAATGCAGCAAAAGTAGATGCAGTGTGCCTTTTTGATTGGTACATTTTTAAGAGCTTGCTGTTTTTGGAACTAATGAAATACACAAGTGTTATGCATGGCGAGTAGCTAATTGTTCACCTACCGCTATGGCCTTGTGCATGCAAATACTACCTGTGCAATTGCAAATGGTTTATATCTATTTCACTTAGTTTTTTTACACTGCTTAGTTTTTTTTACACTGCAATAGCATGATGTTCAGTCTATGTTGCATTATACTTCAGATTTGATATGAGCACCTCCCTTGACAAGGATCTCACTTGTAAAGTGTGGATGTACAGCTGTACCAAATCTGGCACTTGCAGAAGTGCTCCCACTTTTTTGCTGTTTCTAATAAAACCCACAATCTTTAAAATTTCAGCACAAAGCCACAACTTATTTGAACTACTATACTGTGCACTGTGCAACAAATATTCCATCGAAATGGCAAAGCTTTCCCTGTTAGGAGGGCACTTCAGTGAATGATACACTCTTGGATGGTGTGCCTCCATGTTGCTGGGCTGGCGGCCTTCCCAGAGAGGACAACTCTCTCGTCTGCCAGCGGAGCCGCTATCTTGCCTCCCACTTATCGCCGTTTATGAGCTATTTATGCAGTGATTGAGCATTACCACTTGGGAACTGATGCGGGATCAGTCTAAGAATACAGTCAAACCTCGATGTAACGAAGTCGGTAAAATTCGGAATTTACTTCGTTACATTGAAATTCCGCTACATAGAAATTCGGGGCTAATGCTAAAGTTTTCACAAATGTTTTGGGTGCACAAAGCTCACCGAGGATGCCTTTATTTCTGTTGAAAGTAGTCTGTCACCTTTTTCTGTGCCACTCTTGACATCATTATTGGCATCACACGATATGCGCATGCATACAAGACGGCCTGCATCATGTTTTCGTTTTGCTGTGTGCTCGCGAACTGCCTCAAGACATTGATTGTGTCCACCGCTTCACGGTTACTGGGCACATCGCAGATGTCTTG